CTTTTGAAGTTATTTCCCTTACTGAATCATTATTCAAATTGTTCACTCATGACTTCATTTAATTTTTCCATGAGTACTGCACTTATTGCAGACATTTTTCCTGGGAATTTCTCTTGCTTTGGCCGTGGTTAAATGACTTTGTCCGGTAATTTGCCTCAATGTTGCTCTGCAACTCCCCTGTGTTTCTTTTTTTTAGGGGATTCCCACACCCTAGAGTACCTACACTTCCCGAGAGTAGCGGATAATTATGCCATGCTAAACATTGTCTCACACTCGCTTGTCTGTCTCTCCTCTACCTTCTGCCCACACTCGGATTTATGGAAGGAATACTTAGCCGACAAAGTTGTGAATACAACAACGCTTCCCTCAAAGCAATTAGACGCCATTTCCATTAGCGTTTAACCATTTAACATTTTTCTCTCGTCTCTCGTCTCTCGTCTTTTGTTTTTGGTTTTTTAGTTGGTTTGTTTAACAAAACTCTTCACACCTGCCCACATCTTGGGCAAACATATTTTCGAGCTTCAAAATGAGCAGGAGGCAAGACAAGTTGTGCGGGAAAAAAAAAATCTTGTCACTTGTTGCCAATTAAGCAGCCCCGAGGAGAAGGAGGAGTCTGATGATCGTCGTACATCGTACATCAAGTGGGGTCGGTACATCCATATAGAGTCTGAACGGTCAACGTTCGCAGCTGCTTCAATTAGCAACGAAGTCGGCAGAGCACTGTCTGTTTATTTGCAAATTTTTGTAGCAGATTTTTTCCTGCTTTTGTTTTTATTTTGTTCTCCTTTTTGGCGAGTGCAGATTTTCTTTTTTTTTGCTTGACTTGGCACATGGTGAAATAAAGCAGATAGCGGATAGCATAAGGGGGTAGAGCGATCCGAAAAGAATCATTTTCTTCAACTGTTTAATTGCATTGGCCGTTGTTGTTGTCTGGCTGCCTGGCTTTTGCATTTAATTACTTTGTTTATGGCCCCGGCAGCAACAATAAAACTTCAATTTATGTGTGTTGCTGCCCGCCCGAAAAGCAGCGTTCTTGTTGTTGTTGAATTCCAATGCACAAATTGACAGGCCACCCCGACTCCTTATCCAGCGTCCTTTCCCCCGCCCGGTTTCGACCCCTCTTTTCGCTGGCCTTTGTTATGTAAACAACGCGAACTTTATATTTTTTGTGTCGACGCTGCAATACTAAAACCAACTTAACTCAACTCCCCCAGTCACCCGAATAAGGAGCGAGGAGAGGGGAAAGCTAATTTCGGAAAAACGAAGTTGGGAATACTCTTGAAAATATAATAATTGGAATTTTAAAAGATTTTTTTATTTCATAAATTAAATTAGAGTCTCAGCTAGCAATCCGAAGGATATTTAAGTGCATATAGTCTTAGTTTTAGGAAGCGTTAAACACATTTTATATTATTGATTTAATTTTCGACTCCTTGAAAAAAAAAAAACCCCTGCAGTATATTAATGTAAGATATTTAATTCACGAAAATCTTTAAAAAAAATACATAATATCTGCTATATTTTCACGTTACAAACCACCTCATCACAATAATAATACCCTCCACAAAAGAGCAAACAAAAAAAAAATAAGAAAGAAAAAACCACCCATGAATGCCACCCACAAATTCGCATTCTAACTCTGAAGGAAAAAGTTTTTCCTTGCACAAATAACTCGACTTCTGCGACTCAACTCGCTTTGAATGCTTTGCAATTTCCGCTCTTCTAAATTTGTTGAAAATATTTTCCACCCATCCCCCCTGCATCCCATCCTGCCCTGCTTTTCCGCCCTACGCTTCCTCAGGGGGAAAAGCGAGAAAAACTTTTCTGCTGTGCGGGGCAACAGCAACAACGACAACAACAGGGCAGCAACCCATGACTGACTGCCCAACCTTGCGTAATATTTTAATAAATTTTGTCGCCAGCACTGGCCCCATCGGAGGAAGCAGGACAGATACAGGCCGAGAGGGAGACAGGGCGACATACACAATGCCAACTCTGATTGCTGCCACTAACCTTTGTCCAATTTCCCTTCGCAACTCCCAACGAACCGTTGTTGTTGTTCAGCGCCTGCGTCCTAATTAAAAACGCAGGCAAAAAAAAAAGTAGGATACAAGCAACAAAAGTGCGTCGAACCTGTCACAGGAGTCAGTAGAAATAAAGGACACACACAAAAACAGGATTATATTTTCAGTTTTTCCATAAATAATAAAATAATTGTTTATACATTCAGTTGACCCGGAAACATGTTTTGTTCTCAGGTGTCATCGGTGTCCTAAGAGTTATTAGGGTATTTTAATTTTTTTATTTTAATTTTATTATTTTTATTTGTTAGTTTAAGCCATATAAGTTGGACAATTAGCAGTACGCTTTACTACAAATTTGCTGATTTTGTGTCTTTGTATCATCCAAGTCCAGTTTTCCATGCTTTTCCCATCTAGATAATTCTTTGTATAACTTGTACACTTTCCCATTAAGTTTACCATAATTTTCCATAAATTTCTTTCCGTGCCAGGATCAGCGAAGGAACAGGACATGGCCTGTCAGTTGATTCCTCCAGAGTGAGGTAGAGTGGAGCGGGGTTTTTGTGCACCGGAGGAATTTCCATGTCAAAGCAGATTTTCTAACTGATTTCATGTCCAGCGATTTGAAGCGCTCAACAATTTCTAGTTTCTAGCCACTGCAAGTGGCTCTCGCTCGCTCTGATGTCCTGGCCATATGATGGCTGATGGCGTTGGCGGCGGCGCCCACTGATGTGGTAATAAACACCCCTTGTGCAGTCTAATGGACCGTAATTAACTCGTGCGCCGACAGCGACTGCGACGGAGACGCCGACCGAAGCAGCGTCGTCGTCGTCGTTGTACAAGCGATGAATAATAATTTTTTGCCAAAGCCAGAGAGAGCCGTGGTGGACACCATCAGGACCCATTCCCCCCCATTTCCATTCCGACTAAAAACCCCCGGCACAGTGGACACAATTGCCGATTTAATGGCCAATAATTTTCGGGGCTTGATCGCCGGCCATTCGCATCGCATTTACATATATATAACTGACCAAACAAACAGCCATACAGCTGCTGGCATTATACCCTGTCCAGATGGTGGAAATTACTTATCGAATGTCATTTTGGGTAATCGCTGTGCCAGATATTATGCCAGATTATTAGGCAATCCTTGGTGTCCACAGCCAGTTGTTGATTATGTGTTGAGTTGATCTATGCACGGAGTTTGTTTATGGACTCTCTATCGGATAATTGCACGATGAGAAATATGGAGAACGTTTTATGGGGAGCTGGGCAACACATGTTGCTAAGGAGAATATTATTACCCAGTTAATGCGAGTAGATTTTATGGACTCGACGAAGGGCTTTTACCAAATCGATATAGATTAACAGATTATGGAGATGGGATGTCCTTGTGTTAGGAATTGTCTTGGGTTCCTCGAAACGTAAAGTAAAGGTTATTATTTGTTGTTCTTAGAATCCATCTATCTATTAAGGAACACGTAATTTGATTAATTATTTAATATGCTCAAGGTTTTGTAGACTAAATATAACACTTATTCAGTCTTAATGACTTAACCTGCTTATACATTTTCCTATAATGAATGCATTTCTTTGAAGTCATTGTTTGGCCTGTTTCCCCACATAAAATAAAACCCACACATATTATTCTTAGGAACCCCCAATGGTATTCAATTATGCAAGCCATGTTCATTCAGGCATTTCTGTGGTTATTTTCCGCTCCTTGGAGATCCTTTTGGAAAAAGTCGCCCATTCATTATGGTCTTGCCTTACAAATCCCCGTGTCATAACCCTTTTTGGAGACAATTAGCTCTTCAGGTGGAACGGATTCTTACCATTGTACCATTGATGTTGTTGTTTTTGTTGTTGCTGGTGCTGCTGCTGGTCAGGGTGTTGCTGCTGCTGCTGCTGCTGTTGGTTATAGCCTCCGTTGGTTGGGTTTGTTGGCGGTTGTTGTATGTTGTTCGTCGTCGTCGTCGTCGTTGTTGTTTGCGTGACGGATATTGCCTTGTCACTTGCATGTACGAGAAATGTTAAAACGTGGAGCCCAAGCCGCCCGCCCGACTTGGGTTTCATCGGCTTTAGCTTTTGCCTTTTTTTTTTTGTTCCCCCCCTTGGTTGTTACCCCTTTTTTCCCGAGCAGCAGCGACCGCAGAGACCGCAGAGCGGCAATCAACGCACTGAAAACACCAACAACTCGGAACGGGGGCCAGCAGGAGCTGGAGCAGCAGCCGCTGCCACTGAGTTTTTGTACCGTTCGAAAGTTGTGCTAAAATTTAATTAATTTCGCAATTTGCCTAGACGCTGTCGATTGTGTAGATTGTCAATTGCAGGCTCGTCGGACCAATTTCTATCTCTTAGCCCCACTACACCCGTTCTCTATTTTCTGTTGGATTGCGCTTTTTGTGCTGCCGAAAAATTATGATGATTGCCATCATCATCATCATCATCGTCATTGTAGTCATCCCGCACACTGCAGTGCACACACACGTAATACCCATGGTGGCGCACTCGTAATACCCCACACTAAGCACGAGGCGTGGCCAAATGGGCGGCGATTTAGCCATGGCCATTATAAATACCAATTTAATGAGCGCAACATATGCAACGGGCACAAGCCAGAGTCCACCAGGCAGGGGGGTTGCAATATCGTGGAACGTTTAATGCGATTACATGACAGCGGCACATTTGTCATCTCTCCGCCAGAGTCATCTAGTAACGGGGCGTCTGTACACTGAGCCAAATTCGGTACAGACGGGGATTAATCGTGGCCATAATTCACAGTGGAATTATTAATGGGTTAATCTCTGTCGAAGGTGCGGTTGATATTATTATTAATGTCGAAGTATTTCTGCAGAGTAATTGTATTAATATTTGTTGCAAGGACATTGAATTAATTTTGGTTTGGAAAAGGATTAATCATGGCAAAAACCAATTATTAAAGGTCAACAAATAAAATGTGATTAAAATACACAATCATTATTAATAAATATTTATTGATTCATAATTGAATTGCCAGAGTTTGTTGAGATATTTATGTGTATGTAAGAGGTATGGCAGTGTATTTCTTTAACATATTAACCTAGAATTTTGTATTTCTGCTTTTCTCGATGTTTATGCAAGAATTTACATAATTTCCGATAATTTAAAGAGCTTAAATTATGCAAGGAGCTTAAATTAATTTGTTTAATAATAATAACGGCCAATCAGGTATTCCTTTGAAGGGATTAACGATTCGTGAATGAAATTTTAAGCACTTAAAATGTCACAAGTGGCGCTTAAAGTTAACCTCCTTTTATATAATTACTTAATCCTTAAGGGAAACTCCTTTTATATACACATATTTGCCGCGAGTGCACTGGCCCTGGGTGAACCCTTCTGCATATATCTATATATATCCGCGTGTCAGCTTTAACAAATCAAGTCAAATTACTGCAAACTGTTAAACAACAACCAGAAGGAGGAATCTGTTGCAAAATAGTCACGAAACGAAACGAAACGAAATGAAACGAAGCAAAACAAAACGAAACTGGCGTCCGCCGCATCCGTAAGATAGATTTTGCCGGGTGCAGATGCCACTGCGACGACTGCCACTACTGGTGTTGTTGCTGCTGCAGCTGGAGGAGCTGCTGCCACGCCAATTGCATGGCCATCGTGCATAACTCCAGCTTGATTGTCTCTGGTTCTCTGGCTGCTCTGGTCAGGGGGTCTCTGGTTTGTACACATGGCCATTGTAGGGTAGAAAGGTATGCTGGATAGAAAGTAAGCCAAGTGATGGGGAGAGAGTTAATTACCAGGTGTATCTTGTTGTAGATAAATTTCTTCGAGAAATTGGTTTTTATAAGAACATGAAATATCATTACATTCCCCAAGCAGTAGGCTACAGTCAAAACCCAGTACCAGGTATCCCAAATGTCGACTAAACTCTAGTTTTATCTGGTTTTACTCTGGCATGCGGGCCACTGCAGTAACAGTAGCGGTGGAAATGCCAGTAAGAGGAGCCCCAGTCGCTGCTCATTAAGTGCCACTCTACGACAGTTGTCGCTAATGCCTCCTCGCTAACCCTTTGCCTCTGTCCCTGTTCCCCACCGCCCGGGGTTTGCACACAGAGTCAACGTAAATTTGCAAATATTTGCTGAAATCGGACGAGAGCAAGTGCCATGTGAAGCTGCAGTAGCAGTAGAAGCAGCACAAATTCCTAGAATTTCAGACCAGCGCGAGCGGACTTGAGCTCAAATGAGTGTTAGATGGGCAGATGGGGATCTCTGTAAATATGTATGTCTGGCCTGGCTGCCCTCGAGGTTCCTCCGGACCGTAGAAGTTTGGCACTTTAAATGCCAAGCGCCAGCCAGGAAAACCGCGCGAGCTCTAATCCAGTCCAGAACCGACGACCCACAAGAGTCCATCATTCCACCAAAAACTGTCCAATGCAATTATCCCCGCCCTGGAACTTCACCTGGGGCTATCGGGGAATCTCTTTTTCATTTCCTTTATGGCTAACCGCATATGGTACGGAGTGCTGCGACTAAAGCATACAGTATATAGTTAGTGACGCCGCCATTCGCCTCACCCCTTTTCGGAATTTTCCAACAATTGTCATATTATACTTTTAGGTTCATTCTTCTTGGTTCGCTCCATTGTCCTCTCGCTGTGTGCACGTGGCCACTCCCTGGTTTCCCTTTTGATAACCATGTCGACGAAGGGCGCCACTTGCACCCTGTGTACCTGCAGCTGCAACCTAGATGGCTATGGCGAGGAGTGCTTCAAAGGTATTTGAAATCTGGACTTGAAACGAAGAAGATTTTCATAGTTAATCCTGGAAGAAAAGAAAAGAAGAGACTCTGTTTAAGGATGACCATTGTCAGAGGGAAATTGAGCAGGAGTAATGAGTTCTAAATATATAAGAGATCTCAGAATTCTACACTACAATTTAATTGCTCATTTTGTGCCCATTTCAAAGCTATATTTGGGTATCTTAAGCGTTTTTATTGTAGAGTAATTTGATCACTTCAGAACTTCACTTTATTTTCGGTTTTCAGTTTGAGAAGGGTGGCCACCAAATCGGGGTCACCTTTCCTGGGGGTGCCCCATCTGTTTCTCTCTTTTGGGATCACCTTTTACTGCTAGCAAAGATCAATATTATAAGCAGCTAATTGAGTTCTTTTCATTTCATTGTGGAGGTCAGGTGGGATCACATTTTTAATGGGGTCTCTTTCTTCCCCGAAAATATGAATTGGAGCTTGGTTGACAGCAATATGTGAGAACTTTTTATGGCCTCCACAGGAGGGGGTCACCACAAAGAATAGAATAGCTTAGCTAACTTGCCACTTAGCCCGGGGGTCGGTCATCCCATGGATAGAAAGTTGAGCCATTCTGGCCATCTGTATGAAACTGTCTGTTGCAGGGGTCATTCCACAAATGGAGGTCACCTCTCAGCCGGCACTTGAGCCCATCTGCAAGGTGTCAACTGCCTTGCCTTGCTTCTGCCCGAAAAAAAAAGAACATTCCAATCCCTGCCGAACTTCTCTCAAGAAATCACCCTCGGGTTCTTGAGCAACCCTCGTGTGTGGACTAGGATCACACAGCTCTGGGGTTTTTTTTCTGTTCGACGCAGGGCGGTTAATGACCACTCATTGTCTTACCTGACCCACTTGTTCCTCTACCGCCTTCCGAGTTACTTTTTTATGGTTGGTACTGTGACTCAGAGCCAGAGCCAGTGCCTTGATGTATAATTTGTATTTAAAATGCAACAAACCATAATTTTAAAGTCGCCGCTGTGCGTGCAGTTTGTCAAAAGGGCAGGATGATGAAGGAGGCAGGCAGAGCAGGAGGCAGCCTGTGGTGCGGCTAAAGAAACAAAATGAAATTATTAAGTATTTGCCTCGACTGGCAGTTGGAGGAACAAAGGCCAAAGCTTTTAAATATTTAATAAGTATACAAAAATGGAGGAAGCGAGATGGCAAAGCCAGAGGGACGAGAGACGGACATACGCCTGCTGTTGAGTCATGTCAATTGACTGACTGAGTGTCCCCGCTGTGTCGATGTGGATGGGGATGTGGAAGTTGAGGTGGAAGTGGGATTGGAAGTGGAATCAATACCATGGATGGCCGCCTGCAGGGTTCCCAAGTACTTGTAAGGATACACACTCGCTCGCACACACTCGCTCGCTGCTGACTCTGACGTACTAACGGTGACAATAAATGAGTAAAAATGACTTCAACGAAACGAAAATGAAACGACAGACGGACAGAAGGACAGAGGGACGAAATCTGTCATCAACACGCCGCCAGTGAAGAGCGAGAGATACGGAGCGAAAACCTGGATACGACGCACTCACAGAGATACTCACACATACCGAGGCACTCCGGTGTGTGTGTGTGTGGAAGAGCCATGAAATTTGATACGATGCGTGTGCGTCAGTTGGAGTGAAAAGTGATGGTATGAGAGGAGGCATAAGGACGCAGGACAGACCAAAGCAATTTCCATTTAATATTCCAGTTGCCAGTTTTTCCCTATGCACACTCAAGAAAAAAACACACAAAACCTACATATAGTTTGTAAACAAAAATTGTAGGTTATTGGCTGTAATTGAACTTCTTTAAAAAGTTTGACAGTAAATATGGGTATATCGAAAAGTTCTATATTTACTAAATCATCGGTTATTTAACTAACTTATCATATTGTATCGATTTTATGCACAAGCTGTATTAATTTTAGCCATATTTTGTGAATAAATTCAATACATTAACGCAGAAATTTGAATTTATCGTAAGCCTATCAATAATAATCGAACATTTCGATATATACTAAATCATCGATTATATAATTTAATTTTATCTTGCTCTTAGCGACATTTTTATTCAACCCAAAGCAATTAACATTGAATATATATAAGAATCGAAATGTTATAGATTTTATCTATAGGATTATCGACTTTTATCGATTCTGTATAGTTCAATTGAAGCATGTTTTAACCCCTTAAATTGTTTATCAACAAAACAAACTCCTCAACTTAAAAACATTAGCACCTATTTTCTTTAAGTGCACTTCTTGTAGCGCCCGATTATTCTTAAAAATCTAATTTCCAACTTGTAAACATTGTCCATTATGCATGCCTCCCAAATATATACCATCACACTCCACGTTCCATCGATCCGTTGGAGTCCGAAAAAAAGGAGGGTAGACCGATGGGTTATGACCCGCTAGATTAATAGAGCTCCAAAATAATTTTTTATTTGCTTTGCTGCGTCTGCCGGTCCTTAAAGATATTTATTTTATGTTTCGTCTAAGAATTAATAAGAGTAACGTGATTTATGGTCCTCCGTAGGGCGTTGAGCGTTGGTTGGGAGGGGTTAGAATATCCGCTTTATTAGCCAGACATATGACGGAATGACAGTACTTTGCGGTTATGCTACATTTATGCCATGGTTGTTGTTGCTGTTTTTATTGGGCCTGGCAAAATATGAAGCATTGATGGAGTTTTATTGTTATTACCAGATAAACTGCGGGGTTTCCTCGGTCTGCCAGTCTAGCAGAATTATCCATAATTTTAGTATGTGGTTCTGTTTGCACAGGGTTGGGGCATTATGGGGATTCACGATGTAATAGAAATTTTCATTAGGATGTTTTAATGCCGGAATATAGAAGGGGAGATTGAGGGAAAATGTGTGGAGCTTGCTTATAATTTAGTACTATAACTTTTCTGGAATATCCTCATCTACGTTTTCGCCCCTGCTCCTGGTCGTTTTGTGCATTTACTTTGCACATTTACTCGTCAACCTTTTGACTCCAGGGACGACTCTCGTGGCTGGTGAAATTTACAACCTTACCTGTCCTAATCCCGGTGATGCAGCATGCAACATGCAGCATGCAGCACGGCAACATATTTCACCTAGCCGGTGGAACAATGCCAGGCTTTCAGGGCGTAGAAGACGACGGCTCTACCTGACCCTAAAATGCGGAAAACAAAAGCCGAAACAAAACAGAGAACTACGGCGTAAAAGAGAGACCGAGCTCGAGGTCGAGCTCAACTGCAGCAACGCATTGCACCTGGGATTCCGATGGGATTGGGCAGGGGGTGGACCTAGCACACGCCTCAGATTCACCTCCCTTTTGGTTTTTATGATTTTGTGAAACATTTTATAACTTTACAGGGAAATTATGCGGCGTGTGTATCTGTATCTGTATCTGACTCTGCCAGTGTTTCGGTGTATCTGTCCCTCTCAGGTGATGTTGTTTATTATTTTAACCTCGAAAACAAGCTGAAACCTGAGACAGAGCGACAAATTAAATAATGCCCAGCTTTGTATTTGTCCATTTCCACTTTTTCGATGATGATGGGCCCACACAGCCCAGTCGAGATAAAGATAAATACGAGATAAATGAAGATTGCGTTCGGCACTCGAGGCGCCATTGTAATAATAAAGCCACCAAAAAAGAGAAATAACAATAATAAAATCCAAGCCTAAATCAAATAGAGCATAATCTTAGCTCGGGCCAAGGGGGGGCGTACACTTGATCGTCATCATCGTCACTTGTTAAAGGCAGAGATCGAGGCAACGAAAGCGAAATGGAAACGAATGCGTGGCACAAATTGAATCTGATTGTTCAAGTAGTCGAGGCGACTCTCCTCTGCGAGAGGCTGTGTATCAAATGTAAATCAGAAGGGCATCGGGCATCCCTCGGCATTCGCTTTATTCAAATCCTCAACTCAACTCGACTCACAAACAGCTGCTACACTTCATTACCATAAGGTTCGCCTCTCTCTCGCACTCTGTGTTGCTGCAATTTGATGTGTGATTATGCCTTTTTGTAGCTTATCAAAATGAAAATTCAAATTCAACTATAACAGCACATTGTTTGCAACGCCCTCGCACCATACCCCCCAGCCATCTAAACCAAACAAAACCCAGACCCGAAACCGAACCCAAACCCGTACCTCAACCCAAACCCAGCAGCAGCAGTAACATCAACGGCAGCAACACTTGGAGAGCTGCAAAAGTGACACTTCTAAGAGATTAAAGTGACATGTAGTGGTCCGCATATTCAGGCTATATGGCTATATAGCATCCAGAGCATACAGCATCCAGCTCTGGATAGCGACGGACTGTCTGTCTGACTGCCGACACCTTCCGAGCGGCACTCGAAAGTGGGGAAAGTTACCACCGGGTGGGGGACATTACGAGTCGAGTGCGAGTATTTGTTGGGCTCCATGCATAGATTAATAAATTATAAGCCGCTTCTCTCTGAATAGAGTCGCTCTGATTACACTCACAGAAAAGGGGTTGAAACTTATGTAGGTGTAGAGTTACGCTCTCTTGAACAAAATTCTCGGAAGCAGTATTTATGCTCTGTCTTAATCAGATTAATCATAAAAAGGGGTGAAATGACAGCGAAGGTGAATGCTGCTGCGCTGCTGTAAATTTAAATTGCAAATTTTCTAAAAATAAAGACTACGTTGGGTCCTAATTGGCACAAATAGAGTTGGGGAAAAAAAAAAACCGGGAACATTTTGGCAAATTTTATTTTTCGCCGCTTTGATCAATAAAAATCTGAAAATAAAAAAAGAAACAAATTAATTTGATGAGATCAATTGGGGATCAATATGGTTGTGTTCAAATTATGATTGAAGTTTATATATATTTTTTCTTAACAGAGGAAGCTTTTGAAGTTTGTGAAAATGTGTTTACAATTATAATAGAGAAGATTGATGCTTGGTTTTATAAAGCGTTTTAAGGTTTTAAGGGAACCTTCAAAATTATATCTACTCAAAGATAAGTCTTATTATAGAAATCATATTACCAAAAATTAGAATAATGTTAAGTAATAAATATCAAAATAATTTTAGAACATTTTTTTTTGCTTAGATTCAAAGGGCGAGCCTTCAAATAAATCTTCTTTAAAAACATATTTTTTTATATAAAAATTTGCCATAAATACATTTTTTTTTTTGTTAAAATATCAACATCTAAATAAGAAAAGAGGCAGCTTAAAACCTTTTATTTTATTTTTAAATAATTTAAATAAATTTAAATATGCTAGATTTCTTGCAGTGCTCAATTTGCTACCCTGTGTTCGCTTTCTTTTCTCCACTCAACTCCTGCGGGAAAAGCGGCAGTCAGTCCCCAGAGCATATGTAAGTCCCTGCTCTGTCCCTCTCCGCCCCGCCCACTTTTTTTCCTTTTCCTCCGCCGCCCCCGCATCAGAATGTGAATGTGAATGTGGAGCAATTAATGTTTGTGTTTTGTCATTTCAAGCCCGACATTGCTTGCTTCTTTCCTTCTTGTTTTCCTTGATGTTGATGCTGTTTTTGTTGTTCCAACATTTTATGCGCATAATTAAGCCGGTGTATCCGTAGAAGTATGCGACACTTCCGGCTTGGACAACTGTCGCCGGGAGCATGCTCCTCCGCCTCATATTGGAACTTGGCTTTGTACTGATTTTGTCCCTGATTTTATTATGTTTTTGTTTTTTCTTCTTCGCCTGCCTTGGTCTTGATATTTTTTCTTCTGTTTATTGTAATACAATTCATTGAGCATTGACCACGCTCCCTGGGATTTGAACTCTTTCCCCGGCGACTTCCTCTTCACTTTGACGACATTTCGTGGGAGAAAAGGGGGGAAAAAAAGAAAGAAGCTGCGGAAATGCCAAAGCACGAATATGGGAATATAAGAGAGATTATGATGATCAGGGAGAAGAAGCGCGGAGAATCGCTGAGAAGGAAATTGGTAGGGAAAATATTGTGATGTTGTGTAAATCGTCGATTATCTTGCAGGTTCCTTCATCATCAAAAGATACGATCTTTCGATTATCTACGCTTGAAATTATCATTTACATTTGACAGATCTTTCCTGTTTTCAGCTCGCTGGTAATTGATATCTGTTTTTGTTTCTGCTTTTCAGTGATAATTATCGTTTAAGGCCTCTCTGTGTAATATAATTATGGGTCTCCCCTTTTTCTTTTTGACATTCCATTTCTGTTTTATTTCACTTTGCCACATTTTATAGATCCATAATTGAGATTATCATGGACTGGCCAAGCTATGTATATATACTATATACTCGTGGGGTTATTTGGGGTGAACCTGTTTTCTATGTTTCAGCTTATTGGGGCAGAAGTTTCATCTCCCAGCTCCATCTGATATATTGATTGTTTGCACTTTGTTTTTCCGTTTCTGCTTTGTCAACAGTTTTCTCGTATTTATTGTGATTTTCCTTATTTTTTTTGTTGTTTTCTTCCTCATTGATTAAGACCCCCGACATTTGCTCCATCTGCAGTCGGCGACATGTTTGACTTTGGCCACGCCAACGACTTCAGGCTAATCCCCCGTCAGGGAGGTGGAGTGCTTTGATATGGCTTATCTCGTGTCTTGTGAAGGGAGCTCCCAAAGAACAAGAGAGCGATTTTGACACATGTCATAGGCAATGGTGGACAAACAGAGAGGAGTCCACGTCCACCTCCCGTCTCTAGAGGGCGCTCCACTCTGTAAGCCACAAAAAAACAAATCACTTGAGGGCAAGCCCCTCCATCTCCAGTTCCATCTCCATCTGGCGGTGGTCCCTCCCCAGTGGCATTATTTGAATTAAGTGCATACTTAAGCGTAATTTATTGGAAAATCCACAAGAGCCAGCGAGCGCCTCCAGGGGAGGGATTGGAAAGGCAAAGGAATTGCCTGGCCTGGCCCGGCTTGGCTCTATTCTATTGTTTCAGTTGGCGGCGGCGACCTCATCGCGTCATTAATCTGAAGACAACTCTCTTAGTCCAGTCCACAGATTCGAGTTGACATTCTATCTAAGCATGTGTCTTTGGTTTATTTGTGCCCGGCTCTATTTGAATAGTTCTCCCAGTCTAGCGCCTTATCTTCCGATGTCAGTATGTAATACTGAAACGAGACAGCGCGGAAAAGAGTAAAGATTTGAAGGGAGCAACATTAGGGTTAACGATTTGTGTGTACGTCTCTTTTATGGGATTTTTAGGGGGTTAAGGCAATGAGATTTCCCGTTGCGTTTTTGGCAATTTTAAACCGCTTTAATGGTCATTGTTTATGCATGGAAATTATCATCATTAGGGCTTGGTAATAGCAAATCGAATAATCGCTTATATCAGAGAATTGGGCCAACATTTATGGCTTGTGGAAAATGGCCATGGAAGCGAACATATTTTAATTACATTTCAATAAATATTTATATTTATATAAACTCCTAATAGCTAGAATAAATATGATTTGGCTGTCATTTGCTGGTTGAAATTAAAAAGAACTAAATATGATTTGAGCTTAAGGCTAAATAAATATTAAGCTTTGCCTCTGGTGAAACAATTATTCGACTTGTTAACAGGTAAACTCGAAAATTAGGCCAATATTTATTTAATTTATTAGTTCAAACATCAAGCTTCAGTGACTTAATTGTGGGGGATTGTGTAATTTGGTAACAGAACAATGTCAATTATAACCAATTGCATTCCAAACTTGCTGCATTTATGAGCAAATAAATATTGGCACACAGGCTTATTACACCCAGTAACTGGATTGTTTATTTAACATGAATACTAATTGGAAATTTTGCATTTAATTTGCAAACACAAATCACTTTCCGGCTATAACTCTTGGCCAAATTGATATTGAGCTGCTTTTGGATAGTTGCATCTCTCGGTATCGGAATTATAGTTGTTTTCCTGGCTTAGCTTAATTCCCTGCCACTCTGATTTTCCAACTATGTAGCGTCGTCCACTGTGTATTTCCAGTTTGAGAGCAGGCTATCACCTCCTCAACCCTCTCCGGATTCTTTTTCCGCTTCTTGGGCACAAGAACGAGAACGAGTTATTGGCATGCATTGAATTTGCTTTGGATTTTGCCAGAGGGGGAGGGCAAAAAGGGAGCCACAAGGAGGAGGAGTAGTAGTCGTAGTCGAGCAAAAGAGTAGACAATCAGTGGCATGTATAGAATTTCACTGATTTATGTTTCATATGAGCCGACAAGACTCTGAGGCGGAGATTCCCTCAAGGCATGTGCCCATAAACCGTACAGGATGAGCACAGGCTGGAGCCGGAGCCAAAGCCTGCAGGACGCTGCGGATGGAGGAGCAATCCTTGGGTGACAATGCAGTGATTACATCTTTTGAGGAGCATACGCACAGCATACTCCCCCGCAATTTCCGTGATGTGAAAGGCATGCCTTTGCTGCTGCTGCTGCCGTTTCAAAAAGTATTCTCCAACGGAGAAGGAGCGGGGTTATGTGATAAATTTTTGATTAAAGGCCCCCATAACCATGCCTCTGCCTCGGATAGGTTCCTCCTCCAGTATGCATTCCGTTTGTGTGTGTGCGTGGAGGAAAGCTTGCTCAAATTACGTTTGACATTCAATTGAGTTTAAGTTGATTGCCAGTTAAGTGGGATATATCCAAATAGGAGGAGAATAACGATTTTTGACAGCCCAGCAGCGCTGATTACTGATTACTGATTACACCAGTTATCCAATAACCGAAATTTCCGAATGCCAATCGCGGCTGTCATTTATCCAAATGTTAATTTAAACAATTAATATCTCACAAAGAGAGGGATAGCGAGAGAGACATGTCAATTTGCAAATTAAGTAAACAACATGACAGACCAGCAGTAGCAGCAGCAGCAATGAGAGGAGTGCTCCCAGCCAAATATAGATCGAATCGGAGCAGTTAGCCTGGGGAATGTAAATAAAGACTGGCACTTGAGAGAGGGCAAACTAAGACAGGGACGGAGACATAGGGTCATTAGAATCCAGGGATTTAATTGGGCCAGAGTGCTCTTAAATATGATTTGTGTGCTGAGCATTCCCCCAGAGAAATGGTAAAGCGGAAGCCAACAGAGATTCCATATCGGAGTAATTACTGACGGGGCTTCGGAGATGGCACAGATTCTACCGCATTCCCTCTAATCATTCCAAAATGTAGTTTTTAGCCTGCAGAAATCTTGTTTTTTCCACATGTCTATACGGTTGTTGTGTACTTTTGTTGATAGAAGGGAATTTCCCTGAGGAAAGAAATATCATATGCTTTGGAAAATGGGTCAGAGCGAGCTCTTAAATATGATTTGTTATGATGAGTTTCCAGATTTGAATAATTACCAAAATGTGCTGCCAGTAAGTCTGGTTTCTGGAGGGGATTGTAGGGAAATTAAGATGATAAAAAAGTAATATGTTATCCCTTGGATTCTTGCCAGTAGCTTTAGCTAGTTTTCAAGGATTTTCCCCTTAATATAATCATTAAAAATGTCTAAGAAAAACTCTTTCCTTCACATGTATTTCCCTGTTTACTTGTTGATAGGGAATTCCCCCCCTTGAAAAAAACACCATATGCTATCCAAACAACTGATAATTGTAGTTCTTCTGAAGGTGATTAGTGGCCTTTGCTACCGCTTATTCCGACAGGTGTTTCGGGGGTTGAATTTTTGTTTCCTTCACTTTCTTCTCACCAAAAAAAAGAGGAGCTAATTTGTGGCCAGGCCATATATCATGGCATTACAGGCGACAGTTGCGTTTCCTCCGAACTCTGCCACTTCTGCCACTCAATTTTAGTGAGTTTTAAGTGAAATAAATATACATAGCCTGCGTTTATATTTAAACGATTTCCTGGCACTGCCTCCGCCTTGCCTTTGGTGAATTTTTATAGATGATTTCTCATGATTTTTCTCACTCAAAAATTCTTTCCCAATTTTCTCTATCGTTGCAGATGCGCCCAGCGGGTCGCTGTGATGCCTCCGAGCTGCCGGTGCCGATGCTGATGATGATGAAGTTGCTGCCGCCGGTACGCTCTAGCTGCTGACAGCCAAGTGCAGACCGTATCCGAGAGATACCAGAGAGATACGCCAACTATCTGAAGACAAAGGAAAGGAAAAGTGCATTTCCTGCTACCTAACCTGTGTGTGAGGGTGCACTCCTCAGCGGAATCTACCTACCTACTTTTATTTTTGGTGGGAGTTTTGGGAAGAGAGTAACTCGCTGAAGTTACTCGTTACTCGGTGCTGCGAGACAACGAACCCGGACAGCTGCCGGCCGCTCAGTTTGGTCAAGAAGCGCGTACGCGACGGCTGCAAAAGAGCGTGTGTTCCGCCGCCGAGAAAATCGAGAAGAAGAGAGAGCGCGGGGAGCGCCTCCCCCGACTCTGTATATCCCAGGATATACACTCAGTGATACACAGTGTGACGCAGTGAAGTGAAAGTGCCAGCTAGCCATCATCAATCCTTTCCCTTCCCTGCCAAATATTTGCAGAGTGGTGATTGCTATTGACAAAGTGGATTGGCATTCGGGGGACACTTTCAATTAGGCACGTTGCCGCCTGCCGTCGACGTTTCTTGTGCTAAATGTGCCACAATGGCCGCGCCGTCCAGGACGTCGTCGATGCCACCACCCTTCCGGCTCCAGTTCCTGTTACCGCTGCTCCTGCTTCTGCCGCTACTAAGCCATGATGCGGCGGTCCAGGCGGAACCCTACTCCGGCGGCTTTGGCAGCTCAGCCGTGTCCAGCGGTGGACTGGGATCCGTGGGCATACACATACCCGGCGGCGGTGTTGGGGTCATCACGGAAGCCCGCTGCCCCAGGGTCTGCTCCTGTTCGGGATTAAATGTTGACTGTTCGCATCGTGGACTCACCTCGGTGCCCAGGAAAATCTCAGCGGATGTGGAGAGACTGTGAGTATATAAAAAATATTTGGAAATATATTAAAGAAGGATTAATGAGTGAATGTCCCTAAAATGTAGAGATTATATTTAGTTTTGGATAAAAAATACCTTTTCAAAATTCCCGTTCCATTTGCAATACAATTTTGCCAATGATTAAATCAAAATAAAAGGAATAACTTTGAAATGTGAATGCTATTTTCAGCATGCAGCCATAAATCAATATTAAATTTACAATTATATAGAAATTCCGTTATGCAAACAATCTGAGCAGAGGCAAAGACCAACAGAACGACACACTTCCCCCATGGGAGCACGGGACCAGGGCAAACTGCGGTATCGAAACCTAGTCAGAGATCTGCCGGCAGATATCCTTCGCCCAAAGCCTGACGAATTCCAATTACAGATTGCCCTTTCCACACACAATTGTTCAAACACATCGGGCAGGGGCACACTCTATTAAAATAATAAAGCCGGACCCAAACGGGGCACGGTTTCGATTTGTATTTATTTAAAAATCAGCATAGGCAAACAACAGCAGCAGCAGCAGGACTGAGACTGAGACCGGGACTGGACCCTGCTAGGGGGAAATAAATAAAGCCGTGACCATGTCGTCGTGTCGATGGCGATAAGGGAAAAAGGCTCTCCAGAGGGTACACACACGCGGGCTCCGTGGCAAAGAGTTATTCCTGCAGCGAGCTGCTTACATTAAATCGCCATTAAGTTTATTAATTGTCGCCGAAGGAGCTGCGACGAGCCCGGGCGGCAATAATTGTTGCATGTGGCAATGGCGGCAAAGTCGAATGCATTAAGCCAATGCGGCTGCGATTCAGCCATGCCACTGCCACTGCCACAGCCACATTTCCATCTCCATCTCTGTCCATCGCTGGCAGTCGCCACATAAATTAACGCTCCGGCAATTAGCAAGTGTATGCAAAATACCTACCTCCCCCCCGCACACCCAGCTCGTGGCCTGGTCTGGTCCACCTCTCAACTCCAACCTCTCTTCTCCAGTCTCTCGACTGTCGTGGCTGCAGTTTTTCTACATAAATTAATAACAGATATCAGCAGTGGCCGCGTTAACGTTATAGCATTATAGCCCAGTTATAAGCAAGTTGCTGGCAACTGGCTGGCTGGCCCAGAGTCGGAGCTCTGTGGCAAACACTGCTCAGGGACACATTTGGCTGCTGTTGTTTGCCTCTCCTTTTTTTTTTCATTTTCATTTGTATTTTTATTTTTATTTTACTTTATTTATTCTTTTTTAATGCTGCAAACAGAGAGTAATATAAAACAGAGAAACGACCAGCAGAAACAGAAAACATATCAACATGCACGACATATTTGCATTTTAAAATACTATTCGTAGAGAACCAAACTGGGCACATTTAAGTATACATATATATATATATATATCGCAGGGTACCTCAGGCCTCAAAATATGTCAAATTTTGAGTGACATTACTCGGTAGAGAAAGACTCCCGGGTGTCAAAGTGCAGGGAGAATGTGTCAGGAGACTTAAGTAGAGCTTAGGCAAGGGAAAAGAATTCAAATAAAAGGCCGATTCCAGGTGAGGATGTGACGGAGCGACTGTTGGGGGAATTATGATTTCAACAGATTATATTAAAGCTGGGGAATTAATGCTCAAATGCAAGCGAAGAGGGGGACGAAAATTCTGGTGTTTCAACGGAATTGAATACTGACGAGCCTCCTCTAAGAGTCTTTTCTTTGAAGCATGCCTAAAATCTAAGGGATTTTAGGAATAATATTTTTAAAAAGTACTAGAAATGAGGGAGAAAAATATAAGGGAAATTGAATTTATATTAACATTATATGAAGCAAGCTATAGGCTTCAAATCTCCTTGACTTGCAGACATTTTTTCCATAATTAATTTCCCATAATACACTCATTTCCCAACTAAAACCTTGAGACACCCTAATGCCGTTCAGAGGATAGAGGAAAACCTTCTAAGCGAACATACATCAAATATTGAACATGCCCACAACTATTGGGCCTGTCAATGTGCACCAAAAGAGCCAGCCAGGCTGGTGAGCACACAACATATATATATATATAAATGTATATATACAGAGCTGGAAACAAAAAACAATGGCAAATGCAAACTGGGTGCCCTGGCAAATTGTGTTCATCAGCACTCGCCCTACCTCCGCTCATGTCATTGCCATTTAATTACAAAGCCTTTTGGCAGAGAAAGGGGAACCAGGAAAGAACCCAGAAGCGAGAATCGAGGAGAACCTAGAAGCTTGAACCTAGAACCTCTAACATCGAAGAGTTTCTAAGCTGACGGGCTGGCTGCCAGTCACCCACACAGTTGATTCAATTGACACGACAGCATTTTTGCATATCTAATTTGTGGGCAGCAGTAGGAGGAGGAGCTCTGGGAGAAGGTGAAGGATTGAAAGGTGGCCCTTCACACCTGAGAACGTTTAATTTATAGCTGAGCTCGCACAGTGGCAGCTGTTTTTGATGTTGTCGTTCTTGGGTTCTTTGGTTGCTCGGTTCCCTGGTTTCTTGGTTTTTGGTTAGGAGAGAGTGCTGCTCTCTCCACCCCAAACCCCAAGATGGCATCTAATTGGCAGGAATGGAGGGTGAGAAAGGCCCCACAACAAAAGGCTCTCCCCAACACGCAAAGCATCTAATGAAGTTAAATGCTTAATTATAAGCCAGGAAAAACGGCAAAAATTATGCATACGACCATACCTAAAGCCAACCAAAAGTGATTTAAACAAATTACATAAAAACCCAGCGCCAGAAGCGTTTGAAAAATGTTTGGCAATTAAGCGGCAACAACGAGCAAAGACTTTTGTTTTTATTATTATTTTTTTACACAAAAACAAAGGCAACAAAGAGCCAACAAACAAAACGTATTGAAAATCTTATTCCAGCTATTGGATGGTTATGATACAGAGAGGAAAATAGCAAGGAGGATTTGTAATTAAAGGTATTTTAATGTGGGAAAAAGGTTTTAATAAGGAACTTTGTAGACAAGACAAAGGAACACTAATTTTAAGTGGGAAGTTATTAGAAAAGCCGCCTCTAAATAATGACTTCTAGCCGTTCTTATTGATAGAATGCCTTATTATATAGATATTTTTTTAGTCAATAGATATATTTCCCTATGTTTATGTTTAATATTTTTCCCCCTGTGTAGTTACTATGGCTGGTCCAGTGTAATCAGTTGGATCTGAACGCAAGATGCCCACATCTCAGAGAGATATTAAGCTCATTAAAAAGACGTGTCTGTGTTGAGGCTGAGGAGGAGCATACCATACACACACCTCTATACACTATATATATGTATATAGTTCCATCTTCTGGCTGCTCCATCGGCAACTTGATGCGAGATTCATTAAGGCTTAAGCCGCACAGAAAATATTTTTACGTTTGGGTCGCCGAAGGTCTTCCTACCTGTTGTTCGAACCGAACTCTCGAACCTTACTCAAAAAAAATGAGCAGCTGAGACCAGCAACTTGTTGTTGCTACTTCTGCTGGCTGTATGTAGATATATCTAAAGATACATATATATATTTTCGTATCTGTATACACAGATGTAGATGGTTGCGCATGCGCACACGGGGTGAGGTTGGGTCTTTTGTATCTCCTTCGGTTGCATTTCATTGTTATGACATCTACAGGTAACAAATTCTCCGATTCAAGAAACGAGTTCTGGGGAGATGGCTGCCGCCGTCGTGTTCAATGATTAAATATCATATTTTCGTTATCAGAAATCTCCTCGTACTCTTACTCGGTCGTTTCTCTTAGGGGTTTCCCCCCCTTGATTCCCCCTTTTGCAGCTGCATTCATATCTCAGATTGCTGTTGTCTTCTTGTCTTACAAGCAATTAAAAAAAATTATCGCCCAGCGAATGTGTGTGTGTGTGTCTGTCTGTGCCTCTCGGGTTGCATCCTTCCTGCAACTCCAAGTTGCAACATAATTAATGCAATTTCTGTAATCGTAATTTCTTTATCTATATATTCGCAGCGAACTGCAAGGCAATAACTTGACCGTGATATACGAGACAGATTTCCAGCGACTGACCAAGCTGCGAATGCTGTAAGTGGAATTTGGCTATATTTTTTCACAGGAAATGCAGGATTAACTCTTTCTATATATTATACCCAGGCAACTGACAGACAATCAGATCCATACAATCGAGAGGAACTCCTTCCAGGACCTGGTCTCCCTGGAAAGACTGTGAGTATTGTTTTCTTAACTTTAATAATAATCTTCTCACAATGCTAGCTGCATGACTATAACTATAAATCACTTTTTACTAACCGAATTTTTGAAAATTCTTAATAAGTATTTTTCTTAGATCCTAGACTTTAGAATTTAGCTAGCTTGATGCCAGAATTAGTTTGAATTTTTAACCATTATTGTATCTGATTCCCGTTATTTCGTTCTTGTTTATTTTATTGCATATATCTCTACCGTTCTTTGAATCTCTCTCTGCTTTCGTTACGTTTCGTTTTGCGTACCTAATATGCTCGTCTCTACACCAAAAACCAAACCAAAAATCGAAACAAACAAATCAAAAATCAAAACGAAACACCAAAAACAAATCAAAAACCAACACTGTAATCAATCAGACGCCTAAACAACAATCGACTAAAGGCAATTCCTGAAAACTTAGTGACAAGTTCAGCGAATCTTTTGCGATTGTAAGTAAAAAAAAAAAACAACTCCAAAGTAGCCGATATAGTAGTCGACACTTGTAGTTTGCCTTAACTCCTTACCGAATGCCTTATTAATATCATTCATAAAATCCCCAGGGATATATCCAACAATGTCATCGTCACGGTGGGCCGGCGCGTCTTCAAGGGAGCCCAGTCGCTGCGTAGTCTCCAGCTGGACAATAACCAGATCACGTGTCTGGACGAGCATGCCTTCAAGGGTCTCGTGGAGCTGGAGATACTGTGAGTACAGAATAAGATATATTATGTATATACAAAGTGAAGGGAGTTGGAGTTATCTGGCTGCTAGAATACCCAAATTAGTGCGGCAATCCACTCGAGTAATTAATCAATGATTTAGAGCCTTTTGTTAATCAATCAAACGGGAATTAGTCAATGAATTAAAAATCAATCAGTTAATGCGAGCCGCCTAAATTACATAATAAATGGTTAAGCTTCGTGGCGAGATAAGCCAATCCCAGCCACGAAATGGAGCTCATATATCAACTGATTACCAGCCAGAGACCACAGAGAGTGTGTGTGTGTTTGTGTGTGGCACAACCAGCTTGATATATGGCAAGTGGCAGTGCGAAAGTTAAACAGTTTTGTAATTGACACAAAACCGAATCGTAAATGAAAGTTTAACTGGAATTAACACAGTGTCTTGCAGGATAAATTGAAAGGTGTATCGAAAAAGAAGAAAAATAATTAATGAGACCAAAATTATATACAGTATACATTTTATTCTCAATTGATTAATGCTAAACTAGGAATGCGTATCTAGAAATTAAGTTTTATAAGATATCGTTCCCAAATCTTATCGTAAATTTTGACGTATCGATTTTAAAAATATGTAAAAATATCGCATTTAACATTAAAATATCGATAAGCGTAGAGGATTTTGGAGACAAAAATATGTCTCATATATCGAAAAGTATATCGATTTATCGCACATACATATGTATGAGCATTAAAAATATTGAAAATACATTAAAATATATAAATTATGGCTATTTATCGATATCGATATTTTAGTTTTTAAATTCCCTATAACATTTTCATATTTATTTTAGTAAATTCCTGTTACTTAATTAATAAGGTAACAATCTTAAGACTATAGTTTAAGAAATATGACATAGCCTCCAAATATGAACCAGGAAACGCTTTCTACTAAAGCAGAAATTTTAATTAAATTTTTGATCGGCCAGCAATCGATAACTGCTCCTTTTCTGGCCAAGCCCAGCCCTCGGGCATCGGAGGCATAACTAGCTTTATAGATACTAGCCAGCTGATAAGGCCGGATCATCCGCACTCACTCCATATACTGACCATATATACTCCTCCTCCACTCCCTCTCCACAGCACGCTGAACAACAACAACCTGACGTCGCTGCCGCACAACATCTTCGGTGGACTGGGACGATTGCGGGCTCTTAGGCTGTCGGACAATCCCTTTGCCTGCGACTGCCATCTGTCCTGGTTGTCGCGGTTCCTGCGCAGCGCCACCCGCCTGGCGCCCTACACCCGCTGCCAGTCGCCGTCGCAGCTGAAGGGCCAAAACGTGGCGGACCTGCACGACCAGGAGTTCAAATGCTCGGGTATGTAATGGTAATGGGATACTGCTCCCTAGCTGCCTAGCTGCCTTGTGCAACATGTTGTGGCAGCTTCCACTCCCCGAATGCTACCAAAAATGGTGTGTACCGCCCCTGCTACCCTCCTCCCCTTCTTCATCTTCTTTCTTAGTCAAAATTAATTAGTTTTTTATGCCAAATGCGAGGAAAACAACAAAAGCCGAAAGCACTGCGGGTATAAATCATAAGCAGTCATATGGGCACGCCCCCGCCGCCCCCACATGGCCTCATAGCTGGCAAGAGAACCTCATCCACTTGGTGGTTTTGGTGGCTTCATCTCCATTTCCACAGATCCATTTCGGGGGTAATCCCCTCACTTTGCCGTTGTGTTGTTTGCCAAAACGTTTAACGCCGTCGAAATCACTGGCTTGTGTTTGTTGTGGTTGCTGTTTTTTTTTTTTTTTATCGGAAAAGATGCGGATGCAGATGCTCAAGACGTAGCTGAAGCTGAAGCTGCGGGCCAAGTGAATGGAAGTGGAAGGTGGCCAAAACCAAGACGAAAATCAAGCAAAAGTAAGATGAAAAGCAAAGCTCAAGACTGAGCGTGAAGCGCTCAATGAAGCGGAAAATGCGCCTCGAAAACGATGCAGCAGCAGCAGCCATGAAACGAGTTTTGATGGTGGCTCTCAGGCTAAAGCTGAGGCTGAGGCCCAGGCTCCCGCTCAGTTCAGCCTTTGGTTAGGGTATTGTTTTCGGCTGTGGTGGCTTTTGCCAGGGAGCCTGTAATCGATACCAGTATGCAGATGAGCTAAGGGAATAACCCTGGATATTGAATGACCCGTGTCAAGTTGGCTGATGGTTTATTTGTGGCCATAATGAGAGTTTCCGGGAATTAAAGCTAGGTGTGATGGGAAATTGAGCGTTTATTGTTCAAGGTTTTTGATAAATATTTGATATTAATTACTTTGGGAATAGTTTGAGAATAGTTTTAAGCTTCTTATGCTTATATTTTCTTATAAATAATTGATTTTATTAGTTAAAATACATTTTACTTGCTCTAAATACTATACTTTCCTGACCTTCTCCCTTTAAAACCTCCCTCTAAAAACTTCCCCTGTTCACATCTCCCCAAAAAGAGTATCTAAACTTTCACCTTCAACTATTTCCTGCTATAATTTCTTAGCTTGTTTGACTTTAGTGTCGTTAAAATATGTACACTTTACCAGCTCTAAAGTGGAGTCACTTTCCTGACCTTCTCCCTTTGAAATACCTCCTAAAAACCTTACTTTATCTTACCTTCCCAGAAAGAGTATCTCCACTTCCACCTTCAACTATTTTGTGCTATAATTTCTTGGCTTGTTTGACTTTCGTTTTGTATGAAATGCTATGGAATTATGTGGGTAAACATTTATGACCGGCGGCTGGTTATAGTTACACCTCCCCGAATCCCGAATCCCCCAAAACCCCATCTCCACTTCCACCTCGAGAGCTGTGCGGTAGCATTGATAATTACGCTACTGCTGGTAGAGATCCAAATCGGATGGATGCTCGTTTCCCAGCTACCGGAGCTCTGGTTGCTGGTTACTGCTGCTTGCCCATCCCCCTAAACAAAAATTAAAGCGAAGCGAAGCGAAATTTGCAAGCGACTTATCCCTGATCTCTGGCAACCATATTGTTTGTCCATCAACAGGTCTGACGGAGCACGCACCGATGGAATGCGGGGCGGAGAACAGCTGTCCGCACCCATGTCGCTGTGCGGACGGGATCGTCGATTGCCGTGAGAAGAGTCTGACCAGTGTGCCCGTCACCTTGCCCGACGACACCACCGAACTGTAAGTGGTGCATCTCATCATCAACTCGTCTCATTTGCTGGAGTGACACCCCCTCTCCGTCTTATTTTTCAGCCGCCTGGAGCAGAACTTCATTACGGAACTGCCGCCGAAATCGTTCTCCAGCTTTCGGCGTCTGCGACGCATCGACCTGTCCAACAACAACATATCCCGGATTGCCCATGATGCTCTCAGCGGCCTAAAGCAGTTAACCACTCTGTGAGTAGATAATGCCACGAGCATGGATGTGTGTGGGGGGGGAAGTCACTTTTACCAAGTGCAACAAGTAGCCATCGCACAAAGTGTGCACTCACTTGAGCTGCCCCGTGCACACGGTGGTGGTGGTGGTGGCAGAGTCACCTGAGCTGGAGTACCCACTGCTGCTGCTGCTGCTGCTGGAGGGTATGAAGGGAGACACAAGAGGTGCCTCTGGGCCTGGCCAAAAGCGGGCTAATCGGCCCACGCTAAGCGTTGGCTCACACCGCAAGGCATCGGCTTACCTGGAGGACCTCCACCGAGCGCACGAGTGTGTGTGTGTGTCTCGCTTTGATGGAGCTGTAAACGTGACACGAACTTAATTAATGTTGGGCCCATTAAAAGGGTTTTAATTCCTGGCTGAGTACCTACTTGGGGGGCTTGGCCTTGGGGTGGCTAATCCTTGAATTTGACTTTGCATAATTCAAAGGGATTTAAGGTATTGGGGGGGTTGTTAGAAGTGATTATGTTTTAGGGGGATTTAAGTGGAAGTGAGGAATTTGAGCAGAAATTAATTCAATAAGGTTTTTGATTTAAAGGGGAAATTAATAAATTTTTAACAAAAAAAAAAAACCTTTAGAAAAGTGATTTTAGAAGGGATTAATTGAAGTCTTTAATATATATTAAAAACAATTATAAATTTTACTTAAATAATTAATTACTTAGGGGGTTTAGTAGCTTGTAAATAGGCCTAAAAACCAGGTTTTCCATTTAAAATCAACCCTCCCTAGAATTCCAATCGTGTCACGAGTCCAGAGCCAACTCCAGCTCATCTCCCAGCACCGGCTGGTTGCCCCAAACAAACCAGTTGTCGCTTGGAATGACAGCAGCAAACATCCACACATCAACCAGAAGAAGGAACCGCACAGCCCCAAACCACTTTGTCTTGGGCCGCAGAGTGATTTTTATACATTTTTTTGTCGTTCTTGTTGTTTTGTAATTTTTGTGCCACCTTCTGGCTTGGTTTTTGTTTTGTTTTTTATGTTTTACTTTTGTTTATTCCTTTTACTTTTCTCAAGCTTTGTGTTAACATTCCTCGTGTGTTCTATTTGTGTGTTCTTTTCCATGTCGACTCCACCCTCGGATCCATCCCATCATCAGTGTGCTGTATGGCAATAAAATAAAGGATTTACCCTCGGGCGTGTTCAAAGGACTCGGCTCACTGCAGCTGCTCCTGCTGAACGCCAACGAGATCTCGTGCATACGCAAGGATGCCTTCCGCGACCTCCATAGCTTGAGCCTGCTCTCGCTGTACGACAACAACATCCAGTCGCTGGCTAATGGCACATTCGACGCCATGAAGAGCATCAAAACGGTGTAAGTACATGGAGTCCCCAGCTCCGCCCCCATCCCCCTGCCACCACTGCGTCCGCCCACAATCCACATTCACGTCCACGTCCACTCGAGCCCATGTCGGGATCCCATCTTGAATGGAGCAGGCACTTTGGTGTTAAACCTCTGAAGTGCATTTAGTAGTTGCCTTTGACTGCTGCGCCCTCGCCTTCTCGCCTCGTCGTTCGCGTTGACATTTGTTTAGCAGCAAACAAGAAGCTCCTCCCGCCCACAGCTCCTCCAGTTTCTATAGCTCCCCTGAATTCCCAACTCCCTTCTCCGTGAACCGTGAAGACTTTCGGCCTTAGCGAACAAAAGGCGAAGACGCTGAGAAGAAGAATTCTCCTTTTGGCATCGATAAATGTGCGCGGCTGCGAGGCTGCAACTAAAAACTTGGACGGAAGGCGGAGTGACTACTCCTCCTCCTCCTCCGCCTCTCGCGGGGCGGTAAAACGAGGTCCAAAAGTGCAGGATTTGTTGTATGCTTGAGTGGGTTAAGTATTTGCCAGGGTTGTCAGCTTTATAGGGACTGATACTTGAGAGATTTTAAATTACAAAAGCAAGTTTAAATAACCTTTCTCCTAAAGAGAAAATATTTTCTTTTTCCCCAAAAACTTAGAGGTAAAAACCCACCTAATTTGCCAAAAATATAAAACTGAAAACTGCTGTGGTTTTATGACTCTGGCTCTTTGAAACTGCCGAAACTTAAATTACCTTCAGGAATAGCCAAAACTACTGGTTAAAAGAACCTCCAAAACCAAGATGTTTATTGATACGCGAATGAAGCAAACTAGCTTTTATGGCCCCTAACTTTAATATATAGGAAGCAGCGGAAACATAAAAATCATTCCGAATTGTGGCCATTAAAGAGGGGCGATTTTAAGAGCTGTGAGGAAATATGCTGCTCATCAATGGCCGTCTTCGGGGGATCCACCTCCTGAAATTGCTCTGGAAAATCATTTACTCTTACCTGGCAACCCTGTTGGGAATTGCTTTTAAATAGTTGCAAAACAACAACGGCTACAACGGAAATGTCGTAGCCACAAGGCTGGTGCACTTTTAAGACGTCTCAAGTCTCCTTCGAAAGTCTCCTATACCTATACCACCTCTCTACCTACGGAACCTTCTGTTTCCCGGGCAACGTCTCGGTCCCCCTTAAGTCCTGCTGCATAACCATTTCAGCCATTCAGTCGAATGCTCAATGCTACTTTCTTTGCTTACTTTCTTTCCATTTGCACACGCACACTTGGAACACTTGGAACACCCTGAACACCCGGACACCCCACAGGCATCTGGCCAAGAATCCTTTCATCTGCGACTGCAATCTGCGCTGGCTGGCCGACTATTTGCACAAAAATCCCATAGAGACGAGTGGAGCCCGCTGCGAGTCACCGAAGCGGATGCATCGTCGTCGGATTGAATCGCTGCGCGAGGAGAAATTCAAATGTAAGACCGAGAGCCCCGTGCCCGACGTCCGTCCTTGTGCTTAACCAACCAACCTCCTTGTGCTGTTGCTTTTTTTCAGGCTCCTGGGATGAATTGCGGATGAAGCTGTCCGGCGAGTGCCGCATGGACTCCGATTGTCCGGCAATGTGCCATTGCGAGGGCACCACCGTGGACTGTACGGGTCGCGGCCTGAAGGAGATTCCCCGAGACATTCCCCTCCACACGACCGAGTTGTAAGTTGAACCCTTTCTTCCACTCACTTCCTTCCTTCCGGCTGCTGTGTACATCCTGGCTGCTCCATCCTGATTCCTTCTTAACTCGATACATTATTCGATTTCAGACTGCTTAACGACAACGAACTGGGACGCATCAGCTCCGATGGTCTGTTTGGCCGATTGCCGCATCTGGTCAAGCTGGAGCTGAAGCGAAATCAGCTCACAGGAATCGAGCCGAATGCTTTTGAAGGAGCCTCGCACATCCAGGAGCTGCAGCTGGGCGAGAATAAGATCAAGGAGATCTCGAATAAGATGTTTTTGGGACTGCATCAACTCAAGACGCTGTAAGTTTTCCCTTGAAATTTACCTCTTGTAAAACCTGATGTCTAACCCACAATTATCTTAACCCCTTTTGTGACTCATTAACCTGACAATTATGCAATCTACTTTCTTTGCAGCAATTTGTACGACAATCAAATCTCATGCGTTATGCCCGGCTCCTTTGAGCATCTCAACTCGCTGACGTCGCTGTAAGTATCCATGATTTTCTTTCTAGATTCCCCACCAGATACCAAAAACCAGATGCCTTTGCAGCAATTAAAACTGTGCCAAGTGCTCGGGATGCACTTCAATAGACAAATGATTTGGCTTAAGCATTAATTGGCCAGCAGAGCAGGGCATAGCAGGGCAGCTCCTCCTCGCTCGTAAAATGAGGTTAATGGTTCTGATTGTTCTCCCGTTGAACTCCGTCTGATGTGGCTGCTGCCTTCAAATCAGTTTTACTTCTCCATGGCAGCAGCCAACGAAAGCACAGCAAACTATTGTATATAATTCAATTGAAGTTCAATTTATAGCATGAGTTGCTCCCCGTCTGGTATAGTATAGTATGTGCTGTTGCGATAACAGATACCATCCTCCCATCTTCTCGTGCTTGTAAATCATCCCCCGAAACCCAAAAGGGAGCACACGGAGCACAGTGTGTGTTCGATGATTTAATTAATTAAAATTGAGTTCAATGAAGGGACTTTCTATGTGGGAGAGCTCTATGTGTGTGTGTGCGATAGGTGCTGTGTGTGTGTGTGTGTGGTCCGCTGTGGGCTGCTTCTCCTCGCAAATTATTGTAAAATTCACTTAAGTAGCTAATAAATAGCATCAATGAAATTCATTAAGTGCTGTGCACCACATGACACCCACCAGCACCACCCACGACCAGGTCCAACAACCAAACCATAGCCATCATCAACGCCCTCCCTTCGCCTTCGCCACCTTTGAAGGTGTTGCGTGAAGGGAGCTCAAAGTGTTAGTTGGCTGCCTTCGGCCTACACACACATACACTGGGGGAAAATGTTTAATTTGAATATATTCAAAATATATATATTACTTCCTAAAGAATAGAGTTATTTTTAAAGCTGTTTTTCAATTAATTCAATTTTTAGCAGAGTAAAAGAATAGAGTTGTCTCTTAATCTGTTTTTAATTTATTGTCAATTATTTTCTATTCAAATTGGACAAAAATATGACAATAAATATCTATTGACATAAACTTTCAATGCTTTTCCCCTCTTCATTTTGTGAAATGTATTCCCTAAGGTACCAAATAATTTCCCCCAGTGTACACTTTCTAACACACACACACTCATGTAATAGAGAGCCGGCATAGCTGATGGCATGACAAAGCAGAATTGCTTATTAAATTAGTCTGGACTCGGCTGCAACTTTGGAATTGCCAATGTAATTTGTGCGCCATTGTTTCACTTGCTCCACTATGCTCCTGGCTGTGGCCCTGCTCCCTCTTCCTCACCAGCTACCATGCCCTCACCCTCACCCTCACACCACCTCCTCTTCTCCTTCGCATAATTAAAGTGCCTGTTTGGCTGGGATTGGATTGGCCAGAGTAACATATGCTGACTACAGCTCCGAATGAATACGGAATTAATTTATCACAAAAAAGGGGGGTAGAAAGGATTGGGCAGGCAGAAATTGAATTATAAGAACCCCTTTTTTTATCAATAAGCCTTTATCGTAATCCTTTTTTGTGGCTATTTTTTAAACCTATTTTTAATTATTTTATTTTTTTTTTTGCTTCCTTTCAGGAACCTTGCCTCGAATCCATTCAATTGCAATTGTCATTTGGCCTGGTTCGCGGACTGGTTGCGCAAAAAATCGCTGAACGGCGGAGCGGCACGTTGCGGTGCCCCCTCCAAAGTACGTGATGTGCAGATCAAGGACCTGCCCCACTCCGAATTCAAGTGTACCAGCGAGAACAGTGAAGGCTGCCTAGGCGATGGCTACTGCCCGCCATCCTGTACCTGCACTGGCACTGTGGTACGCTGTTCGCGGAATCAATTGAAGGAGATACCGCGTGGCATACCAGCAGAGACCTCAGAGTTGTATTTGGAGTCCAATGAGATTGAGCAGATTCACTACGAGCGGATACGACATCTTAGGGCTTTGACAAGACTGTAAGTATTTCTTGAGAATTTGGGATTTTTAGGGAAGAGGTAACTTAATTTTTCTGTATTTTCTCAATAGCGACCTCAGCAACAACCAGATCACCATACTGTCCAACTACACCTTCGCCAATCTGACCAAGCTGTCCACCCTGTAAGTGCACCACCATTGCGGTCTAATGACTTTTTAATTGCTACGTAGCAGAGGGAGGAAACCACGAAATCGAAGGCTTAAGAGGGCTTGACACAATTCTGCGCCAATTGCATCGTTTGTCGACCTGGGCTTGGGCCTGTGAATGGGTTGGGGCATTGGGCATTGGGGGCCCAGTGCCTAGTGCCTGATGCCTGGTCTTTGGCTTTTAGTCTCCTCTGTCCCTCTGTCCAAAAGGCATTGCCAACCAAGAAGGCGCAGGCACGAAATTCATTCCGAGACGTAAAGTCGAAATCGTGACTCGTGCTTAAGCATTAGTCGTTGGCGATGACTTCGATGGTAGCGTTGCCTAGCCTGGACAGTGGGCTGAAACTGGTTTATTTTTGTATAAAAAACTTGATTTGTTGTTAAATGAGGAATATTTCAAGGGATTTCTAGCTCTCAAGGAATTCTTTGGCAGCAGCTTCAATGTTTATGAATTATATTCCTGAATTCTTCCGTTTCTGATACTTAAAATTCCTAATCCCAATACAGAGGCTGAGTTATCTTGTTACCTCATTCCACTGTAACCCCTGCCTGTGTCCGCTATCCACAATCAAAGCTTAGCCAGCCGTTATTTCTGGTGTCTCTCCTTCGCTTTTGCGAATGGAAAACGTTTTGCAATTACTTTCATTTCTTCATCAATTGCCGCATGTGTCTGTGTGTGTTTGTGTGTCTCCTAATGCAATTTGCTAACGTCTCCGTTTCCCTTTACCTTCCTTCCTTCCTGCCTCACAGCATCATCTCGTACAACAAGCTGCAGTGTCTGCAGCGGCATGCGTTGTCTGGCCTGAATAACCTGCGCGTGCTCTCGCTGCACGGTAACCGCATCTCGATGCTGCCGGAGGGCTCCTTCGAGGACCTCAAGTCGTTGACCCACATGTAAGTAGATGGGCAATGTCCCCTGGCTAACGGACAGTCCCTTGAACCTATTTCCTTTTTTACTTTTCCCAGAGCCCTGGGCAGCAATCCTTTGTACTGTGACTGTGGCCTGAAATGGTTCTCCGACTGGATCAAGCTGGACTATGTGGAACCGGGTATTGCCCGCTGCGCTGAGCCGGAGCAGATGAAGGACAAGCTGATCTTGTCAACGCCCTCGACAAGCTTTGTGTGCCGCGGTCGCGTGCGCAATGATATCCTGGCCAAGTGTAATGCCTGCTTCGAGCAGCCATGCCGCAACCAGGCCCAGTGCGTGGCCCTGCCCCAGCGGGAGTACCAGTGCCTCTGCCAGCCGGGTTACCATGGCAAGCACTGCGAGTTTATGATCGATGCCTGCTATGGCAATCCCTGCAGGAATAATGCTACGTGCACCGTGCTAGAGGAGGGTCGCTTCAGCTGCCAGTGCGCCCCTGGCTATACAGGTGCCCGCTGCGAGACCAATATAGACGATTGTCTGGGCGAGATCAAGTGCCAGAATAATGCTACCTGCATAGACGGTGTGGAGTCTTACCGCTGCGAATGCCAGCCTGGGTTCAGCGGTGAGTTTTGCGACACCAAGATACAGTTTTGCAGCTCCGAGTTCAATCCCTGTGCCAATGGAGCCAAGTGCGTGGACCATTTCACCCACTACAGCTGCGACTGCCAGGCGGGTTTCCATGGCACCAACTGCACGGACAACATCGATGACTGCCAAAACCACATGTGCCAGAATGGTGGAACCTGTGTGGATGGCATCAATGACTATGTATGCCGCTGCCCGGATGACTACACGGGCAAGTACTGCGAGGGTCACAACATGATCTCCATGATGTACCCACAGACATCGCCCTGCCAGAACCACGAGTGCAAGCATGGGGTTTGTTTCCAGCCCAATGCCCAGGGCAGCGATTATCTGTGCCGCTGCCATCCGGGTTACACGGGCAAGTGGTGCGAGTATCTCACCAGCATTAGCTTCGTGCACAACAACTCCTTTGTGGAGCTGGAACCGCTGCGTACGCGTCCAGAGGCAAATGTCACCATCGTCTTTAGCAGCGCCGAGCAGAATGGCATTTTGCTGTACGACGGACAGGATGCTCACCTGGCGGTGGAGCTGTTTAATGGACGCATTCGCGTTAGCTACGATGTGGGTAACTATCCGGTGTCCACGATGTACAGCTTTGAGATGGTGGCCGATGGCAAGTACCATGCCGTAGAGCTTTTGGCTGTCAAGAAGAACTTTACTCTTCGCGTGGATCGGGGTTTGGCGCGTTCTATAATCAACGAGGGCTCCAATGACTACCTGAAGCTCACCACGCCCATGTTCCTGGGAGGACTGCCCGTGGATCCTGCTCAGCAAGCTTACAAGAACTGGCAGATCCGAAACCTCACCAGCTTCAAGGGTTGCATGAAGGAGGTTTGGATCAACCACAAGCTGGTGGACTTTGGCAATGCCCAGCGCCAGCAAAAGATCACACCTGGGTGTGCCCTGCTTGAGGGTGAGCAGCAGGAAGAGGAGGATGACGAGCAGGACTTTATGGATGAGACGCCACACATTAAAGAGGCAAGTACACTATTCTTACTTTGTTTTTATCATATTTTAAATATTTCTTCTAACCCAGGAACCTGTGGATCCCTGCCTCGAGAACAAATGCCGTCGTGGCAGCCGCTGTGTTCCAAATCCCAGCGCCAGAGATGGCTACCAGTGCAAGTGCAAGCATGGCCAGCGCGGCCGCTACTGCGATCAAGGTGAGGGCAGCACAGAGCCCCCAACAGTCACTGGTACATACATACATCTATCATGCTTATGCTACTCACACATACACAGCACCCCCGGAAGGGGGTTGGGGGGGTTTACTACTAACCATAAACCCACTCATAACTCACGCTCAGCGCAGTTTATGTGGGGCATATATAAAGTGGAACCAGCTAGCCATAAAACATGTGTCCAATCAAGGAGAGATGGGGAGGATTTTAATATTTTTTAGCTTCAAGTTGTTATAAAACTACCGGGGGAAGTTTTTGATATGGCAAAGAAAGTAACTACTATAATGTTCTTTGAAAGAGTTGGCAAGACTATGGAAAACCCGGTACTTGGATAGAAATTCAAGAAACAATTTAATAAGAGGAAAGTTTAATGTATTTCTTTTGATAAAGTAAAGATATAAATGCTTATTTCTCAGCTTTTTTCATATTTTCTTGAGTTAATCTAAAGTCTAATCAGTTTTTTCTACCAAAAGTGTTCATTTCTTAAGGATATTTTTTCTCATTTATAAATCTAAAGTCTGGAACAACTTTATAATTGCCTTTGATATCCTTTGACACATTTAAGCAGAAACTCAGGCTCTAGGACAGCATGCAAATAGGTGCACAAAACCAAATATTAACCCTCCAAGTCATTAGTCATTGGCACACACACACCACATTCATGGCTCTTGCTTCTCACGCTCATCAACCATCCATCATGGGAGGAGGGGGGTACCTAGTGCTTTGCGCACTTTGTTAGCTCTAATTAGCCAGCCGCAGGGCTCACACTGCATTCGTCACTACACCTCAAGCCACTGACTAATTGAGCTCCTTTGACTTTTCTTCCTCTCTCTCTCTCTCTCTCTCTCCCTTAGCGGCTAGCACCTGTCGCAAGGAGCAGGTGCGCGAGTACTACACGGAGAACGACTGCCGCTCCAGGCAGCCGTTGAAGTACGCCAAGTGTGTGGGCGGCTGCGGCAATCAGTGCTGCGCGGCCAAGATTGTGAGGCGGCGGAAGGTAAGTGAATCTCTTAACTTGGTCAAGTCATGTGATTAATCTTTCTTCCCTCCAATAGGTGCGCATGGTGTGCAGCAACAACCGCAAGTACATCAAGAACTTGGACATCGTGCGCAAGTGCGGATGCACCAAGAAATGCTACTGACTGAAAGATGCGACTACCCAATTGCTCGAGCGGAGCAATAGCAGCTTAGATGTTAGTTTAGGAACAGGTTTAAATCTAACTTATAGTAGTAGTAATAGTAACGATAGTCTTAGCCATAGCACTAGGGATAGCAAGGATGTTAAGGGGGCGGAGGAAGGGAGTGTGAGTGTGAATGCAAAGGAGGAGGAGGAGGAGACAACAGAGTTGGGGGAGGAAGACTATCCCACGGAGCAAACGGATGGCATGCAGGCCGATCTCTACGACGATACCGTCTTCGATGAAGACGACGATGATGATGATGATGGTATCGAGGATGATTATGCAGAGGAAGAGGATGAGGAGCCCGAGCAGCTGCCCGATCCCAAGGGTCTGGTGAGTGTGCCGGAGGAGGAGGAGGATATGGGCTATGACGAGGATGATGAACGCATAGCCATGGAGCGTCCAAGAACGGCGAAACCGCGTGCCGATGAGGAGCACTTCGTCAACGAGGAGGGCAGCGGCTTTGGTGGCTTCCGGTCACGCTTCCGGCCGAGCAACAGCTTCCGCGAGAGCCAGCTGGAGAATATACGCAAGAAGCTGCTCACCGAGTCACAGGCCGTGCCTCCCGAGGCAGCCGTCGCGGTGGCCGTGCCGAGCACTGCGATCGATCTGCGCGAGAGCAGCGGCCACTTTGCCAACGATGACGAGGATGGCGAGGACGGCGATGACGGCGTCGATGACGAGTTTGCCGATACGGGCGAGAACCAGGGGCGCGGCTTCTTTGGCTCCCAGCAGCAGCAGCGCAAGAGTGGTCCTTACCATCGCAAGAATGGCAATGATGCCATCAAGATTATATCGACGCCGCTGGGCAAGGTGAGCATTGTGTACCAGCAGACGGACAAGGATCAGAATGCGGACAAGGATGCCGCGCAGCAGCAGCAAAAGAAGCCGGCGCTTACCGACTTTGACGCCCTGTCGCCGGACCCCGAGAGCAGTCATCGCTTTCCGTCGCCACACCCCAAGATTACGCCTGTTCTGACGCCCGATGGCAAGGTGGCGCTGCTCTATCGCGGAGACTCGGAGAGCTCCAAGTACGAGCCCATTCGCAATCTCACGCACAAGTTCACGCCGGGCAAGCCGGCCAAGGAGGCGCCCAAGGCCAAGTCCGAGGATTCCTCTTCCTCGGAGGACTCTGTCTACACGGATAGCGAGGATGCAGAGGATAGTGCAGGTGAGGGGGGCGCTGGAAAACCCTCTCTCACAGCCAGCACGCCCAAGCCCTTGCAGCCGGAGATTGTGGAGCCGCCGGCTAATGTTCAGCCGGGAGGATCCTTCATCATTCGGCCCACCTCAGATTCCCTACTGCCCATGATCAACCGGCCACTGTCCGAGGTCCTGGGCATCAAGAAGAATCAGTTCCAGGAGACGCGAGTTCGGGACCAGCTGCCTACGCAGCAACCTCCGCCGCCCCTGCCGGACTCGGACGTATCCCGCAGCGCTTCACTCGGCGGACATCAGTTCCTCACCAAGGTGAACCTGGCCGAGTTTCCCACCTCGGGGCGAACGCTCCAGCAGCCGCTGATCCCCGCCAGCCGGGACTTTGACTTTAGTCGCGACAACACAATGCTGGACGAGCGGTCACGAGTGCGCGAGCTGGAGAAGCAGCGGGAACGCGAAAAAGAGCACAACGAGGCCACCAGCAAGGGTGCCACCGAGGCGCACACAATAGCCAACGAGCAGTTGCTCTCGAAGACCGAGGTGATTAACCTGGCCATTGTGCCGCAGTTCGATGAGGATATGGAGCGACTGCAGCGGCTGCAGGAGAACGGTGGCAGGCGGCATCATAGGGCGCGTCATCGCCATCGCCAGCAGACTGAAGAGGAGCTGTCCGGCATCCATTGCATCATGCAGGTCATGATGGGCGTGGCCGCCGTATCGACGGTCTTCGGTATGCTGGGCACCTTCTTCAAGCAGCGAATCCTCGATCAGCTGCGCATGATGCACTGGTAGTACAACAAAGGGGGGTTCGATGTCCCCCAGTCCCTGTTCCTGTCCCTGCTTCTTCATTCCCCAAGTCCAGATCTGTGGAGGATGCCATCAATGCCCATATATACTCGTATATATACTCGTACTCGTACTCGAACCATATGCCATATACATATAGCACATATACATCTCTATATTCAGCAGCTAATCGCATTATCTTTGTAGACACAGCGGCATCGATTTGCTTTCCTTCCCCTTTCCCTTTCCGCTTTTCTTTATATTTATATACGTACATATATCTAAACCTTCGGCCAAGGATCGTCCGTGTCCTGGCCACCCATGTATTCTATATATATTCGCATATATAATATCTATTTACTAGTGCAAGCTACCCAGGCGATGTACATAATAACAGAACCATAATACGCGATCGATCGATCCAGATTCAGATTCAGATCCTGATCCGGATCCCGGTATCTATATATATGTGAGACGCAACTGTAGCCCCTGCCAAGTCCGCTGGAAATTAGCTACCCAGCTCCTTCTTTCGCACGCTCTGTTGTGCCTTTCCCTGCATCATCGGAACCACCATCATCATCATCAGAGTAATCAAGCTTTAAGCAAGTCATTGCATGTGCCACGTCCTGACCCCTCAAAAGGGTCCTCCTCACCCGCCCAGCATGAACAAACATACACATTCCCCTCTCTTCGCCGCCACAAGTCAAGGAACTCGCCTCCAATTGGATGTAGAAAACCGATTCCTTTTGTAGATAGAAAACGAAACAGAAACACAGTTGTTGTTGCCAGGATACCAGATGGAGTCGAATAACTAAATTAACTAAACTAAAGTTAAAGTTAAAAAAGAAAGAAAGAAAAGAAAATCCGCACACACACACACACGCATCACAAATCCTGCACCGACAGACGTTTTAAACGCTCCGCGCAGGATTCTCAAAGAAATAACGAGTAAAGGATAATAATGATAAACACCTTCTTAGGCTAAGTTGCTCAAAGGAACGTAGAGAATCGGAGGAGAAACCACAAAGAATCGAAACGAAACAAAGGCCCCCAAAACGTGTAACGAATTTCCAGCAAATAGTTGCAAGTGTTTTCCTAGGATTAGTTGCTAAAAATGTGTGCAAATCGGAGCGTAACTAATATTACCATTAACCTAAACTAAACTAAAGTAATTGAAGAACAAAAACCTAAACATAATGATAAATGATAATTGATAAATGATCGGATAACAACATCTAAGCTGGGTAGTCGCATGTAAATCTCTAAACAATTAACACTTAACGACCTAAGTTAGACCTAAATCGAAACGAAACGAAATCGAATCGCATTTAACGAAGGAACCTACATAATAATAATTATTTATACTAATCTATATATACCTATATGTATGCTGTATGTACTATATATATATGTATGAGCCCCCCTATACGATGTATATGTAAAATGTTTTTGACTATTTTTCACTATTTATATCCATATATATTATATATGCATATACGAGATACGTGTGTAATAGCCCCTTTTGGTCCACCTTAGTTCTCTTTTATATATATATTTAAACCGTGTATTTGTATTCGTATCCGTATCCGTACTGTATGTATTATTTTTATTAATTATTCACACACCAATTATACACGCATACTATATGTATAACCTATTGACAAATATATATGCATATATACATAATATGTGTATTAGCTGTTGCTAAACCAAGTTAATTATCAGTTTTTTCATTTTGCAATTTCAATTTAAATCGACGAAGCTTTCGACGGTTCGCAGCCGCAAAATTGTGTTCAGCTAATTAATTAGGAAGAGAACGAACCTCTCGTACCCGAAACAATCGATGCATTTTCGACTAGCAATGGGGTGAAATTCGAAATTATATGACATTCATTTCTGTGTGTAATATTTATTTCCTAATAAAGATGACAAAAATGTTTAAAATAAAGCTGGGAAAGTGTATTATTTGACGGAGATCTCGTATGAATAGGTAGTATTTTGGTAAAGAAATATGTGATAGAAATATTCAAGAAAGAATTAAAGGTAGTTGCAGTTTTAAATTCTAAACAAGAAAGAAAGCTAACTTTGGACAGCCAAAGTTTGTATAACCTTGCAGGTAACAATTAAAATATATCATAACTAAGCCAAAAATGCATTAATTTCGATTCGGAAAGCAGTTTTGTGTTAATTTTTATTAATTTAAAAAAACTGCATACCAAATTTCAAATTTTAAGAAATCAAAATTTTTGGTCATTTTTGCTAATTTTAATGATGTAACCCCTTATCAAATTTCGCAAAAATGGCAAAAAAATCGATTTCTTCCGGACATATCTAGAAAGATTCCCCTGTTGATGCTGATCAAGAATATATATGGTTTATGGGGTCGGAAATGATTCCTTGACTTAGAAAAATGTTATTTTGTATTAAAAAATCGGATTTTTTATATTAAAAAACTTATTGATTATTTTTAAATTAAAAATATCATAACTCGGCCAAAAGAGCATTAAATTTAAATCGGAAAACTATTCTGTGCAAGACTTTCTACAGTTAATAAATCTGCATACTTCATTTAAAAATTTTGAAAATTCAATTTTTTATCAAAATCAAAAATTTTAATGATGTAACCCCTTATAAAATATTGCAAAAATGGCAAAAAAATCGATTTCTTCCTGACATATCTAGAAAGATTCCCCTGTTGATGCTGATCAAGAATATATATACTTTATAGGGTCGGAAACATCTCCTTCACTGCATTGCAAACTTCTGACTGAAATTATAATACCCCGAAAGGGTATAAAAAAGCTTCAATAACTATATTGTTTACCATTGTCAGTTAAATTACTCAGTAATTCTTAACTCTACAATGAGAAACTGCTCTAAATAACTTGAACTTTTTGGTAACAAAAATAAAACGAATTTATTGACTTGCCTAATTTAATTTATAAACATTTTTCTTAACCAGTTTCCAAATAATGGTACTGATCTATAAAAAAAACCTACTCTAAAATGCTATTTCCTTACTCGCATAATATATTTATTTACTTTTTTACTGATTTAATGGATCCGATTGACCAAATTTTCACATTTTAACTCAAATGACTCTTAAAAAACCGTTATATATCAAAAATGTCGTTGCCACCTGTTTGATTTCAGGGATGAAAGGCATTGCGGAGTTATCGGTTATCGGCTTTTGAAAACCGCCAGATCTAGCGGGAAACTAGCTAATTCGGCACAGCTGCACGGCTGTTCGCGCGCTTTTCTTATTCTTATTCTTTAAACAGCGCGAAAAACCTCTTGTGGCAGTTGCAAAAAGTGGAAAGTGAATAGTATCACAGCAAGCAGATCGAGTGCATCCCAACGCTGAGCATGGACATCGATTTCGGCGCAGAGGCGGGGCGCTCCTACCACACGGTGCAGCTCTCCGCCAAAGAAGTGCTCGCCGCTGGCCGCCGTCAGCATTATTGCAACGTAAGTAGGCCACCTTGCATGCTAATCCCCCCTCACCTGGCACCAAAACCCCTTTTCCCCCCGTTGCAATCACCCGGCAGATGATCGACCTGCTGACCAGCAGCTGCAAGAGCTCCGGACTGACGTCCACTTCATTCACCGACGACGAGCTGGTGGAGTTCTGGCTGGGCGACATCCTGCCGCTGATGTTCGATGAAGAGCGCAAGATACAGGATCGCGCCATTGGCGCACTGGCAGAGGCGCTGGTGGCCCTGGACGTGGCCGCCATCCACTCGGCCAGGTGCTGGCCCAGCATCCGCAGCGAATTCGTGAACAAGTATGCCAACCTCATTGGCGAGATGCGCGACGCCAAGAATTCCAACTGGCACAAGATCTGGACACTGTTGGTGCAGATCATGGACGAGGAGTTGCTGCGCGGTTGCGTGTACATCAACAAATTCCTGGCCGTTGTGGAGCTGGGCTTCCGTAACCCGGACAACGGCGTCCGCTCGGAGGCCTTTCTCTGCTGGCGTGTGCTCATCAAGATCTTCGCCGCCTACGACGAGTTGGCCTCTGGCAAGAGGCTCCGCCTGCTGCTCATCCCCTTGAGGACCTCGCAGTCGCGTTCCTCTCACGTTAGCGGCATCAAGCTGCGCGTCTGGTGGTACCTGCTCACGTGCCTGGACAAGGAGCTGCCCAAGTCCTTCGAGGGCGCCGTGGAGCACTTTCTGTGCTTCACTTTCGGCGGCGGAACGCGTAACCTGCCCACGGGTCTGGCTCACAACTACCAAACGGCCAGGGAATTGGCCCTGCCCTGCCTAGTGGCCCTTTGGGGCGTGGAGCACAATGAGGCGCTGCAGCGTTTGTTTAGGGAGCTGCGTCTGGAGACGCTCGCCCTGCCGTCGGCTCTGATGAGCGCCGAGTCGTTGCAGCAAAACTGGCGGCCCCTTCTCCAAGCCGCTGTCTCGGGGCTGAAGCTGCTCACCCAAAATGATGCCACCGAGGCGGAGCAGCTTCTGCTGCAGTTGCTCGTGCGGAATCTCTTCCTGGCCATGTTCCGCTTGGCCGTGGCGCCTTTTAATGTGGCCTGCTGTGGCGAGATCGAGAAGATACTCCTCGCCGAAGATGCCTCGGGCGGTCGAGTGGCGCGTGCCCTCTTCAACAACATTGCCGGCGAGGGTCTTGCCATGGAGCGTGTCTCTGGAAGCGATCAACTAGATGTTTTGGAGGCCTTCTTGAAGCTGATTCTAAAGTCCAGGAAAGAAGTGCCAGCGGCCATCCTGCAGCGCAGCATCGCCTGCATCTTCGCCCCCGATCGCCTTGAGGCGGGCAACCAGAACGAGTTCCGGCTGCTGGGCTCCTTTGCCGAGCACTTGATGCAGGCCAACGAGGAGGAGGATTTCGAGGGCTTCGCCGTCAAGCTGCACGTGTGGAGGCAGGTGTCGCAGGCCTTGAGCAACTACCTGCGCAACAATGCTCTGGAATACCGCGTGGCGCACAATGCTTCGCTGATGGACACGTGGCTGCTGTGGCCTCTCCAGACCTTGGCTGCCTTTGCCGGTCGCCGGTCCAGCAACGTCTTCGATGGCTCCTTCTGCGAGCAGTGGAAGCAACTACTGAATGCGGGACACAACGCCCCGGAAAGGAGAAGATTCGTGGGTGACCTAAAGGTCACCCTGACGGAACTGTTAAAGAGCAAGGATGAGCCCCTTTTCGCTGAGCTCTTTGACGCCTATGTGGCCGCCGTGCTGAAGCTGGGTCTTTGCAAGGAGACACCCCTGCATAAGGATGTCTTTGCCCTGCTGCAGACCGTCTTTGAGCATCCGTCCTCCCAACAGATGCTCGAGGCCTGCCTGAACACGCTGCGCAACCTGGTGCTGGAGCTGCGCCAGAACGAGCTCATGGTGGTCTTTGATTCCCTGAAGCCCACGCTGTCCGCAGGCATTCAGTGCTGGGCCAAGCAGAAGTGCGAGGGCGGCTTCCTGGAGGAGTGGAAGCGGGCCATCCAGGAGAAGTTCCGTAAGCTGCCCATGAAGAGCATGGCCAATCAGGTGAGGGACATCTTCAAGGGCGACGATCTCTTTGTCATCATCCCCTCAGTGTGGAGCCTGAACCCCGAAAAGCTGACGGATCGCCAGAAGGAGCGCTTTGCCGAGAAGTCGGACATTCCGGCGTTGTACAATGACATGAGCCAGTCCCAGGACTCTGCCTCTCTCAAGCCCTGGACGCCCAAGAAGGTGGTCATTGCCAAGAGTAAACAGGGTGAGCTGGCCTTGACCGGTGACAATAATGAGGCTGAAGTGGAGGTGATCGAGAGCACACCCAGTGATGAGTCAGAGAAAGATCAAGGTATCAAGGAACAAGCTGTGGCCACGCCCATCCGCAAGAAATCCGGCCGTAAGACGCGAGCCCAAAAGGAGGAAGAGGTCAAGGTCAAGGAGGAGCTGCCAATTCGACAGACACGAAAGCGAGCGGTTCAGCAGGAAACGGAGCCGCCACCGCCGCCGCCTACACCTGAACGCCAGCTCAGATCGCCCAAGAAACTGCCACCACCCCCGACCCCTCAGTCTCAGGCAGCAGGTAAGCAAAATCAGGTAGCATTTGTACCTGGATATCTTAATCCCCAGACTTGTGTGTTCAACAGCTGCCGGCAAGCAGACAAAGGCCTTGAAACCCACCCCTGTGCAGAGCGAAGATCTCTTCCCGGAAGTGGAAACTGAACCCGAGCCAGAACCAGTTAAGAAACCGGCACCTGCTCCGGAGATTCAGCTAACTCCACCGGAGGTAGTGCCCTTGGAGGCGGTGCCCTCGACCCAGTTGCCGGGAAGCAATGCCGAAGCCGGGAATGCTGTGCCAGCCGGGGAGACATCCCCCAAGAAGACAAACCCAACGCGTCTGTGCAACTTAGTGAGTAACTGTAACCCCTTTTTAAACCTTTCCAGATCTTAAATAAACCCCTAATCCTTTACAGAACTCCCCACCGGATCGCAAGCAGACCAACAACTCCTCGAGTCCCACGCTGCGGCCCAAACCGACCGGCCACCTGACAGGTCGCGGAGCCCAGCTAATCAATATGATTCGGAATAAGAAACTAGACACTGCCGCCGGCTCGCCCTACGTCGCCATGTCACGTGCATCTCAGCACCAGGGAACACCGGCACGTGTCTTGGATCGGGCCGAACAGGTGTCCACGCCCACCAGCGAGCTAAACGAGCTGACAGGCACCGACTACACTTCTACTCCAATTCAGGCACCGCCGCCCAAGGATCTGCTGGTATTCTCCAAGAGATTACCCTCGCCCTCGGCCAGTCCCTCGGTGAGCATACTGAAGCGCAAGCTGCGCTGCGAGAGCCTGGACGATATGACCTTGGATTCGCCTGCTTTGAAACGCAAGCGAGTGAGCTTCCATGACCCACCCGTGTCCGTGACCAAGGAGTACCTAAGGGACACCGATGAGCAGCGCAGCAGCCTCAAACCCAAGCGTTGCCTGATGATGGAGAAGGTGGCCCAGACCAGTGAGGCACGTCAGGCGCTGAGGAGACGAGGACGCCTGGACAGCATCATTGAGATTGAGCGTTTTGCCAGCGAACAAACGGCCAGGACGGCGACGACGGACAAAAGTTTGGACAAGTCCTCGGGCGAAGCTGCCGAAGAGGATGCCTTTACCAGCTTGAAGTGGAATGACACAACGGTCACGCATAACGCAAGTCACAATGTAGAGCAGACCAAGCACATGGAGATAGAGCCAGAAGTTGAAACAGTTGGCCAGGATCTAGCCGTTCTGGATCCAGAGGCCGCCCTCGATCTGGTGGTGGAGCAGATGCCCCTGGAGACTGTTCTCCAGCGCTACTTTGACAAGGGTGAACTTAAGAACGCCGGCACCGTGGCCAAGTTCCTCTCTACGCAGATGGCGGCCAACGACAAGCTGAAAACGAACGTGCTGGAGACGCTGTCGGAGAATCACTCCAAGGACTTCCTGGACCATGCCGTCCGCGAGAATCTCTCGTCGGTGGTGTGCGACCGCCTCAACCTCAACTCGGTGCTGGACTATGTCTGTGCCAAGTCCAAGATCAGCCAGAGCTGCCGCAGTGGCCTGCTGGCCCAGGTGCCCGAGATCCTCAAGAGCGGTCCCCGCTCTGAAGTCGAGCGCCTGACCTTTGTCCAGCAGCTCCTGCTGCAGTGCAGCCCCGGCGATGACCAGCTGCTCGATCTCATTGACCTGCTGATGCGCACTCGACGCGAGCGGAACAGCAGCTCCACATCTCAGGCCAAGGCGGGTGGACTCGCATCCATGCTGGCCGGCGCCGACAACGTGGCCGAGACAGCGGCAGACTCCTCCTCCAACCTGTGAGTGGGTTGCAGAGCTGGAAGTTCAAACAGACGGCCATGGTCCTTGTAAAGGAGGGGAAATCAACTGTATCTGCTTAGTATTAGTTCGATTTTAGTTTAAGTTAAGATTTTATGTATGCCCGTTGGCGTATTATGTTTCGGCTGCAAAGAATTGCATTTTACAATAAATTTCAATTAATTAAGTATGAGAAATTATTTGGGAAAGGGATTGTTGTAGGCAAAAACTGGGTTTTAATCTTGACATTTTCAGTGCAAATTTATCAGTTTCGCCCATATCGCGGTTTTTTCTGAGTGGGATAATTTAAATAGGCTCAATAGAAGGGCTGTCTTGCGGTGGAAAATGAAAGAAACATCAAAGCAAAATAGCTAGATGAGCATCACTGACAGTTAGTGAGTTGCCATTTTGTCCCATTAATGCAAAATAGCTAGATGAGCATCACTGACCGTTAGTGATATGCCGTTTTGTCCCATTAATGCAAAATATCTAGATGCGCATCACTGACAGTTAGTGAGATACCATTTTGTCCCATTAATGCAATGTAGCTAGATGATCATCACTGGCAGTTAGTGAGATGCGATTTTGTCCCAATAATGTAAAATAGCTAGTTGAGCATCACTGGCAGTTAGAGAGATGCCATTTTGTCCCAATAATGCAAAATAGCTAGATGAGCATCACTGACAATAAGTGAGAAATAAATGCAAATAATGCAAAATAGCTAGATAAGCATGACTGGCAGCTAGTGAGATGCCATTTTCTCCCAATAATGCAAAATAGCTATATGAGCATCACTGGCAGCTAGTGAGATGCAATTTTCTACCAACAATGCAAAAAAAATATCTATATGAGCATCACTGATGCAGATGAGCATCACTCATGCAAGTGAGCAAAGATTTCCATCCAATTTGGCCATTACCCAAACTGGGGTAACAGGCGAACAGAAACCAGCAGCAAGCAACTGAAAACTGGTATAAACTGTTATAAAAACTTTTGAGCAAAAATAACAATTGGTATAAACTGTTATATTTCATTTTATGCATTTATACCTATTTGTTGCCGACAACAACAGCTTGATGGCAACAACAACCTTTTTACAACAACATCCCTTCAGCAGCCCATCCAAATTTTTGAACATTTCCATGCAAATTGCCCGTTTCCCAAATTGGGGTAACAGGCGAACAGAAACCAGCAGCAAGCAACTGAAAACTGGTATAAGCTGTTATAAAAAGTCCAAGTTTCGAACCATTGATCTTGGAGTAAGCGAAGACTCAAACCAGATGTGACCATATTGTAAATTTTTTGGCTAAAATGTTGCTTAAATGCACCTGGGCACACTGAAACTGACTTTGCCTCAGTGATGCTCATCTATCTATTTTGTCCCAATAAAGAAATGTAGCTAGATGAGCATCACTGTCATTAAGCCTGATAAATTGCCTCCCAATATTGTAAAATAGCTAAATGAGTATCACTGATGCAAAGTCTGATTTTATAGCCTCCCAATATTGCAATATAGCCAGATGAGCATCACTGCCATTAAGCCCGATTTTATAGCCTCCCAATATTGCAATATAGCTATATGAGCATCACTGATGCAAGTGAGCAAATTTTTTTATTCGATTTGGCCGCTTTCCAAACTGGGGTAACAGGCGAACAGAAACCAGCAGCAAGCCTCTGAAAACTGGTATAAACTGTTATAAAAACTTTTGGGCAAAAATAATAATTGGTATAAACTGTTATATTTCATTTTATGCATTTATACCTATTTGTTGCCGACAACAACAGCTTGATGGCAACAACAGCCTTTTTACAACAACATCCCTACGACAGCCCATCCAAATTTCCGAGCATTTCCAAGCAAATTGCCCGTTTCCCAAATTGGGGAAACAGGCGAACAGAAACCAGCAGTAAGCAACTGAAAACTGGTATAAACTGTTATAAAAAGTCCGAGTTTCAAACCATTTAGGAGCCGGCGCAAGTTAGCTCGGACTCAAACCTTTTGAATCTATATTTAGGTGTTATTTTACAACTGCACCTGGGCACACTGAAACTGATCGTCGTTAAATTCAAATTTGACAGTTAAATTCAAATTTAAATTTGGCAGTTACATTTTAAAAAATTTAACAAATTCTAAAAAAAAATTCTAAAAAATCAGAAAAAAAATTTAAAAATTCAGGCAAAATTTTAAGAATTCAGAAAAGTTTTAAAAATTTAAAAAAAAATTTAATTTAGAATAATTGTAAGACATCCGAAAAAAATGTTTAAAATTCAGAAAAAAATTTAAAAATTTAGATTTGGAGTCATTTCCGACCCTATAAACCATATATATTCTTGATCAGCATAAACAGGCGATTCTTTCTAGCCATGTCCGGAAAAAAACATTTTTTTTTTCATTTTTTTCAAAAATTGATAAGGGGTTAGTTACATCATTAAAATTCTTTAAAATGAGCCAAAATTTCAAATTTTTTAAATATTAAGTTAAGTATGCAGATTTGTTAGCCTATTCAAAACCAACAAAGAAAAGCTTTCCAAATTGAATTTGATGCTTTTTTGGCTTAGTTATGATATTTTGAAAGTTTCATTTCTCCAAAAAATTATCATAGAAAATTACGGATAAATACTAACATTTTAATTACCCGTTTGAGCTTATTATAAACTAATAACGAACCTATAAATCATATATTCTTGATTAAGCCATGTCTGCAAGAACGAAATATCAAGGGTATAAAAATATAGGCTTCCATATTTAGCTTTCGTTCTGCTTTTCCCTACACTTTTGAAACGCACTTTTCCCGCCTAATCAATCGATTGACATTAAAGTGTGGGGTGTCCACCTTATCAATTTAATGCTTGTTTGTGTCAATTTGTGATTCCGGCTACGCCCCATGGTGACGACAACTCAGTTAGTGTCTGAGTTAACAATTTCAAGCAGACAGATAAAAACTAACGATGATTAGCGATTAATTTCTGATCACTAATCGTTGAAGAGCTCAATGAACTAGTGAGTAAGATAAGATATTGCGTATACGCCATGATGACAAGACTGTTCCCCATGGATTTAATTAAATATTTAGGGAAAGGGTTTAAAATAAATACATTTTTATTATAGAGCATCTCATAAACCTAATCTACCTTTGGATTTAACAAATACTATTTATACTTGATATTTTTTGGGGGTCAGGCTGTTCCACCTTCAGTGGAGGGCATGCCGTCAGTTAACCATTTGCCGGTCCCCAAGCCTATCTGGTTGATTTGTAGTTGTGGTCGCGGCAAAGTCAAATTCACCCCGCCGGTCGTCGCGTCCACTGATAATGTTCACGTGCTAGCAAACAACGCGTCGTCGCCGACATCGGCAGATAGAGATACGGAATAGCGACGACTATGATGGCTACAGAGAGGGAAAAGTATGTGCTTAGTATACTTTATATACAAATTAAAGGAATATGATAAAAACTATTGGGTTCAGTTGTAAAAGTTTATAATTTAAGGATGGTCTGTTAGATCATTTAGAATATTTTTTAATTAATTTCAATTTCATAAAAGTTCAAGAATACATTTTTTTGGATCATAAATTAACAAACTTAACAAGGTATCCATTAAGCCATGATCTTTTCTCAATTTATTTTTCTGTGTACACATTTTTTAACATATATGTATGGAGGTTATATGTATAACCCAAAGGTATGTGTCTCCGTCTCCGTTGCCGACTTGCTGGCAGTTGTGCAAGCAATATTCCAGCGTGGGCGGAGTCTCTCTCCGCTCTGCACGCTGCTGCTGCGTGTTGAGTGTCCGCGTCCGCCGGACAATTCTTGGATACTTTGTATCAGTTACAGGCGGCGTGATAAGTGCGCTTTCGGCACAATTAGCCAGACGCTGGGTTTCTTTTTATTTTCAGGGAATGCCAAGGTCATTTGTAGGTCCGCTGTTCCGCTACCAACCGGCAGGTCTCTTTTCTTGGCATATAAATAGCCATGGAAAGTTCTTGCTCGAGTTGCGCAAGTGAAACTGACCTACCTAACCCATCCGCATCTCGTGTACGCCGTGACGTATCCGTCGGCACTTGAGTCTCCTGAACTGTCTGCTCTCTGTCTCGCCAGCTGATCTTTGGGCAATGTGTGGATGGCCTCTACAGAGATATATACATATATATACATAGGTACCACCTCTGCCGGTTGGACTTTCGTCTCCATGATTCATTCATAAAACTGCCATGACGACGGCTACGGCGCGTCGGGGTACCTCGAAATGCGTAAAGCACTTGTGAAATGGCTGTTATCAGCCAAGAGCTATGTTCCTGATTCGATTTCGGTGGAAATTCACTAAAGAGCAGCCTTGCTCCCCGCCAGTGCCACATAATTGAATAATCTGGCGTGCCGAGAGCGCAAAATAATAAAAATATCTGATACGCAGCCCGTCCGCCGACAGTTACAGAATAAATTCGCTCGGGACACGACGTGGAGCATCTCGCAGGTGCCAAAATCCGAGGTAGAATACACGGCTAGAGAGAGGTTATATACACTGAGATCTATGCTCGGCAGATCTCTATAGATTTATATAGATGCTTCTGCTGTCGGGTTGTTGTTTTGGCGAATCTCTTGATATAATCGGCGGTGGCGCGAAATAATTAAAGATTTGCTTGTTTCGGTATCACTTTTCATAGATTTTTCCGAATTAAATAATGCAGAGTGACTTTATAAATAATGTGATTATGACTCAAGACTTTTTTGAGCAAGTTTCTTTTGTTTTTGTGAACATAACCATAAACGTTAGGTATTTTAACAGAAAATGTGCATAATATTTATAAGAAATTCTTAAAGGACTGTGAAAGAACACCAAATGGGGAAGGTTCCTGTTGATACCTTAATTAAAACCTTTATATAAGGGTTACTATACAATTGTTTAAGAAAAAAAAACCCCTAATTAATTAAATTAAATATAATAAATATTCTCTAAGACTAAATGTTGGTCCAACAAATACGACAAAAGGATCGTTAGGATCCGATCTGCTCCCAGAGAAGCTTCGACAAGTTTCGTGAGAAATTCCGAATCGTTTGAAGCCCTCAAGAACACCGCTTGGGCAGCTCTGCTTTGGGTATTCCTAAAAGATTTATTACCTCAAACCCTACGGATTGTTTAGACCCATTTTTGCTCTGAGATATAGCTTGCAGTTTATCACAAGCGATCTTGTTGGCACCTCTGACAAGAGAAATTGCAGTCTACCGCACGAGTATCTTTCGGATACCTAGCCTTTTGCCAATTGGCTAATTAGCCGGGGACCCCAGAGGTGTTAAGGGGGGCGTGGCACTACATGAACAGCTGATTCCCGACACGAACTGCAGCCAAAAGTTTTGCGCCGAGCGGCAAAAAAAGCTGCAGCTCAGTGCAGTTTTCGCAGAGCGACGGCGACTGGCGATTCAAACGGACAGAGCAAGCGGAGGAGGTGATTCGCTTCCAGTTCTCAGTTCCAGGCATACGGATAAGGAATCACAGCACACATAGCGCCCAGCAAGCAATCCAGAGCAGTAGGTGAGCTCAATAGGCGATTTGCCTTGGCCGAGTGTGGATGCGAGAGAACGAGGAACAAGACCAGAACGGCGGCGGAAAAGTGACTCAAACTCTGATGTAATCATTTTCACATGCTGTTACGCCCGCGAAAAACGTTCCGTTCGCATTCACATTCGCATATACACTCAGAGTCGTCGGAAATCGTGCGTTTTCGGTTCGGACTCGGTTTCGGATTCAGTCTGTTGCTGAAGCACTCGCGGCCTGGAAGCCAAAAGGTAAACACAGAATCGTTAACGAGGCCGAACTGGATTGAAGTGGTTTCTTAGAAGGGATTGGATCTGCCACTAAGGAGTTCTCCAGTCTGGAGCATTAAGGATTATGATGTGCCTTCCCACATCCCAATATTCAGCTCATCTTGTAGTCGGTTCTAGCGGTATTGATTTAACACACTTTGTCTGTCCCAGTGGATGGGCAATGTGGAGAGTGTTCCGCCCTTCCAATGAGAGAGGAGCTTGGTCTCTGCTTGCCCCAAAGCTTTGGGGGCAAAAAGCTTCAGTCAGCTGTGAACGAGCTAAGAGAGAGAGAGCAAGAGAATAGTGCCAATTCGGTTTCGGTTCTCTTGTCTATATCTCAGCCTCTCTCTGGGTCATTATATGTTGGTTGTTTCAGGCCAGATTTATAGTGTTTTTGTGATATCATCAAATTCCAATTGAAACGAAGAGATATAGATAAAACAAGTTTAAAGCGTCAGTACTTATTCAGATGTGTCACGACACACATTTGTGAGAGCTGGAATAGTGTTTAAATAAACATTTTACATTGTACATAAAGAAAGCTACATTTGTGTTGGGTTCTACGAATGGAATAGAGAGTTCTTTGGTTAATAACTTAATACAAAATTGTGTCAGATGTAAATACAATTTACTATACAAAATTAAAAACTTAAAAGGTACAAAAAACCATAAGGTTTGAATAGGAAAATAAAGTATATTGTTTATAAATAAAAACAAGTATTTGAAAAACACGATAATAATAAATAATAATAAACTATTTTTAATAGTAATATAATAAAGAACTAACAAAGATTCCCAAGCTCTGAGTTTTCCAAATTCCATAAATAATACTTAGATTTAAGATCTACAGAAATTAAAGTAAACCTTAATAGTTTTTTTCCTACTTAAGAACTTAGTTACTCTATAATATATTTAAAATAATATTTAATAAATTCTTTATTCTTTCTCTTAACCTTTTTCCAGCACAATCAAAATCTCGATCGTTTCTATAGCTTCGTGAGAGTTCCCCGAGATGACCTCGCGAATGTTCAAGTTCGGCGTAACAGCCGCCAGTGCCTGTGTGGGTTCCGTGCTGGCCTCCTACACCTTGGACCGCTGGAACTCTCCCCATGTGGTAGGTTTTCCCTTTAAATTGCTCCAGCAGAACCCTTCTAATTTTTTCTGTTATCTCTCTTTAAGGTGAATAACTCCACCCAGCGTCCGCCCAAGAGGAAGCGCACCCTGCCTCCCAGAGCTGATCAGATCAAATCTCTGATGAGCGGCGAGGAGTTTGATGTGCTTATCATAGGCGGCGGTGCCACTGGAGCGGGTTGTGCCCTAGATTCGGTGACCAGAGGTGAGTGGGAAAGGATTCACCATCTAGTCTCTTTATTTATTCAATTCTTTGCTTTGTTATAAAGGCCTGAAGACCGCTTTGGTGGAACTGGATGACTTTGCCAGCGGCACCTCATCGCGCTCCACCAAGCTTATTCACGGAGGCGTGCGTTATCTGCAGAAGGCCATTCTGGGCGTAAGTTATCATAGCTCACAGCTTCCTCCATTGTAGAGTGCTAATTATCATCTGTCATCTCAGTTAGACCTTGAGCAGTACCGCATGGTGAAGGAGGCGCTACAAGAGCGCGCCACCATGCTCGAGTCCGCGCCCCACTTGACCCATCCACTGCCCATCATGCTGCCAGTTTACACGTAAATTTGAAGATACAACAAGTTTATAGAGATCCCTTATTAATTCCCATCTTCCTTCCCTAGTTGGTGGCAGGTGCCCTACTATTGGGTGGGCATCAAGGCCTACGATCTGGTGGCCGGTGATCGCAATGTGAAGAGCTCGTACTATCTCTCCAAGAAGGACGCTCTGGAGCTGTTCCCCATGCTCAAGAAGGACAAGCTGTGCGGCGCTATTGTCTACTATGATGGCCAGCAGGATGATGCCCGCATGTGCCTTGCAGTGGCCTTGACGGCTGCCCGCCATGGAGCCACCGTGTGCAATCATGTGGAGGTCAAGGAGTTGCTCAAAAAGGATGATGGCACTGGCAAGCAGGTGCTGTGCGGTGCCAAGGTCAAGGATCATATCTCCGGCAAGGAGTTTACCGTAAAGGCCAAGTGCATTGTGAATGCCGCCGGACCCTTCACGGACTCCATCCGCAAGATGGACAATCCCACGGTGAAGAGCATCTGCTGCCCCAGCTCGGGTGTCCATATCGTGCTGCCTGGCTACTACAGCCCCGATCAGATGGGTCTGCTGGATCCCTCGACCTCCGACGGACGCGTCATCTTCTTCCTGCCCTGGCAGCGACAGACCATCGCCGGCACCACCGACCTGCCCTGCGAGATTACCCACACTCCCACACCCACCGAGGACGAGATCCAGTTTATTCTCAGCGAGATTAAGAACTATCTCAACGCCGACGTGGAGGTTCGCCGCGGCGATGTCCTCTCCGCCTGGAGTGGTATCCGCCCGCTAGTCTCGGATCCCAACAAAGACGACACCCAGTCGCTGGCCCGCAACCACATCGTCCACGTCAGCCCCTCCAATCTCATTACCATCGCCGGCGGCAAGTGGACCACCTACCGGGCGATGGCCGAGCACACCATCGATGCGGCCATTAAGGGTGAGTCTGAAACAAATCCTTAATCTTCTTGGATTTAATCTGATCCACCGACAGCTTGCAATCTTAAGCCTGAGCGGGCCGAGGCCGTCACCTCCTACCTGAAGATCGAGGGCGGCCAGGGGTGGACCCCAACCATGTACATCCGCCTGGTGCAGGATTTCGGACTCGAATGCGAGGTGGCCCAGCATCTGGCCAAATCGTACGGCGACCGCGCTTTTGCCGTGTCCAAGATGGCCTCGCTGACCGGCAAGCGTTGGCCCATCATCGGCAACCGCATACATCCCGAGTTCCCCTATATCGATGCCGAGATTCGTTACGGAGTGCGTGAGTACGCCTGCACTGCCGTGGACATGATCGCCCGCCGTTTGCGTCTGGCCTTCCTCAACGTTCAGGCCGCTCAGGAGGCTCTGCCCGTCATTGTGGACATCATGGGCGAGGAGCTGCAGTGGTCCAAGGACGAGAAGGAGCGCCAGATCAAGGCAGCCACCGAGTTCCTGGCCAACGAAATGGGCCACACGGTCAACCGTACCTCCAAGGAGCGCATCCCCATCAAGCTGTCCAAGGAGGAGATTCAGACGTACATCAAGCGCTTCCAGCTGATCGACAAGGACAAGAAGGGCTACGTCTCCATCAACGATATTCGTCGGGCCTTGAAGACCTTCGGCGAGGCCGATGTCTCCGGCGAGCAGCTGCACGAGATTCTGCGGGAGATCGACACGAATATGAACGGCCAGGTGGAGCTGGACGAGTACCTTCAGGTGGGTCTTATTATTTCATATATAAAATTTAACCAGTTTAATATGCAAGCACAAGTTTTATAAAATTCCACAAATATTAATATAAAAATTGTAAATAAATTCCAGATGATGTCGGCCATCAAGACGGGTGATGTGGCCTACTCCCGGTTCGCCCGCATGGCGGAGCTGGAGGAGCAGAAGCACGAGGCGGCCAATCTGAAGACAAAGATCAGCGTGGACCGTTCCGGTGGCGGTCTGTAAAGGGGACAAGCGACTTAATAACGACAACAACCACATCACCCGGCCATTTGAGGCGAGGACTAGGCTTAAGGATCGAATGGTTAGGATCAAACTTATTTACACTTTTTGCTGTTAATAAAAACTCTTTCAACTCACCCAGGGCTCATAGTTAGTTAATTCTGCAGCTGGACTCTTCTTTTTTGGGACTTGCCTCGGTTTGGGGCTTGGTGGCACTATTTTGGTTGGGATTGGCCTTTGGTTGGGGCTGGGAATTTGGTGGAACGTTGGCTTTGGTCTTTGGCTGAGGCTGTGAATTCGTCTGAGTGTTAGCCTTGGCCTTTGGCTGGGGCTGAGGCTGAGGCTGGGGATTCGGAATGTTAGCCTTGGCCTTTGTAGCATTGCCATTGGGATTGGTCTTAGTTTCAGGCTCTGCCTTTTTTGGTTGATTGGGTTGAACTGGCGGAGGAGTCTCACCCTTGGCAGCCTTTGGCTGGTTCTGATTAGGATTTGGTTTGACGCTCTTCTGCTGCTCATTCGGTTTTGGATTTGGTTTGACTTGCACAGGCTCTGCCTTCACCTTGGTTTTGGCTCCTGTCTGAACTTCTACATTCGGTTTTGGATTTGGTTTGACTTGGATAGGCTCTGCCTTCACCTTGGTTTTGGCTCCTGTCTGAACTTCTACATTCGGTTTTGGATTTGGTTTGACTTGCACAGGCTCTGCCTTCACCTTGGGTTTATTTTCGGTCTGGGCAGCTGCCTTCTTCTTAGGTTCATTGGGTGTTGGATTGGGTTTGACCACAGGTGGAGACTTCTCTTTGACGGAGTTGATAACCTGGCCATTTGAAGGCTTGTTCTCCAGCTTCTCCTTCTCCTTGTCGCCGTTGCCTTTAGTGAAAGTAAAGTTACTAAAGTTTGGATTTAGCTTTATTTTTGGGGGTATTACTGAAAGAGTTCTTCACACGATTCTTGATGTCGTCGGTGAGATTGCCGTCGGCCCGACGAAAGTCTGACTGGGCCCCAATAACGCAGTTGAACAAGTCCTTCCGCTGATTGGTGTCCAGATCGGCGATCATATCCAGCTTGGGATCCCAGAAGAAGAGCAGCTTGCCCTTGCCCTTGGCCGAGGACAGGCTAAGGACATCAGCCAGCTTGGTCAGCATCTGGAAAGACTTACTTATGCAAGGTGCTTTTCCAGATATACCCTTTACTTGTTTTGTACCTCAATTAGTAGCTCGCTCACCGACCTATTCCAGTAGCTCGCATCCTGCCGGACCACCTCCCAGAGGAAGAGCGTCTTGATGAAATAGCTCTTCAGATTGCTCATGTTACTTTTGGTGTTGCGGTGCTGTTTTAGCATTCGGATGGCGTTCTTCAGGTTGTTCTTGCCGTAGATGAGCTTCTTCTCGGCTTCGTAGTAGGAAGCCCTGAAGGAGGGGTTATCAGGCCGTGGCGGCTTTATGGGCTTGGGAACGGCATCCCACGAAGGGGTCTGACCAAAATGCTGCCTTTGTTCCGGAGCTAGGACACTCTGGGCAGGCGCCAGCTTGATAGCTGGCACGAAGTCCACCGAATACACGTAGCGTCCCTTTACCTCGATCGTGTGGGCGGGGCCGCATCGCTTGTACTTGAGCAGCGAGACCACGCCGTTTACTTCGATCTGGTTGCCCATCTTGATGAGGGCCTGTGTCATCAGACCCTGGAGCAAGCTCTGCAGTTTATCTTCCAGCAGCTGCTGCTTGTGGTTGACGATTTTCTGCAAAAGCTGGAAAACCGCCTTGTTGTGCTCCTGATTGGCGAGGATCTGCATTACCTTGGACATGTCCAGTATCACATTGCCTGTTCAAAAGGGATAATTTTTGAGGTAAACTATTTCGAAACTCATAAATTTTTCACACCTGGCTTGGAGCGATCCGCTGTAACAATTATCTTGTCATTTTCGGGAAACTGCAGGTGAATCACCAAATCAAACTCATCCGGCATCCCCACCTTCACCTTGTCGCCATAGCCTCCTGTAAAGGAAGTCGACATTTATTGTCTTGTTATAAGCAGGTAATAGTTGAACAAACAATAAAGTTTGTTCGCCAGATATCTTATCAAGCTAAAGGTATTCCCTGTTTCCTGGAAAATCGGCTTGATATATGGCGAAATCAGCCTTGACCATCGGAACTAATTGGGTTCTTATAAAAAATATATATATCTCTCATATTCCTCACCCAGCATTAGGTCTTTTCATTGATGTTTATTTTAATTTGAAAATCTTGGATTTCACTATGGGATGTCCATCACTTATGTTTAAAGTAAAAAATGCTGAGCTCGACAGTTTGGTTTCCATTGAAAACATTGTAAACAAACAAGTTTGCGACAGATTAAGACTTCTCAGCTTTCTCTTAAATAACTCGGTGGTGCCTTTAGCTCTACAATTCGGAAAAATATGATTTGAAACAACAAATTATCCTGTTTCTTTTATTGGAAAACCTAAGGAATATTTCAAACCAAAAAAAAAAAAAAAAAAAACCGAGCGAAGCGCCCTTTCGATTTCTTCTTAAGTAAAATATACATTTTTAAATAGTTTAGACAAAAGGCAAAAACAATGCAAAAAAAAAGTTCGTAACTGCTTTACTACCTTAGTAGCTTCTGATTATAAAAACAAAAAACCCTGCAAGGGTAAAAAAACGAATAAATTTATGAATGAACGACGAAGCTTCTAGAAATTCTTTTCTTATGTACCCTACACAAATACCCGAAGGGGGTCTCAGTTTCAGTTTATGTATTTGATTGTGAATGGTTTGTAGACACATACCAGACACTCTAAATCAGCAGATGAATATTTGTATGTATTTATTTAGTTTTAGATAAACTGGCTTGAAAAATATTTATATAGCACTAACACCCAGGGCATAGAACTTTCGGCTTAGCTTTCACTTTAATTCGCAGCACTTAACAACATTTGCTTATCACCACCGGAAAATAAAACAGATAAAGCCGGGCTGTGAATTAAACACTATGTTTTTTTCATGGATTTTCGTTTTAAACCTGTTTAAATACAACTCGAGTGCATTCTTGTTGCACTTTCTCGCACTTTGGGACACGTACTCCCAAAACCGCGGATACACATTTGAAATGGCAAACGAGCGGAGAACTGGAGAACCTACCTCCCAGTGTGTATCCGTTGACTAGTTTCCCCACCGTCTCGTGCCCCCTCCACTGGCTGTAGATCTCCTTTCGCAGGGCATCGTAGTGGGCGGTATACTCCGGCCGGTGTTCGTCGATGCTGACGTACTTGGAGAACGCTTCGATGAGGCTATTCTCCAGATTCTTTGCCATTTCGCTGCTGTTGCCGTTACCGCTGCCGAATTGCTACCGTTGCCAATCGCCGCCGAATGCTATCTGAACCATCAATTGAGTTGAGGCTAGAGTCGAAACCTTCTCTACTGTGTCTCTCTCTCCGACTTGGACGTTCTCTGCTCTCCGGATTGCCGGCTGATTTGGTGTAAAAGAATTCTGCGATGTGGGAAACGCTAAGATACAGATACTTTTTTTAAATATATTATTGTATTAATTGGGTGTAATAAATGTAAACAATTAAACCTTTTATTTTAGTAGAAATAAAATACAAATTATACATTAAAAAAGAAATATAATAGAGTAAACAAGTAACTCAAATAAAAATAAAAGAAAATTGTAAAGGTTTTCTTGATTACAAAATAATTTCTATTAATTTGTAAAGCGTTTTATTATTTGAAATTAAATTTTAAATACCAGAACTCTAAAAAGATAAACTAATATTTGTTTAAAAACAAAATCAGAGAATCAGAAGAACAGAATCCTTGTCAAAACAATGTACATAAACATCATATGTTTACTTCTTCCGTTCTGGGAACCACGCACTCAGCACAAAGGAATTAAGGGGATTCCCAACCCTCTTAAAGGAACATATCTTGGTACTTCCCGCAAATAAAATAAGACACCCGGCCAGGCAGGGCTTTTTAAAATGCAATTTCAAGAATATTTTATTGATCGGTATTTTTAGTTTAAGTTGTATTCGTATTGATTTTCCATTAGCGCTTTGCATTTGCAGAATTGAGAGAACAATCTTAATGCATTGATCCGTAAATTGAATGTTATTACATTTGCTGCTCGCCGCGCTTTGACATTGGTTTGTGTTTTATTCATTTATTTATGCACGTGTTTAAATACTATAGGGAGTTGCAAAAATATTTTACAATAACAATAAAAAGTACGATCGATAGTTGGTACGTTTTGGATAATTGATAGATAATTAATAGAGTAACAAAGGCGGTAGGCCAATAAAGCATGGAGCTCTTCGAAAAAACTGTGACTGTGGATTTGTGGTCTTGGGAGGGTCTTCGAGGGAGAGAAATGAAACCACTTGCAGCTGGTTGGGATGGTTCAGATGGAAAAGGGCGGGGGGGGGGTTTCGAGGGACGTCATGGCCTGTCCCGATCTGCTCTCGGAGGATCGCTCCCCTTTGATTATGTACAGGATACTGCTGAACCAAGGTCTGCGGCTGCGAGGGTTCTCTTTCGTCGATCCTGTGTGTGTTCGTTTGCTTTCTTCTGCTCAGTTGCGTTTCGTTTCAGTTAAATATATATGTATATATAAGTATGCTTATGTAAAAAAGAGTAAAAAGACGCACATATCTCGCGGCTGGCGCCAAAACTTAATGCTTAGCTTAAAACTATATATATATATATATATCTGCCCGTTATATGTCTATGTATTTGCGAGAGATGCATTGTTTATATGCCATGTTATCGGGTGGTAGTAGAAAATTGGAAGAGAAAAAGAGTGGCGCATATGCTGAGTTACACGATAAGTATGCTCTATCTATGTGAGTGTCGTCTATATATAATTGATTTTTACACAATTTATTATTGCAAATCGATCGCACGATAAACGATGTACGATTACAGCGATTAACGATCAACGAGAGAGATGATGAACTCAGGGTAACCGTGTAAATATATATATATAATATATCTATCTAATCGCAGATACATTGAGAACATTGAGAAACGTTTCGAGATTTTATTTTTTGTTTTGTATTTCTTTTTGGTTGTTTGCTAGAGTTTTATAATTAAGAGTTTAGGTTTAACTTTGAGACTTTTGCACAGCATTTATTTTTATACATCCTCGTTTATGTTCTAAATATTCATATGAGCATACGGTTACTCCGTGCACGTACGAATCGAGTAAAAACCTCTCTATACAAATCTAAAAATAAATAAATCAAAATAAATGCGAGTTTCGTTAACTAATTCGAGTGTAAAGGTTGGAAGCCGGACAACAAACAATCGAAAGAAGCCTGGAAGGTAACTCTAGGGCAGGGCTGCCCACGCAGGACACTCAGAGAGCACCTGTAGGCATCCCTGCTTCAAAGGATAGTGGACAGAAGGAGTAGGCTTGGAAGAGGGGCTGCTGCTACCGTCGAGCGTATAATGAATCAGTCTTTGCGCGTCACAAGTCGTCAATCGAACAGGGGGAAACGATACGATAAATATATCGAAATCAACGCTAAGCGGGTCTTGGAATCAAGGATTTTTGGGTATTTCGGAGCGGGGCTGCTAATGCGGACTCAGCTGGAGGATCCTCGGGCTTACAAACCGTACAAAAACTAGCTAGATACAAACATACAATACACACGTTATCAGTAATATCGTCGATTCGACTCGATTAATCGATTAGCTTCGATTGGGTTTCCGTTGTATACAAAGTAGATAATTATCGAATTACAAATATAATTGCGGTACGAGTACGTAATTAGTGTAAATACAAGTAAAACAAGTTAACAAGCTTTAATGCTTAGAGTCGACGTGTTAACGTTAGATTTGAATTATAATTAGTGTAGAGTAAAGTTAGAGTTAGGTGTGGGTTAGCTTTGAGCCTAGCCAAAAATTGAATTACAGAATCGAGAGCGTAGCGTTTAGTATGCAAAGTGGTAGTAGATTCATATCCATATCCATATGTATATATAGTATGCATATAGTATGTATATATGTATGTATAGGGCGCACATCCGTTCGGACATCCGCCGGCTTGTTTACTCGTAATTGGTGCGTTTCCATTTCGTTAGGTTTAGAGTTACAAAAAGTACTTAAGAGAGAGTAAGAGAGTAACGAATAAAAATCTCATCCTGCCCTCGGCTATCGGTACACACATATATGGTGTATGCATACATATATGCTGTGTGTGTGTATATATATATACGCGTGTTTTTTGCTTTTATCGAATACAGTACAATACAAATACAATATACGTACAATAAAAAAATGTATAATTAGATTTATAATTTCTTTAGAATTGAATTTCAATACAAATGAACGCGAAGAGCTGCGCCAGCGTCTGTTGTAACCTTCTTCTGCACTTGATTTTTGCTGTTAACCTGAATACAAAAATACATTATCATAAATATATTTATATTTATATGTATATGTATATATTTATACTTATATATGCTTTATATGTTTATGTTTATATGTTTGCGTGTATATGTATGTATGTATATGTATGCAATTGGTAATTAACTGTCTGGTAACGACAACGACAAAACGATTTCGATACGGCTTTGTATTTGGATGAGATGTGTTTTGCTGTAGATGCAGGATGCTGGATATCCTTTTTAGGGACTCGCTCTCTACTTGTTGTTCTGCGCCATCACATGGGGTGACTTGTAGAAATTCTGCACGAACTCCGAGAGGCTGTAGACCGCTCCAGGACCCTTGCCTGCGCTCATGCAGATAAAGTCCCCCAGACAGTGCAAGTTGGCTATAAGAAAAAATGGGTAAAAGCTTAAATAGGTTTCTATATTTCAGTATATCCTTTGCTTACTGTTGGAGAGAATGGGTGGATATGAGGGGGGAGGCTTGATCCAACTGCCATCCGGCCGACGCATGTGACGTCGATCCGAGGAGAACTCAATGAGATATGTGTCTGCGGGTATGACTCTGAAGAATCTGTAATAAAAACTTTATAAGGTCTTGATCTTAAGGGATCCTCCACTCAAAGTCTCACCTGTGGTGCTCCGGTCGCAGGGCCAGATCGGAGCGGAACGTCTCCGTCACGTACTTGTGGAAATATGTGGGAAAGGGCAGCGTGGTGTCCAGATCAAACACCAGGCAGCGATTCGGCGAGGGATTGTGCATAAAAAAGACGTGGTAGTCCTGCAAAATTAATATTTATACATTAATTTCACAATTTTTATATATATAAGTAAGCAATACTCACCCATATCACAACTTGATCATCGCCACGACCCGCCTTTTGACGCCACAGGGGCACAGTGCGACCCTCATTGGAAACAAAGACCGCATAGCACTTGGACAGCTCCTCGGGCCGCGTTCGTTTCACCTGCTCGCAGAGCTTCCACACGTTCTCCTCACTTCAAGGATAGAAAGAAAGAAGACGTGAGCAATCAATAGATGCACTACTTAAGACCAAGATTAGGTGAGGGGAGTCAAAGTTCCAGTTCCAGTCCAGGTCGTGGTCTGGGGAGGTAATCTCTGCACGAAATGTCAAGTGGCTGGGCTCATTCCTAACCTTTATCAGCAACAGGCCGCCTCTTGTTGGCATTATAATAATCGATTTTGCTCGGCACGCGGCCCAAGTTCTCCTCGGTGTTTATGGCTCCTTTGAAATAAGTTCCAATCAATTTGGCTGCCACACATTGTTGCTCGCATGTTGGCGTGGGCTAAGGATACGGACTGGGCTCGGTCGCTCGCTCGCTCAGGTGCATGCGAGTGGGGCATTAAACTAGGTGGCCATATCAACAGTTACAGGCGCAGGGATTGGGGAGGAGATAAAGCCCAGGAGGAGGAGGAGGAGGAGGAGGAGGAGGTAGGATGTGGGTAGGAGGTGGAAGGTTGCCCACTCAAGTGGCGCGGTCAAAAGTCGCGACTGAAAGTGGCTCGCGGCGATATCGTGAGCTGGTGTTATTAATGCGCCGCCAGGCAGAGATTGCCCCGGAAAGGGATGGGGTTAGTGCACTTAAAGAAAATATAAAAAATGAAGACAAATTATCCAAAAATTCTTTTAGCATAATCTTCAAGAACAAACTCTACAAACTATTATAATTCTTTCGTATGTTAGAACAATTAACCATAATTTTCTTTAAGTGTACTGTCAAGCCAAGGTTTCCTTACCCCCCAAACCCCTTCAAGAGGCTTCCCCGGTGCCTGCCTCAAGCCGCCCGCAGGAGCGGGTGAAATGCCAGAAGGCAGTCTGTAAAAGTTTGGCCCCAGTTGCTGCTGACTGCAACCGCCACCCACAGATGGCGCTGCTATGGTACATACAGATACATATATATGTGGGAGGGAGAAATGAGAGCGGGAGAGGAGGCCTGCTTTTCCAGACTGGAAGGGAGAGATGATGAGATGACGAGCACGAATCTGAGTGCAAATGTGAGTGCGCGAACAGCAGCGGCACTGGCGAATTAATCAATGAACGTGTCCTGCGGGAGAGGGGGGCAAGGATTTTAGGTGGCCGAGTGGGTTGCTGGTGCGGCGGGATGAGGATGAGGTCAGAGGACGCGACGACATTTTATCTGGCCATGTTAATGTGTGTGCGTGCGTGTGTAAAAACTTTTTTATGTTCTGGGCCTTTTACTTGATATTTGTTGTCGCTTTTTTTTTGTTGCTTTGTTTTCTCTGCTTTCCTGTGTGTGTGTGTGTAGGCGTTAGTGTGTGTGGCAGCACATAAAACTCATATCACGCGGCAGGATAAACAATTCCCGGCCAGCTCCTCGGGGGACCGCCTGCCAAGTTGCCATAACTTTGTGCCGCCATTTTTGCAATTAGCATTTTCAATATTGCACCAACACAGGGATATATCCACGATATATACCATATAAACTATATATATTTATACATATATATATTCGTAGTACGTCGTAGTATATTTAGTTTAATTTTCGCTTTGGTTTTCGACTGTTTTTGCTGGCTTTGTTGTGGGTCCGCTCGTCGCTTGTTTTATAGTCGAAACGCGCCTCTCGCATGTGGCAATAAAAACGAACCCCATACCCCCCTTTATTTTTCCTTCATATATCCTTTAACCTACCCCACCAAACACCAAAAACACACACAAGCACACACCACACACACACACACAGATACAGTGGCACGCTTTTCTTGTTAGCAGACATGACCGTTTGACCCAATTTCTGGAGCTGCGCAGCGCCGAACGGCGCCGCATCAGGATTCTCGGAACAGGATCCAAAGCTGTGCGACTCCCGGGGGATAAGCGGAGGAAGGCGGTGTAGGATGCGAAGGAGGAACCAGTAAGGACAACGAGCGCGGGAGTGAGTGAGTAATGAGCGAATTTGAATGCAAAGCGAGCCACATCGACGAGCCAGAGATGAGGAGCGCGAGGAGCACGAAGCCAGCGCTGGGATAATGAAAATCATCCAAACAGAGAGGCAGGACTATGGGCAACGGGACATGCTCCGCCGCTGCTGCGAGGCGAATGTTGTTGCCAAAAGAGATAACGCACAAAAATAAAATATACATAATTAAAAGACGAACTGCTTGGGCAGTGCTGGGACGGGCTGGCCAACCATGAGATAATCATTCACAGCAGCGTCGGAGCAGGATTGGGTTTGGGTATGGCAGCGTTAACGACAACGACAACGGGACCCGGGAGGTTAAGCCTATTTTACAGCTAAAAAAAACAGTGGTCATTTGATAGTTTAAACTTTCCAAATAAATATTTCGATTTCGATTTTGTAGCATACTCTTAAAGAAAAAATACAAAATACTGAAATAAAGGTTCAAATATGATAGATTAGAATCTTTGGAATCTTGGTTGTTAACATATTTTTAAAATATCTATAAAATATATATATTTATTTATTATTTATTTCATATCTTCTCTATTTACTTGTATACTAATTAAATATTTAATATTAACATGGCTTTGAATGCTCCCTTCTAAAGTTTACAATCTAAGCCAACGAATAACCACAGTTTTAGTTAGATTAAATTAGGCTCAACTCTGTTCCCTGCTGAATTTGAGTACCCTGGGGGCCTGTCCTATATATCATATACCCATTTACCCGGCCCGGTCGTTAACGTTGCCACTCTGTTGATATTCAGGTGCCCAAGGTTGGGTGAATGATTTCGGCTGCCTAATGAAAAAGTTTTCCTCCTTTTCCTACGCCTCCCTTTCTGTCGGTTGTTGTTTTTGTTGTCAGTTTGTTGTTGTTGTCGTTTGTTGGTGGGTCCTTGTAGCTGTTGCTTTTGTCCAGGATATTGCTTTATAGATAGGTATGTGTACTCACCAGTAACAGGACACATAGGAGCAGTCCGCTATCTTGGGGAACAGAAAATCCGTGGTCATCTTGAGGCGTTCAGCGGAATCTCTGGTGCTCCTTTGCCGGTTCTATTGGGTATATGCGGTGTGGGTGTTTGGGCTCGGGGGTGCTAGGACTTGGAGCTGGGAGCCGTGAGATCGGAGATTACGCGCGACGTGGACTGGGGACTGGATGTTGTGTATAATCACTGCATAATGCGCCGCTGCCTGGACGAGGAAAGCAGGGACATTGCCGTGCGCTGGTGTGTGTATCCGTATCCGCAGCCGTATATGTATCTGTATCTATGTCTATGCGGTGGCATCGGAGGATGCTGTCTTGCCAGCCTAATCCCGATCCTGTTGTTCCAGCTCCTGGCGTCTCCTCAGCGGCATTCCTCCATCGCCGAACGACTGTTTATATATTTTTGTTTCGCTTCGCTTTTTCCTGGCTTTCAGGATGCTGCTGCTTCTTCTTCTTCTCAGCTTCCTTTGCTGCTGCTGCTGCTGCTGTCACTCACTCACACTTGCACGCACAGAACGCAGGACACACAGGACACCGCACACACATACACATGCACTGAAGCTCTCTCACGACAGAGCAAAAATTCACCGTTTTTCGTTTCGTTTCGAGCGATTTTTATGCGAATTTTGGCCAGGATTAAGCCCAGGATGAGGGATAAATTGTTGATGCTTCCTTTTCGTTCGAATCGGGAAAGCACACCAGCTCGAAAACAAGCGCGGCGCTCATCCCACGCAGGAGGATGAGGGGGCGACGACCCAACACACAACCAGGTGACAGAGCCTGGGGCAACAGTCTCCGTGTCTCCACTCAGCAGCAAATCATGGAATGCTCCACGAATGCTTCTCAACTTTTTGTTTACTTTACGGCCCAGACAGCCAAGTCCTGGGGTGGTAGGTAGAGTATCTTATCTTCCGAAGAATCGCGTAGCGAAGAACGCGGCGGTAGGCCCTACTCTCTTTCAGCGTTTTCTTTGCTGGTGGTTGCTTTTCCGCTTTTTCCCCGTTTCTTTTTGCTCGGCACACTCCGCTCCGTGTTGCTGCTTTTCTTTGCTTTTTGAGAGATGTTAGAGATGTTAGTGGAAGTTACTATCGAAAAGGGAACATATGATTTGCCAAAAAGCATGAGAAGAGAGAATAATAAAAGCTTCAGAAATGGTGGAGAAATTCGAAAACAGAGCACACTAAAAAGAGAAAGTGAAATATAGGGAATGGATTTATGGCTCATAGAGAGCTGGGCATATTTCGTTTGGCTCATGATGTTGGTGCTGCCAGACTGTTTAGGAAAAGTAGTTGCTTTTCCTTAGTTTTCTGCTTTTCCTAAAAATTAGGGGATAAAACCCTTTTAATAATACCTGGAAATGCGATTTTTCAAGGGAATACTTCGGGAAACTGAAGAAAGGTCTATACACTTTTCATAATCAGCATTGCCAGACTGATGAAAAACGAGAGGAAAATAACGGTTCCAACTCCTTGACAAACCTTGCTTGCTACAAAACTGCCTGCAAACTGACGAAAGCTAAATGTATCTTTTTCCCCTCAACGGTTATTCGGTTTTATTTATGTATCTTTTCTCCCCTCCCTCTTTTATAACCCTTTATTTGCTGCTAACACCTCGCGTTAATCAACGCTATCTAATCACTCTTAACCACTAATGGCCAATTGACAGCACGCAGTTTCGGCAAAGCCAATTAGTCGTGCCAAAGCAGACACTGTCTGCGCTTTTTAATACTCCCGAGAACGGCAATCAGCACAAATATTGCGGCAGGCAAGGCGAAATACTTTTGATTCGATAAGATAAATCTGCGCGCGGTTTGTTTGCCATTGTAAATGCCTCACGAGTGGACTTCCTACTCATCCTCGTCTGAAGAGGAGAAGCAGCACCGCCGCCTGATAAGCGTCAGAAATATCTGTAATCGCTGTAATATTATTCACAAGTTATATATATGACAGATAGATTGGCTTAACCCAACCAGAACCCATTAGGGATTTAATATGGGCAGCTCTAAGGTCACTCAATGTCCCGTGAACTGAGTGATAAGGATGAATACTAATAGAGAGTAATACTAAGGAGAGATAATGGGTAAAAGCAACCCTTTTTATACAATGAGAACTCCGATCAAAATCGATCAGCGTCGGTGCCTTTATCAGCAAGCGATCAAAACGATCATGACACACAAATTCAAACTCAAGCCAAGCAAATCTATCTATCGGCGGGATGACGTTGTGCCATGCCGCCTTTATCGCTTGGGATTTTCGGTTGTGTTTGTGCCAAGAGAGAGAGAGAAATCCGTATAGTTCGGATTGCCGCTTCCAACGTGGCAACGTCCAGCGGAGCGCACGTTCAGTTGGCTCCAGCGCTTCACCGTCAACGGGTTCGCCTCGCTCCGCTCTTGAATCTGGGATCCATTTCCAGTCACGAACCCGAGAACCTGTTCTCCCGCCTCGTGGATTTTTTTGGGCAGCAGGTTCTTCATACACTCCGCGTGAAAGTCCCATCTTTAGCTAGAAGAGAAAAAACCAACAGCAGTAAGTCAAATATCTAAAGCTTAATTGAATGCCAGGCGTTTTCATTAAAACAATTAATTGGCATCGATTGATCAAAGAAACGCGGCGCGAGGCAACACGACTTGCGTTCCACAAACAAAACGATCAGCGATCCGCGATCACCGATCAGCTGTGTGGCCCAGTCCCACTTTCATCCTCCACGAGAAGAAGAGGGTCAACAATCGGCGCACTTCTTATCGGGGCATTAGTTAGCTGCCGATGACAAGGCCAAGTCGGAGGCACAATTATAGTAGTAATAAACAAGAAAACAGGAAAGGAAGGTTAGCAACAGACACCGAAGCTATAAACACCCTTATAGAACGTTCTTAAGTAAAACTGTTTAGGTCACATGTGGAAACCGGTTTATTCTGAATAGTTTTAGAAATTAATTAGAGATTCATAAGAATTTTAAGTAAAAGAGAGTTAAAACATAAATATAATGTTAATAATATAGTTTAGTATAATACTTTATAAAGAAATCTATTGAGTTATGTATCTTTGTATCTCAGTTTAACTTTTTGTCAAGTGTTTAATTAAATACCAGTTACATTTTCCCAGCAACTATATAATTTAGTGCTCAGAATTCGGTAAACTTCGAACTAAAATATGAATGTATACCAAAGCTCTCGTAATTCTCTGCCAGAGAGGCGGGTAATCTATTCTAGAATTATAAAGACAAAGCCAAACAAATACACAAACCCTATACTTTATTGTAGCTCCATAAAAACCTAAGTCTCGAGGCAAAGACAAGCAAAAACCGAGTAAACGAACTTGTTGACAGTTCGTTAGCTTTTTCATGGCCTTAGTGACTATGGGAATGTAATTTGCATTACCCTTTGATGGGGGAGGAAGTGATTGAGTTCAAATCAATGTTGCATGACATGTTCCTTTTCTCTTTCAGCACAAAAATGGATGAGCAGGAGCGGAATCTACAGAATGGCAAGCAGCCCAGGATAGTTTCTGGATTGGATCGACCATTGAAGACGCCACCACCCGGTGAACAATTCCGGGCAGTGCGGCGTCAAGTGGTGGCTGTTATCCTGGCCAACGTGGGTGTTTTCTCTACAGGCATGACCTTGGCTCTGCCCACCGCCACTTTGCATCAACTTAAGAACCCCAAGGAGAGTGTCTACTTGACCACTTCGCAGGCTTCCTGGTTTGCTTCGGTCAATGCACTGGCAGCACCACTGGGTGGTCTGTTATCCGGCTTTTTACTGGACAAAATCGGACGTAAGCGTTCTTTGATTGTGCTCAATGTCCTTACCATCCTGGCCTGGATTCTGCTCGCCACACCCAGCGGTTCCGATCAGGCAGCCTTCTTCTGGCAGCTAATTGTCTCACGCTTTATACTGGGTAAGTTTTAGATCAGTTGATGGGGTAATGGTTTATGGAAAAAACCATAAAAATCACACCCAGTTCCCATGGCTTATCTGTGTTTATATATATATATTTTAATATTCCCATCCACTTATAGGCATTGGCATGGGTCTGGCTAGTGCCCCACCGGGAGTCTATGCAGCTGAGATCAGTGTGCCCAGGACAAGGGGTAGTCTCATTCTGGGCACCTCTATCTCAGTGGCTGGCGGTATAACAATCCTGTACGGAATCGGTTACTATATTCGCGATGACTTCCGACTAATTGCTCTGATTTGCTGTGGCTACCAGTTGGTGTCCCTGCTCTGTGTTCTGCCGCTGACAGAAAGCCACTGCTGGCTGCTGTCCAAGAAGCGGGTGACGGAGGCCAAGAGGTCTCTCAATTACTTCCGAGGATTCAGCAAGTCGGGTGAGTCTTCCAAGTGGAATGAAAGTGAAATCCAGTTATACCAGAAAACAAAGGTACCAGCTTTTTTATGACTTTCAACAAATCAAAGTCAAGTGGCGCCTGGTGTCACGTCAAGCCATCCAATTATGATAGCGTGTTTTTTATTAGAGAACAAGAAGCTTATCTCTTTGGCTTTAAATTAAAAAAATGTTAGGGAACTTGTAGGTTTCCATGGTTCTCTTGGTTCATCGTAACATCTCTTCCTCTTTTACAGATGAAATCACACATCCCCTGGTCCTGGAGGAGTTCCAGGTCCTGCAGAAATCCCTGCAGCAGCGCGATGCTGAGGTGAAGGTTTCCTTCTGGGCAAGCCTCAAGGAACCGGAGGTCCACAAGCCTCTACTCATCCTGATGTCGCTTTTCGCCTTCCAGCAGCTGACGGGCATCTTTGTGGTCATCGTTTACGCAGCAGAGATCTCCCTGGACGCTGGCATCGAGATTGATCCGTTCATGTGCGCTTTGCTCATTGGACTGGCCCGTCTGGTGACCACTTGTCCAATGGGCTACATCCTGGAATTATGGGGTCGCCGGCGTGCTGGTATCATCTCCACATTGGGAATGGCTATCTGCATGCTGATGCTGGCCGGACACAGCAAGATAGACTTCCTCCGGGACATCCCTTACCTGCCAGTGGTGGCAATTGTGGGTTTCATTGTGCTCAGCACATTGGGCCTCTATACACTGCCCTTCTTCATGATCTCAGAGCTGTTTCCGCAGCGGGTGAGAGGTCCTGCATCAGGACTTACAGTGGCTGTGGGCATGTTCATCTCTTTCGTGTGCCTGAAAACGTTTCCTGATCTTAAGGGGGCCATAGGAATGCGAAACTGCTTTGTGTTCTTCGGGGTCATGGCTATACTGGCCCTGGTCTTTGTGTACTGGGCTCTGCCGGAGACACGTAGGAGAACTCTACTGGAGATTGAGGAGCAGTTCCGTTCAGGGAGAAGCAGCAAATCCCGCTCTCAAGCTGATGTCGAGATGAAGGAGGTCTTTGTCCGCCGACCAGAAGAGTAATGTCTTAAGCTTAGGAGAATATTATCCTTATAGGATTCCGACGAGTGCTTAGTACTGTGATAGAGATTAACAACAACGGCCACTTAAAAAATAAAACCCAATATTGAAAAATGGAATATTAAAATAAAGTGTCGGTAAATTTACTAGCTTTTATAAATATTTAAAATAGTTATAAATGAGCTACAAACTGCCAATTGCTTTGTTATATGGATATTTCTCAAGAATCTTATTTTTAAATAATAAATAAAAATTGGTTTATTTTAAAAGGTGCTTACAAGAAATAGTTTACTCTTATTTATTTTTTAATTATTCCTAATTACACTTAGTTAATACTATAAAAACATAATGCATGTAGAATTCCTCCACTAGACTCTTATTTATTTTGAGTAAGCAACGTGGACTTAAGTAGATTAAGTCAACCTAGGCCGAGTTCGCTTGCTGATAAGAGCCTGTCTACCTGTTCACCAACACATTCCAGCGGAAATACTCACGCACCTGCTCTCTAGGCAGTGATATGTATTAATTTCACCTCGATTCGGTCTCTCAATCATTCGGGGAACTCAATCGGATTGACGCTCTCCCTCTCTCTATTCGAAAGTCAAGTTCGTGGCCAACGTCATTCGTTTGATGATCGTTGGGAATGAGACATTTGGAAGGGGAAGGTAAGGGAACATTATTCAGAGATACTGACAGATTTCTGAATCAGAGAACTATATTAAAACTAAAAGCTTATGCAAACTGAAATGGGTGCGACACATTTAGGTAAATACGGAACGTCTAGGTAGTTTATTTACATGTCAGTAGGCTGGTCCAAGGTATTACGTAGGTAATTATAGAATGTAGAAAGAAAACTACTCTATATTTAAAGTGTTTGCGATTTTTCAAGCTATTTAACAATTAATTTAATCTGTAAAAGATTTTTAAGAATAAAATCATTATAAATTCAGGCGCTTATATATTATCAAACCATCTAGAACAATATAGAATATTAATTAAATAAATTTCATAAAGAATTAAAAATCATTTTAAACAAATTAAACAGCAAATTTTGGCATTTCAATTCTCCTACATTTCTTCAACCTAATTATACCTTTCTTAAATGCTCTCCTTTGTCAACGTGTGTGGTCGATTTTTAAAATACAGTCTTAAATTATTATTTGAGTGCCATACAATGAAAGCGTAGCAGATACAATTGCCAGCAATTAAGTGCAGTGCCGATCTGCCGTTATGGTAATGTTAATGGAAATGGTAATGTCGATAATATGCAACCGCCAGACTCCGACGATCCTGAAGAATCGGCCTCATTATGCCTCGGGCAACCCAAAAAATGAAGGGAAAAATCTGTTCTGCTTTGGCAGTTAACGATCAGGAGTTCCTTTTGGCGTCTCCGGGATGCGTGTGCCCCGAAATTCGGGCTCCCAGCGAGGAGAGCGCGTTAAAAGCGCATTCTGCCCAAGCATCTGCCCTTCAGTTACTGTCTGTTCCCCCTCTCAGAGGTTGCACAAACTTAAAACACTAAGAAAAAATATTTAAGGTAGGGAAATAATTTTAATTCAGATATTTCTGATAAAGGAAAGTCAGATTTCTTTCTTGTTCTTGAACTTTTCTTAAATTTCCTTTCAGGATACTGTTAAAATTTAATTCAAAATTTAAAATACTTTTAAATCTGCTCCTCTTCCTGGACTTTTTCCTCAGTGCATCACTTGGTTAGCTTCAGGCGTCGAGGCGTACGTTTATGTAATTATAATAAGTTTTCAATTTTATGGCTTAATAATGCGGTGGGCAGCGGGCACCAGGCAGGCAGCTCCATCACCAGCTTCAGCTCAAACTCTGAACCGAAGGTGCATCCGCTGCCAGCTGAAGCTGGGAGCTGCCCCATCATTAGGCGACAAGCGTTTAGGCCATGTCAGAAGCGGAGCAACAAAAAAAAAACCGAAGACATTGTTTCGGGGCGATTAAGTCAACAAGACGGCGCTAACATGGACCATAAGGTTGAATGAACTGATACCGATACTCTGATGATGGCGATGCTGGACAGGATAATGCCGAAAATTGATGAGCTGCAAATGTGCGAACATTAAAGTTTCCGCTGGCGATGCGCGGATACTGTGGCCTGCAAAGATTTCCCTCCCTTCTCAAGCACTTCCCTCCCGTACCTCCCCGGTAATCCAACACCTGCCGTGAATTTCGCACTTGGACGCATCAATTACCGGGCATCGGTTACAGGATAGAAATGTCAACAGCCCGACAAAGGACAATTAATGGCACGTAACGATTGCTTTGCCAACATGGAATTGGGCAATAGGTGGAGTAATTCCCAACCGCAGCGACATATGCGTTGCGGGAACAATAGAAATCTGTGCGGTTTCATGCACTCCGAAAAAAAATTATTAAAATTTGTACTCTATGAAAAAGTGAAAAAATGTATTAAAAGAAAGACTTTATTTGCCTTTTTTTCAAGGAAGTTTTAAAGGCTTCAAGAAGGGAAATAGGTTTGAAGATGATCTTCTTAGACAGTTTTGCCACTAAAAAATTGTATTATAAGAATTTCTTTATTATATTAAAGGGGGGTTTTATACTTTTTAAATAAATTCTCTACTAAATTCTGCTGTCTTCATTACAAATGAATTTCTATAATTAATTTTTTTTTCCCAGTGTTGTCCCCTGTGAATTCATAGACAAAAATCCCTATTCAATGATGTGAAAACCGCATCGGGGTGGGATGATCAGCCCCGGTATCCTTGACGATCATCCTGTGTCTCGCTGCGGATCTGTCATCATTATCCTGTCCTGCTCAGCACGACGCGTGTTCGGGGTTCGGGCTGCTGCTGGCTTTGTTTTGATTCGAATTTGATTATGTTTATAAGGCAATAAATTAGAAAATCAGCACCACACTCAAGAGGAACTATAACCGCTTTGTAGCGCTTTGTTCGCAATGACAATGCGGCAGGGAGTCCATTAAATGGTTAATTTATGGTTGGCCCGGGAGTCGAGTTTCCTTTTTGGAGGGATCTCTCTGGGTGTTTGTGGGTTCAGTCCATCCTTACCCGATCCTACCCCTTCCGCGCGTAAATGACATTGTTAAAACGCCCCAAGTGTCTGCAATTTGTTGCTGCACTTAATGTAGTTATAATTCTTAACTGCACTTAGGGCCAAAAGCGCGGATCCAATGCGAGCATTAAGCCCTAAAACCCTTGGCCTGATCGCGGGGCTGATTGCACACCTTGTGGACGGAGCTCGTCAGCAAATTACAAGTACGCCAAAAAAAAAAAAGAAGGGGGATCGAGGGTTCGATCAGGGATACGCCGAAGTCTGATGCAGCTGCAACTTGAGAAGAGGCAAGGAGCTTGGACTATGGAATACCTGGTAATCAAATACCAATAAAAGTAAGTTTTAGCAAAGATAAAATATCAACAGAAAACCTATGAAACCTAGAAATAAATCCATTATTAAAAGAAATATTTTCTTCAGACTCTTAACAGCCTCTATATACCCCTTTAAGCCGCAGATACCTAGCATAAAAGCAGGCCTCACTCCAAGGCCCGATCATCGCCCATCGATCAGTGAGGTTTGGGCAAAAACCAGAAGTGATTTTCGGCAGCATTACAAATTCGGCTGCTGGAGGGGCATCTGGGGGATCTTAACCAGAACCTGTGTTTACCTTCGATCCGATAATCGCTGTGCTTGCTGCTGCAGCCAAAGGAGGGTCTGCCCAGGCTCCTTTTTAAAGTGTCTGGCAAGGTGTGTGTACTGCCACATTAGCGGGCCTGATGCCCCTTTCGGATGAGATGGTGCTACCAACGCACACCTGGCCCTGGGTTGGAGGTTAGCAGAGAGAAGATCGCGCCTAGCCTTGGCTAGATGTGACCCCACCCTCCCATTCATTGATGAGATGCCCACAAGGAATGCTGCTAAGATTTATGAACGAACAAATGGGCGGCGGTAGGCGTTTCCACCTCAACTGGCCTGGGTAGCGTAAGTACTCGCTGGAGACTTTAATTTTTCAATTAGTCGAGCTACCGTATTTGACTTTAGCTTATCCAGGCAGCAAAGATCGACCACCACCGGAGGGTCCAGCCAACGAACTGGATGATCCATCTACACCATTGATTGCAGCTCCTTCAGACTTCTCAGCCTCACTGCATCGTAAAAATATTGCATTTCGAAGGCAAACGCTTTCCGCGTTTTACGATTACGATGCAACGAATCCAACGAAGTGCCAAAGTTTTATGGTTACCTTAACACTTTTGCTTGGGATATGGGAACTGGACGACTCTGGGCTTCAGAAACCGAAGAGCTCCGACAAGGAAACGGAGGAAGCTTGATGGCCTAGACAAGCGTATAATTGATTTTGATTCTATGATGTGTTTTGGCCGATTTCCAGAGGCGTTGCGAGCCATAAAAACCATAATTAAAGTCACACAAAAACTTGTGGAAGAGAAGAGTTCTATTGGGGAAGTGCTTTAAGATTTTTAAGAGCTGAATATCGTTATATAAGACTCTGCCTCTGTACATTATAGAAAATTAATTACTAGAAAGATTGTATCATAATTCAAGCGTTCTATGTTATGGTTCAGGCTTTCACAGGACCTTTAATATTTTCTATAAACAGAATCCCCGTTCCAACATAAAAAAAAATATATATAAATAAAATCTAAAAAGAGAAATATTTTCAAAAAACAATAAAGAAAAGTCCCTAACCTTTTGAGAAGATTTCATAAGGGTCTTTAAGCTTTGAAATCCAATTATCCAAAAATGAAAACCCCTGTTCCCTCATCGATATTATAGGGTCCCAGTCTATAATCTGTATGTCCCTTGGCACATCCTATCATTAGCCTGTCAGCGGTTCGAGCTTCGATGTTTGTCTTTCTCTCTCGCTGGCGTGTTTATTTGTGTTTGATCAAATAATTTCTGTTTTTATGGCACCATAAATGTCCTGTTGGCAAAGAGAGTCCCCCGGTCCTTTCTTAATTTTCCCCCTCCAGCTCCTTGGTCTTGGTCTTGTCTTTTCAATTTAGCCATAATTATGTCAGACATTTAATTTATCGCAAGCAAAGGTCCTCATCGTCGTCGTCATTGTCCCCTTGCTGTCGCATCTTCTTGCGCACGCAAACTTTCTGGGCCAAAGGACTCACCCTCTTGCGCGGATCCTTTCTCCGGCGGCCATTTTGTGAGAGTGTCAGGGTTCAGTGGAGCGCAGGACTAGCTGAATGTGAGAAAATGTTACAACTTCCAGGCAAGTCCTGTCAGAGGTCTTCCCGTAATTGCTCATTTGGCTTATCGGCCCGGCCAATCCAGGACCTCTTCTGCAGGTGTGGAATGTCCTGCTCTACGGCGGGATCAATAAAACCCTGTAAACTCTATAAACATTTCGATTTGTGGAAATTGCGTTTTTATTAATTGGCTTTGACATGCCAGTCATTCGCCCTAGTTTCGTGTCTGTTTCTCTTTTTATGGCTGGCTCGAAAATCGCGTGCCCTTTGTCCGCCTACACTTTGTGTGGAGGAGTTCCTGGAGGGAGGAGGGAAATTACGAGTGGTTGTGCAACTCCTAGGAAGGACTGGGTACGGGTACATGTCCTAAGATCATTTTATCTTATCGTTTGTCGGCAACTGTTTACGAAATTGCCGGCCGATTGTTTCGGGCCACGCGTCTCTTTGAGGCAAGGTGCAACAGGATCGAGGATGGCAGGATTGCAGGATGAGGATGAGGAGGCGAGGCTGCAGTGCAAGCAACCTGCCTGACTGCATCCATCATCGCGTGGCAGCAATGCTCATGATTTGAGGCACATGCGTAACCTGCGCCAATTTGGCGACCCGCACACACATAAAGGACAAAGAGGACCTCGCATACATACTTTCGCTTGTCCTTTTTTTCTTGGTTTGGTTTCCAACAGGACTTGCATCTGCTGATTGCCAAGAACGGGGCACCGAACGGCGAACCCGCAATTAGGCCGCCCCTGCAATTAGAAAAAGGGAATACTCGGCGAGGAGCAGGACCCCAGGATCAAGCTCCATTTCTGTGGCATGCAGAAAAGAAACGAAACCAGCGACCAGTTAATTTGCCGCCGGTTTTCGGGACAGCTAATTTCAGATTAGAAGGGCGCCCACGCCACAATATTCTGCTTGGTTTTTTGCTCGTTTCCCAGGCACATTCCTGCGGACACCGCTCATTAATGACCATGAAATCTAGACTCTCTGCCTCGGAGTCATTCCCGCAGACAGACTCACCTCCAGGCACGAGCCGCCCCAAAAATACAGCTCCTAAATCGAGAGCAGCTTCTGTATTCTCCAGATTATTTTTTTGTTTCGGTGCCTCTTAATGAGTTGCCATCACGCATTGAGGCATGCCTTGCCTTGGGCTGCGAATTTTGGGATAATTTGATTAGGCAAAAAGTTGATGTGGGTGTCAGTCTGCCTTGGGTCTACCCCGCTGACACAAATCACACCCCCACCCGTCCAGGACTCCGAAGTGGATTCAATTTCAATTACAATATAAGCGAGTGTAAGTTCTGCGATTGCGATCGCATTTGGGCGCGTGGAAAGCCAAGTCAATCGGAAGAAGTTAAGCCGATTGTCCCGCCCCCTTTTCATTACAGTCCGCCCTGTTTTTTTGTCTACCCGGAGGTAGAGGTGTGGCACACAACCCCTAGTACTGGCTGGGACTAATAAAAACCAAAGCAAATCGAGTCAAACTTCCCACTTCCGTTGCTCATTTGTGTGGCTTAACAGGAAGGGTATGATGGAAGTGGTGGCAAGGAGAACAAACCATTTTAGTAATGTATGAATTTTCATAATATTCTTTACATCGAGCTTTTAATAAAGTCATTTTTTTTAATTTTATAAACAATAAATGTATAGAATTTTGAGTGTTACATTTATTCTATACATCCGTACCTCTATCTTATTTATATTTTCCTTCACAACTCCTTTTCCCTTCAAATGGGGTATCCTTTCCTTCTATACATTTCAGTACTTCCTTTTTTTGCTGCCCAACTAAACGCACTTCCCACACAGATTTGTGTGTGTGCGACTTAATTGGGGCGTAGTTGGCTTTTTGGGCTCGGGACTCCGGACTCGTGACTCGTGGCTCGTGGTTTGGGTAATTGCTGAAAGGCCACTTGAAAGGCTTTCGGTCGCATAATCGCCTTGTCAGATAGAGCAAGACACACGCCAGGAGATGGGAAGCGAACGAACAAGCAAGCTCGCTGGGCGTTGGGCGTGCCGAACTGGGTGGTCCACAGGACCAAGCACCAAACAACGGAGGACTCTGTGCCAAAAAGAGAGGAGAAGGAGGAGTGTGTTTGATGCCACCATGCACGGCTGACTCGCTTGATCTTATTACGCCGCGCTTGGCTGCCTGGGAAAAGTCGGAGGCAGCTGGTAACTGGTAGTAAATGGTTAGCCGGGTAGCCCAGCCTTTGTGACAGTTTTATCTCTACCCAGCAGAAGTTCCGCAGGCCAAGGACTCATCCAGTCTCCATTCACCCCGGGATGGGCCTAAGAATTTTGCATGTTTTCGCACAGGTTTTTGTGGTTTTTAGGTGGCAAGTGGATTTGCAAGCGCCACGCGGCTACGAAAAAGGGGTTTCGTTTAGGCCAGTCTTTGGCAGGAGTTTCTCCTTTTTGAGAGCCATTGATTTTCTAGTCATGGAAACTAATTTCCATTCATCAGGGTTCTGTCCCTCGAATGGATCAATATTTTCTATATACTCCCATTCCCTTTCCTAGGGAAAACCAACAAACAATCAACCAGCAATATGACAGTTTTATCTTTCAGCGCCAGTCGCCGTCGCAGTGGAAATTCATTTTCGATTCTGAATGCCGAGCGACAATTGTCGAATTCAATTAACGCCTGTGGCACCACCGAGCGTTACTTAACGCCACCACCCAGGGCAATCGTCGTCCTTTCCCTGACGCCCAACCAAACCAGCTACTCCTCCTCTTTGATTCTCATGGGAGGTTTCAAGGGAGGCGGCCTGAAGGATACACTAGTGGAAATAATTTGTCATACTTTTAGGAAATCTAATTTAATGTAATTTTGGTTTAAGATATATTAGTCATTGAATATGGAAAGGAAATGTATAAAAGTGAATTGAAACTTTGGAAATTGTATAGTTCAATGGCTTAAACTTGGCAATAAGGTAAAAGTTAAACCCCCATTAAAAAGTCCCAATCAAGGACCTCTAAAACATATTCTCTTTTTTAATAAACCTAAAATTTTACTAATAATAAATATAATTAAGCAATTAACCCTCCTTTAATCAAGATCTAAAATATAAATTTCTCCTAGTGAAATTCTACCCGTAGCTGTGGCCGTAGCTGTGGCTGTTTCGCCCGGGTAACGGCTATGGCCAGCGCTGTGTCACAATGAGGATGTGGCTCTGCGGATGATTCTATGGTGTGGGTGCCACTGGGTGCCAGTTGAAAGTTGGTGGGGGTAATTGAACAGCGAGAGAGTGAGAGCGTGTGCGTGCTGCGTTGCCTCCGCCGATTGGCCGGAACGCGGCTGCAACGGCAACGGCTTTGGCTTCGGAACGCTACGGATAAGGCTACGCTCTGCCGCAACGCTCTGCTCTGCTCTTCTTTGCTTAGCTCTGTCCAGGCCTCATCTTCCAGGGACCGTGCACCGTGGACTACCCCTACACCGTTTACCGAGCGAAGGCGGGCAGCACGGATGTTAGGCAGGAGAACAGTGGGGCAAGTTTAGTAAAGGAAGTCTTCAAGGGAAGTTATTAAAATACTACTTAAATTTAAATTATCAAAATCCAATTTTAAACTTTATAAATAGTTACTTGTTTTATTTAAAATTAAAAGAATTATTATTTGTTTAGACTAAAAACATAGAGACATAAATTCAAAGAGGATAGGTTCCTTTTTTAGAAGACAAGACATGCAGAAGCTTCGGTAACAGAGAGCAAAACATAGAGGAAACTGTAAACAAAAACTATCTATACCACTCTTCACCTGAATAAGCTCTACTATTTTCAAACATCTAAAAACTCCTCTCTATAAACCAACCACAAACAAAACTTTATTGCTTCTTTCGTCATCGTCGCATTTAACCCACGGTGGCCGTGTCAATTTCGCTCTCGGAGGAAGCCTCACCTGGCCCCCCTCCACATCAGCCTCACTCGACCAATGGCAGTTGGGCATGGAAACAGCGAGCAACGCATGCGCGACGAAGGCCTTTGCTCATTGGCGGACAGTTGGCCAAATGGGGCTGGAACTACCTCAGACGTGGAAGCCGTGAAAAACCGGTTACACCAGAAAAACGCCCGTGAAAGAGTGTGTCGGGTAGGGGTGTGTGTGTGTGTGTGCGTATAGAATAGTATGTGTGTGTGTGTGGTGCGGTGTGGCGGCTTCGCTCTGCGGCGCCTCAGTAGGAAACGCTGGCCGATGGACCGCGGGCGAGGCACGAAGCCAACTCCCCAGCTAAGCAAACCAAACCCAGCCGAGAAGTGATCGATGCGCCGGCCGCGCGATTCGCGTGCAGTTAGTCGAATTTTTGACGGTCGAGTGACAAGGTGCGTCGCGTCGCGAACTCTTAAAAGAAAATCTATACAACAAACAAGAAACAACTAAACTAAAAGCCACAAGATATAGCTCAGCCTACCGTCGCGCCTCTAAACTGAGTAATCAGTCAATATCCGCGGTATAAGCCCCACTGTGTATGTTAAACTTAAGCGGAAAGTGTGTTGTGCTCAAGTGTTTTAAGGATTCGGTTTGAAACCAGAATTGTGGATAGCCGGTGGTCACTGGACTAAGGCTAAAAAATATTATAAATTAAAACTAAATAAAGAAATAAAGGTGAGTTTTGGAAGGCTTAAACTTGAAATTAGGAACCAAGGTTTAAAGAAGCCGTGACCCAGTGACATTTAATTGGGATTATATCTTGGAAATTGTCTTTAAATAATTAATTTAATATTAATTAAAAAACATTTTAATAAAATATGAAAAATATTTTTAGTATTTTAGGGGTTAGAGCAACATACATATGTCTTTCCCTAAAGGCATATCATTTTATTTAAATTTTTGGGTTGAAATATTAATATATACATTATCGAAGAAGTATTTTTAGAGAAATAAATATAATTAGTAAGTTTTTAGACAACTTTAAAGTGCACTTAAAGGTGCAATCCTAAATGGGAAACTAAATAAAAATCATTTAGATGGAACTAAAAACCTTTTTAATGTAATTACTTAATTCTATAAGAATTCTAGATATACCAGATAATCCTTTGCTAAAGAAATAAGCTTTCAATAAATCAATCTTTGATAGTTTCAAAATATTTTCCCTCAAAATAATAACCAATAAAACCTTTTAACTAATAACTAGAGCAATATAGGTTTCCAAACAGATGTGTTAGCAATTTTTTTCAAAGACCACATAAGCTAAAATGCAAAGTGGATTGCACTTACCCATCAGAGACAGCAAAAACGCTTGATTTTGTATACAAAAATTATCCCCCGAATTACCCATATTATTCCTACAGTTGACAAAAGCCATCGATGATGACTTATGGGTGACTTAATTAAGATCTTCGCATCGATCGACCTGCCTATAATGACCACCATAAACGATCGTAATCAATTTGTTTGCGCATAATTTGCTTTCTCAACAACTAAATCATTAAATCGGAGTCGCTGCCAAGCAGGTTGCGGCATTATTTGAAAGGCTTTAATAACGATATTTGCTTATCTTTGTCCGACACATCGCTCTGAGGTCTCAGGTCGAAGTATAGCTCCCCCCAGTTCCCCTCGATACCTCGCTCGATCGGCTTATTTCTTAATGAACGACGATCTAACAGATCGGAACGGAACGAGGCAAACTCCATTCAAGCGGCGGCGTTAGTTTCGCCCGAGATTTTTTGTTTGTCCCCAAATCACTTGTGAATGGAGTGGAAGATGCCACCGGATGGCTGGCTATATCCACCGGATTGCTTTGCCAGAAATTTGCAATGCAAAACTACGGCCAATTGAACTTCCGCCGGACTGAGATAAGTCATAGCTACAATAGGCTCAAGCTCCGGCGATCGATCGTTTTGGCAGATCGTTGACTGGGTTGCCTCAGTTTTCCCACGAGTCCAGCGAGCGACAAAAGTCAAAAATCGTATGCTAATTAATTCTTTGTCATGCCGATATCGTCGTCTCTTCTGGCTGCCATTATGGCTCATTGATTTTCGGAGCTTTCTAAGCCAACGAGCCGCCGGACAACTTACTTAAGTTTGGTCCAGAAAGGCAGCTCGATCGCTCGCTCTGAGCTAATCATATTCAAATGGTGAAGCGTACGTTTTATTATAATTTTTTTATTTTAATTAGCGGCTGTTAATGCCCCGGCCAGATCTGGCCGATCGATCGATACTCCACCGATCAGCGGGGGCTCTCATAAAGAGGAAAAGGGAGAGGATTTTGGGATCACATCCGAAACAGAAGCTCGGCCAACATGTCGGTTCCACTTTCGGTAATCGCACGAATTTAAATTATTGTATGTTTAACTAATTTCTATCGGTTTTTATGTCTGTTCCGCTTGACATGTGCACGGAGCTAATTGAGACTTACGAGTCGAATTTGGGAATCTGTGGAGAAATCAGTAGCCCAGTATGCCATGCATACTTAAACCATATATCTCCCTCTAAAAACCTGAATGGCTTTGAGAGACCGAGATTAGCCATATCTCTAAATATAACTCTCGCGCTAGTAAACTTGAAAATCGTTTTTGGGAATAAAAGTTGGTAGAAGTGGAAATTGGGATGAAAATCTTGGGTTTATGAAGTTTTATAAGGTCTGTTAAATGAGCGGAGAGTTTTTAATATATTTTGTTTAAGCACCATATACTGGGGACCTGAGCTGAACCAGATCTTGTTATGGTTATAGCTTATAGTCAAGACCCTTGAGTGATATTTTCTAGACACCTTTAGCGTTCATAAGGTTTAGAGATCAAAAAAGTCTCCTTACTACTAAACTAAGTTCCAGTTGAGAATACAACTATTACCTCCCATTAAATATTAATTTTCGTATGACTGCTTGGCTTGGCTTGGTTTCTTCATTGAAATATTACCTGCTCTGTACAAATTAAGTTCTAATTATAGAACCCTTACCCCTGTAACCATATCAAATACCCCAATCAAAAAGGAGGTTCCTCTCTCTACCGATACCCCTGAAAGGAGCTGAGTTTCTCACCACTTCCCGTGGTTGACTATCGCCCGGAACTATTTAGCTGGAGACTGCTGCTCACTGGCCTCAATTTGTCTTACAAAAAACATAGAGCCACAGTCAAGTATTCCGGCGAAATGGTCAAGCAGCACGCCAGCGGGGAAATTAACCCTTTCATTGCGGCCAAATTGGATTTTTTCGGCCGGAATGTCTATTTCACTTTCTACAAAACCCAATGGAATGGAATCCTTATCGCGCTGCCGGTTAAAGTTTGGCCCCGGGCCAACTGGGGTTTATGGCCTTAACGGCCAGCACGAGTTTCCCGTTCGCTGAGACTCAAACTAAAACTGAGACTGGAGGAGAGCCCCAAAAAAAACCTAATGAACAACTTAATTTCAAGTTCTTTTTCTGTTTTTCTCGTTCTGTATTTTTTCGAGAGGGGGGAGTATGTGGTGCGTGCGGTGTTTTGGTGGCTTAACACGCGCATTTCGGCGATTTTATGGGCTGAAAAGTGGCAGGGAGCCGAAACCAAAAAGGGAGTAGGGCCCAGGACTTTTGGGCTCGGCAATTAAATCTAATGTGAATTCCATAATAACATGGCCATGACAAAGTGTGGACCGGACCGTCGTCGTCGGCGTTGGCAGTTACAGTTTTTGATTTATACGGTTCTTCAGCGCGTTTTCATGCCTCTGACAGGCTGGCGACAGGCCCAAATCCTGGCCAGAAATGGGGGAAATGAACAGGAAGCGGAAACCACCCTGCTGAAAGCCCATTTGCATATCTCTTTCCTCTCCTCTGGCTGCATATTTAACGAAATGAGCAATTGGCCAAAATTCATTTTAATTGTTACCTCTGACATTTGCATAGTCCGTGAGTTCTACCTGGGCTCTCTCTCTCGGAGCTCCTTGGGACCTCAACTTGTCGATAATGGGGCCCGCAGTTCACGCTGCGCCGGGAATGTGCCTGATAAGCAGCTAATTTGAGATACTGGGTACTGGTCACTGGTCACCGGTCACTGGACATGGCCATTGAGCACATAAACCACTGCACATTAAACCCCCGGCCGAGTAGTTTTATAAAATAATTAAGTTTTATGTATTTTCCTTACTAGATTTCCACTGTCCCGCACGGCTCTGTTCGGATCGGATCGGATCGGATCGGTTCTGGCCAGGCCTGGACGGGGAGCCGATTTCGTGGAAGCCGTAAAAAGTCTTCGGGGAGTGGGCCGCCAGCATTTCGAGAGACTCAAGTCACAGTTTGATGCTGTAGCTGTAGCTGAGCATCCTAATAGCCCGGCGACCACGACGACATCCATCAAAGCGTTTTTATGGCGTTCTTGCTTGAAATTTGATTAAAATTCAGCGATTAACTAAGCGGCAGAAGCATCTGTGGAGCAAAGAGAGGAGACGAGAGGCACAACAGCAACTAAACCAAAATACTTTACGGAGGCTAAGCGACTAAGCGATCGGATCGTATCGAATCACTTTCGGATTGGACTGGACTGAATTGAATTGTTGATCACATTTCAGCCATGCCGCATACAGGTGAGTCCCGCTAATGAACTCTGAAGTGAAATTAAATGAGCGAGATGCCATCGTAAGAGCCCCAAAAACTTAAATCCAAAACCCAAACAGAGCCACGGTTATTATTACTGGCGCACTTTTGCCGCCTGCCTTTACGATCGTCAGTTGGGTTGGGGAGTTGGTGGAGTTAAAGGGGCAGGTGGGAGAGAGATTAGACAAGTCAACATGCGGCGGACTACGGTTTTGTGGCCCAGACGCGTGTGTCCATTGTAAATCTTCCCGGCTTTCTAGGCTTTATGGAGCCAGCTTAGGTGGCTTGTATGAGCTACAAATATTTGCCTGGGCCAACTATTGCGGGAAATATATTTAGTCTGGCAGTTTTATCTAAATTTTAAATGTTTTTAGCAAACTATATTAGGTAATATCATATATAGTTTGTATTTATACATAGAATATTGAATTTTCGAAAATTATAAACTAAAGTTTCTGGAGTTCTACAGATATTTCAACACCTATAAAGTCAGGTAGTAAAATTGCTTTAAAGTTTGTAACTTTTTAAAATGTTTTTAAAATTATACTTCACAGGATCATATAAAAAGAGAATACTCTCATGCAAGTCGCCAATAAGTAGGCTATACTTTTTGACAAACTAAAGAAAATCGAATTTCTATAATACAGGCACTTCATATATATTTAGAATAAATAATAAATTCTGTCTTTTTTTTAAATTTCAATATGTAACTAAAAGTTCATTTTTATAACTGATAGTCTTGTTTTACCTCAAAAATTATATAAAAACCTTTTAAAAACTTCAATTTATTTCCCCTCTTTTCCAGGACAAGCTGGTGTCAACCAATTGGGTGGCGTTTTTGTGAATGGCCGTCCTTTACCGGACTGCGTGCGTCGCCGGATCGTGGATCTGGCCCTGTGCGGAGTCAGGCCCTGTGATATATCCCGCCAGCTTCTGGTCTCCCATGGTGAGCATGCCTCTTCCATACCCTACCTCTTTGCTCCTCACTAACCCTAATTTCTTTACTCCTTCGCCAGGTTGCGTATCGAAAATTCTGACACGATTCTATGAGACAGGCTCCATACGACCGGGTTCCATTGGCGGCAGCAAGACCAAGGTAAGTGGGTGTCCGAAATGGTTGGAGGGAAACCAGATCCAGGAGGGGACGGTGACGGGAAACCACATGTGGTCTGATGTGGTGCATGAAATCAACAAACGATTATATAAAAATCAAACGCACAGCAGTAAATCCATAAAGTATCACAGATACACGGAAACAGATAGCCCAGATAAGCTTTGTAACCAGCAGCTAGTTTACATGTTCTCCCAATGTCTCGATGACAGCTTTTATGGCCATGTGGGAGTGGCAGGCGGCAGGTGGAGGTGGAACAAGCAGTGGAGCAGTTACCAGCAGGCAGGAGGAGGAGGAGTAGTAGCAGTGGGCTTTCGAGTGGAGAGAGCGCAGCAAATCAATCTCGCCTGTCCTAGGATGATAACTCGATGGGTACCTGTACAGTGCTGGATAATAGGGACATCTGTGGGGTTCGCACGCCCAATCAAGTGTGGCTGCTACCGTTTAAGCCACTGCTCGCTTCACGGCAACACAAGTGACGACAATGCCACGATAATAGTATAGTGATAGGAGGGCAAGGGGATCAGCGATCCAACCGGAGCTAAGAGATAACACCGAATCACGACCAAATACCTCCTATAGTTATTTTCCATGAGAATATTGTGGATATCAAGAGTCCTTAGACCAAAGTTAGGTATCGAAAATGAGGTTTAGGACTCAATATGATAAATCGATAAAAATAGCAAATCAAAAATAGTGTAAACTAGGATATATAGATTTTTTTTTTAAGTAAAATATATCAATATAATCGATAAATGTTAGATTACAACTGTAATTTCTGTGAAAATATCGATAAAGTTTCGATATACGAACACATTTTCTAATTTTTCGACCCTGGCATATCTAATAGATTTGTCTCTATTTAAAAAAAAAACTAGGATTAATACAAATAAAAATTTCTCACATTCCAGGGTATAAAAAACCTCCCATGTATGTATGTTTGTTAATATTTTTTTGGTTAGACTGCGCAAACAATTACTCAGGTGCGATGTTTGCCGACGGCACAGAACGCCTAATTAACGGTAGTTGCAACGCCCACCAAGTGCACAATGTACCCGTCCACAGACGGTACCCAACCACTTCAACCACCTCGCCGTGGATGGGGTTGGAATAGTAATAGCAGTAGTAGTTCCACCCACTCCCAACGCCCGCTTACATGGCGATTCAATAAGCGCTGTGCACCGAACAAAACGCGCATTTAACACCTACGCTGGGTCAATAAAGAGGTTGCCACCTGAACTACATCTACTACATAGTAGTGCTCACAAGGACAGTCAGTAGTGGTGGCCAACAAAAGGGTGAGTGCGCGTGTAGATTTCCGATAAGATCTGGCATGCAACGAGGGGGGATGGAGGAATCCCCACCACTTAAACCCCCTTTAGCGTATTTATGAATTTTTAATGAATTGCCGCGTCACACGTGAGGAGCGGGCGCCAGCCCAAGTCCTTCGAAATATTCCACCAAATTAACATATGCCAAAGGGGGTTTCTCCTGTTCCCGGGTTCCCGGTTCCGATGCAAATCTCTACGCGAACATGTCGGCTCAAAAGGGGCGTGGCTGGGTGAACTGCAGAATGCACTTCACAGAATGGGCTCAGTGTGCGCTTTGGTTTAGTTTAGTTTACTGCACAATTGAATTTCACGGCAATTAATCGTCGGAGGGGGGAAAACTGGAGAACCCGCTCAGAGAGGGGGTTCACCAGAGAATAGTGTTGGTTATTTTAATCGCAGGAATGCATCTACTAGGTTTATACATTAATATGCTGTCAAGGTGTTGGTTTAAAGTCAGAAACAAAAGGTTAACAGAAGTTTATTGAGGCGTTGACGATGTTACAGCTGCATTTGTGTGTAAAAAGGTGAATTATAAATGTAAATCAAGACCTAACTATATGCCAATGCATTAGGTAGTTCGAAAAGTCAGTTTCTTCTATTTTCCTTCATAAAAAAATCTTCATCAACGAACTTTTCTACGGATTGGACATCAAAATTTGTCTCCAAATTCGGACTTGAGAATTATTGGTGTACTCGGGGCAACAATTTTAATGTTGAAAATTCTATAAATAAATACATTTGTAGTAGTATAGTGCTAAAATAATCCCAATAATAATTACTGAAACATTTATCTATGAAAATTTACTTTTTACGCACCCATTTTAATTGAAACCTCTCTTTCTGTTCCCCTGTTCGTTCCAGCAAGTGGCCACTCCCACCGTGGTAAAGAAGATCATCCGTCTGAAGGAGGAGAATAGTGGCATGTTCGCCTGGGAAATCCGTGAGCAGCTGCAGCAACAGCGCGTCTGTGATCCCAGCTCGGTACCCTCGATCAGCTCCATCAACCGAATTCTGCGCAACAGTGGTCTCTGGACGGACGAGATGACCTCCAGTCAGCAGAATGCCGCAGCGGCAGCAGCAGCAGCGGCCGCAGCTGCGGCGGCGGCTCATCATCATCAAGCTGCGAGCAGTGGCGGTCCATCCAATAATGGCTATGCCCCACAAGCTCCGCCTCCGCCTGTGACTGTGGCCACTCCATCCACTCCGGTTGCCACGCCCAACTCGACACGTTATGCAAAGCCGCCGCCGGCGTTGATGATGGGTTCCGGCGCTGGCGCCGTCGATATGCCCATCAAACCCGCTCCGAAAATGCCGCCGAATATGGGACATGGCCATGGGCATGGTCACAGCCTAAATCCTAGTGTTTCTGGTCTGGATTTGAGTTACTCTGCTCTGCACAAGCACTGGCTGTGGAATCCCTCCCTGCTGTACTATACCCAGGCCCACATACAGGCCCAAGCAGCGGCATCGGGTGGCCAGTTCCTGCCCTATGCTGGCGGCTACTTGCCCCACGCCATGGCAGCGGCGGCCGCCTCGTCCGCCTCTGGAAGCGGGGGTGGTGGTGGCTTTACCAAGTCGGAGAGCTCTATTGATCTTTCAACGCCTGGAGCCGCCGGAGATGCGCTTAGCGATTGCGATTCCGGCAAATCCTCGCCAGCAGCTCTCTCTTTGACCGCCTCGGGTGGAGTAAATGGCGGTGGTTCGGCCCCAGAGGCCTCTCCTGGTTCAACTCTGAGTCACAGTCGCAAGCGGAATCCTTACTCCATTGAGGAGCTGCTCAAGAAGCCGGAGAAGCGACTTCGCTTGGACAGCAGCCACCGTCTGGAGTGCCTGGAATCGAGCTCGTGTGAGAGCAGCCAGGATAGTCCAGCTCCCCTGCCACTGGAGATTCCTGATGACGAGGACCCGGCCGAGGGAGAGGAGCAGGAGCAGGAAGAGGAGGAGGAGGACTGCAGCGTTGAAGTGGTCAACTGAGTCGCCTAGCATTAACCAACTGTCCCAGTTTTGATCTGTGTATATATAGCTATTTAGTGTAAACCTACGCCAGCCGATTCCCCAACGCCTCTCGAAGTCTGGAATTGCTGGAATCGGAATCCATAGAATTTCACAAACAACTTTCCTTCCACAACTGGATCTCCTATGAAATACTTTAAATCTAAATGAAAATATTACTAATTGTAATAGCAACGTGAAATTGTATTAATTCCCTCTTCAACAATAAGGACTTTGATTCGTATTGGAGAAAAGGGTTCTACAAAGTTCTGCAAAAAAAAATATTTAAATAAAAACCAAGTATTGTGCTGAGTAAACTAAAAAAGTTTTATATTGTTTAAAGCGATGGGGAAAGATGGGAACCTAGGGCACCACAAAGGGCTTATCCAGTATTTTATTGGTATAAGTGTAAAAAAAGGTTCAACAACTTAATTTCCCACAATTTCTTGCCTCAAAATTCATGTAATTCCTTTCTGTACTCAAGCATTATCTCAAAATGAAGTAATTGGCTAAAGCATGAAGGGTTATTTACAAGTAATTCAATATCCAAACATTTCATTATTGAAAAACCCTCAGAGATACCTATTTAAATGCTACTAAATGAAGTGTTTTCCACCGCCGGTGGTCTGCGGTATCTGCGGCTTCTCCCTCTTAATTAACTTGCGCGCCAATGAAGTGTCAACAAGTTGCCAACACGCTGGAGGATTGGATGGAGGTTTGGTTGGAGGGAGGTCTGTGTAGCGAAATTACAGGATGTCTGACACGACCATAACTATCGATCGCCCGCGGAGGAGCGAGGGTTGAGACGGTGCAACGAGTGCGAGTTCGAGTCTGAGTGTGAGTCTTAGTCCGCGGAAGAGGCGACAATGGCTGCAACTCTGGGAGCTTCAACTGCAACTGCAACTGGAAGTGCGAAAATGGCATTGGAATCGGCATGGTGTGGCGGCTGACATTGTGAGTGGAATTCGTAAGCAGGTGGAGCGAGGAGCTGGCGGTGCTGGTCGCCTGGGGAGCACACGGCATCGCTCCATTCCGGGCCAAGGTGTGAAGTTGCGAAAAACTTTCCCAAGACCTTTAGATACTCGGGAACAGTGGCTACTCTGAATATGCCAACAATAAATCAGTGGCTAAAAATAATTGCCGCGACAATTGCGCGCGGCTAAATTATGCAAAGCTTGCAAAAAAAAATATGTGGAAAAAAGGCGCTGCCATAATTGTATCACGTGCAGGTCGCGATTCCGCATCCTGGCCAATGTCTCCTTGCTTCTTGCTCCTTACCAAAACACACCACTCCACTCACTTCATAAACAATGCTAAAAGGCGTTGAGGATGCGCGCAAGGAAACTGACGGCGAGGAATGCAGAGCCAGGTTGGATCTGCCGGGGAATCGGTAGCAGAAGCCTCCTGATCATGGCCAGATTGGAATGCCCTGGCATGACTATGACTGACAGCCTCTGAGAGCATCAAGCAAAAACTCAAACACTGGGAAAAAAATAATACTAATAATGGTTTTGATGTTAAGATATATTTTATACATTAAATATTAATCTTACGTTTTGAAATAAATTATTAAAAAATCATTTCTTTTGATTAATATGGAAATTATTCTACATAGAATAATAAATATTATGGAAAAATTATTCAAAATCCGATTTTTTCCCAGTGCTCTCACAAAGGGCTCTTTGTGGATCGCCCATCGATGATGATGACGATACCTTCTGCTGATCGCAGCGACGATCCCGCTCGGGCGACACTTTTAGGCCAGGCCAGGATTGGAATCAGATTCAGAATCGGAATGGGAATCGGGATCGTCATCGGGCATCGAGCATCGGGATCTCGGGATCGGGAAAGACAGAATATTTTTATACGCTCGCGCTCGAAATATCAATGAGGCGGCGGAGGCAGAGAGACGCGTTTTTGCTGGGCGCATTTGGCGCGACAAAAAACGCGCGCGCCGCTCGCGTTTGGATTTCGCGCTCGCCTTTGGGGTTTTTTGTTTTGTGTTTGCTGCCACCACAAAACCCGGCTGCTGCTGTTGCTCCTCTTGTTAGCCAGCCAACGGCGGCAGGAGTCTGAGCCAGGCCAGAGACAGAGCTTGAGCCAAAGCCAGAAAGCTGCCGAAGAAGCTGGCATGGATTGTTGCAATGTTTCGTCGCGCTGTTGCGTTTGATTTGTGTTTTTGGTTTTTGCAGTGGCCACTCGGCGATTTCGGCATAAATCAAAATCCAGTTGGGGCATTGGAAATTGGACGCGGACGCGGACTTGGTTGTTGGACGCGGAATGGGACACAAGATGTCGTCTTCGAGGCCCTTCTCTGCGACAGATATTATGGCAGAAAATTTATTTTATGGCGGTAATGGTGTTATGTTTTACGCGATTAGCAGATCCAAATGTTTGACATTGCGGCGACATCGGGGCTGGGAATCGGGTTGCGGATTTGTCCAGCCGATATATATATGAATAAATATATATATGGGGGATGGTAATGGAAGCTCTGATGGCTTGACAGCAGCATGCACCGCAATTAATGGCATTCAATTAGGATGAGAAACTCCATGGATTATGATGATTGAGGGAAAGGCTGATGCTGTTCTTGGGGAAAAGTTGTGGGGGCTTTAAAAGGAGTTAAACCAGCAGAGAAATATGTGATATAAATATACAAATAAAATATAAATATATATGTACTTGACAGATCTTAAAAACTACAATTTCTTGTAGAAATCTTTTTTAATTTAACCCTGTTATATAGATTAATGAATAAACTTCAAACTTTTAAGCCTACGTAACCGTAAATATACATATCTCTTCTCAAAGTTTTGTGACCAACTCAAGAGCTAAATTTATAACCCTAGATCTTCCGTTGCAAGTTGACTTCCTGCCCCTCTTGGGCCAGAGCTTCCGCTTTCTAGGCCAAAACCTCTGGCCTGAACCTCTCTCTCGAAACCAAACCGAAAACCCAACACCGAAGATGTGACCCAGCCTCTGTCTGGGTTTCCCTCTGCCTTTGGCATTTGGCTTCTTGTGCCTGCCTGTTGGGACATTGTCTGGTCTGGTTTTTAGTGCCGCGCGCGCACACCGCCTTGTTAAATGAAGCAATTTTTTATGGTTAATTTCCTAAAGGTGCACTTAAATGCACCTCGGGGTCCGGGGTGACTCCTTACCATCTCTCTCTGCCGATCTTGGCCTCACTTGTCAACGCATTTCGAGATTGATTTCTCTGTTTTGTCTCTGGCCGTGGGCACAATTAAACCGTAAAAAGCCGACTCTGGGTAGAGGCGGGGAAACGAAGGGTTAATTGGCGGTGGCAACAGAAGCAGTTATGTTCTCATTTAGAACGCTCCCGACAACAGGTTAGAGGACCCAATGTGAACTAATAAAAATTGAAACGTTTCGAGACCATTAAATTGTGAGTTTTGAGCGCGTTTCGGAATTGGTTTAGGAATAGCCACCGCAGTGGGAATGGGAATGGGAATCCAAATCGGAGTGGGAAATGAAAATGGAAATGGGAATAAAATGGGTATACATGCTGGGGACAGTAGCCACTGTGTGACATTTACATAATTAACCTTTATTGTGGCCATTGATTGGCCGCAGGGGCGGAAATGAACTCGGTCCCGGGTGTGAACCATCCAAAGTCGAGGGCTCTTTCGCGAACAAGCGCTGATCGATGGCCGGATCGATCGGCCAGAGCCAGAGCCAATGACCCTTCGGTGGTCCAGCCGCCGACTGAGCGGCAATAAAAGTCGAGTTAACAACTTACAGGAGCCAAACACGCCACACGTTGATGGATATCATCGATGGAGACTCCCTGCGCAGGTCTCTCCTTGAACAGGGCAGTCCACTTTATAAGATCTGTCTGGTTTTTTTTGAGCTTATTATATTGCATATAGATTATTTTTCAAAGTTTTTAAATGATTTTCATAATCATAATCTTAAAATGTTTAATTTTTTGAGAGAACTGTAAGCTAACGAATTAGAAAAAAGCTGCGCAGATTTAAAATAACTTAAAAACCTATATAAAAATATGGAAAACAATTATTTTAAGAGACGAAATAAGAGGTATTGAATAACTTAATGTAAAGTTAAAGTTTTCTTCAACTACTAAACGAAACTTAAAACGTAAAAATAATTAATAAAACTAAGAAAAACAATTTACCCACGCATAAAAGAGCATTTAAATCAAAGCTGACTGCAATTAAACTTCTTACTTTAAACTCCCTACATGCTAGTTTTTAAAGCGTAGAGCACCACTGTCTCCTGGTTCTCCTTCGCAAGCTGGGACATCGCACCAATGCCCGCTGGGCCCAGTCCACCGCCAAGAGAGCATGATGCAAATGAGCCCCCTGGACGGATCACGAATCTCGGCTCCGGCTCCACCTCCGCCTGGCGACGCAGTTAATTGGGAGAGCTTGTGTTATGACATTCTTATCGCCGAATGCGCGTCGACCTCACCTGGTGGCTCATAAAAGTGAGTTAAGTTGCCTTGGGTTTTGGAACTGTGGGCAGCTGCGGTAGTGCGGCATCCTAATTGGCAGTACTCCTGAGCAGAGGAAGTAAGCGTTTCGGACATTCCATCAAATGCGGATCGGATCGGATGCGCTGCGCTGCGAATTGGGCGAAATGCGCGTACTTCCGCATGGGGCAGGTCGCCTAGCGATTCACCTGCTCGTCAGCCAGCTCGGCGCGCGCTCTGCGCATTAACACGGCCCGGCCCGCATTATCCTTGGCCATCATTAGTTTGCCGGCTCGGCAATTACGCCACTCAATTGTCTTTGCCAGGATCTCGGCGCAAGATCGCAGGATCGGTTAGGCTGAGGCACCTTACCTTACCCTGTTGCTGGTGCTGCTCCCCGGTAATGGAATTATAATTATAGCCTCGCTCCTTGCTCCTTGCTAATGTTGTCAGCGAAAACACACGACCAGTCTCAGCTCGAGCTTCAATTTCAGCTGAGGCAGAGCCTTTAGAGAGGAGTCTTCGACCTGCAGCTTGATGATTGTCGCCACATTAAATTGTCAAATTGTTTGCGCCCCTTATCGCGATGTCCTGCTGGCCACGTGCCCTGTTCTGTCCTCCGTGCTCATCCTCGGGCATTCATAACGGTTATCCTTTCTGTTGACAAGTGGCGGCAGTAAGTAGTCATTCGATCTGTCAGGTGAATGAAGGCCAATGCAGGGAGCGTCTGTGATATTTATAGGACATGTGAATTGCAGAAACCTTCTTTGGGTAATAAAAAAGGAACCAATTGATTTTTTGAACAGCAATTCTTTATAATTCAGTATTTCTCGAATATTTAAAAGAATCGTCTGTAGGCTTTTAAATATTCTTAAAATATTTTGATTTACATTTAATCTCTGATAAGTAATACACTTTAAGCCACACTTTAAGTCACTTTATACATTATAATTACTTGTTTTTTTTACTGAGTGATTTCATATTGCCTTTGACTTTAGCCTGGCGTATGTCAGGCTGGTATATCTATTTATTTTTATCTTTTGTTAATTTTATTATATTATAAATATATTTGCAATTATCTTTCTATTTTGTATTTCAGCCTACAAATCAGTAAAATTAATTAATTAATTTCACAGATTAAGAGCCTGAAATGCAGATTTTCATCTTGGTGATAAGTTAATTGTGAATTTCTGTAGGTTTTTATACCCTTGCAGGGTATTATAATTTCAGTCAGAAGTTTGCAACGCAGTGAAGGAGACGTTTCCGACCCTATAAAGTATATATATTCTTGATCAGCATCAACAGCCGAGTCGATATAGCCATGTCCGTCTGTCCGTCTGTCCGTCTGTCCGTTTCTACGCAAACTAGTCCCTCAGTTTTAAAGCTATCTGAATGAAACTTTGCATATAGTCTTCTATATGCTCTCACTGCTATATATGTCGGAACGGGCCGGATCGGACGACTATATCATATAGCTGCCATACAAATGTTTGATATATTTGTAGAAAAAAAATTAGAACTTTGATGTTTTTCAACATTTTTGCACCATTTTTTAGATATGGCCATTCTATATTATTTTAGAATTTTGGTATAAATTTTATCAAAATCGGACGACTATATGATATAGCTGCCATAGGAACGATCGAGAAATAAATAGGAAAAAAAATTATAGTTTCGTTGTTTTTCAACGTATGTTTATCTACTCTGAGATATAAGCTTTTTTTATTATTCTAGAATTATGGTATAAATTTCATAAAAATCGGACAACTATATCATATAGCTGCCATATAAACCGATCGGTAGATGTAGAGAAAATGTAAAACTGGGAATGTAAAACTGTAACTGTCAAACTGTAAACATAATAAGTATAGGTAAAATGTAATGAAACTCTGTTTTGTGAGTGTTTTCAGCATTTAAATCTATAATATAAACATCGAAACCAATCTGCAAGGGTATACAAACTTCGGCGTGCCGAAGTTAGCTTCCTTTCTTGTTTTTTTTTAATTTTTAGTTAAGCTGTAAAATTTTTAATTTTTAAAATTACGTTTTATTTTCCCAGTGTAAAGTAAGCAGTTCGACCAGGCAGGTTCTAGTTGGAATAAGCATATCCTAATTGGAGTAAGCGGTTAAAACGTAAAAACGCCACAGTGGCGCCCCTGCCGGAATCAAAACTCTTAATGTTCGCCGAATGCCTATATATGTACATAGGTGGCGCCATATTTGGGACAAACCGAGCCAAGACCTAAACAGGGGTTAAAAACTTGGTTTATTTAAATTAAAATTATTAATTAAATAATTAAGTTTACAATAATAACAAAAACTCTATTTAAGCTTTAAATATGGAACTAAACAACATTTATCTGAAGGCATCGAAATTTCCTCTAAAAGTTTGAAAGCTTCTAGCTAAAAATTTGACTTGAATATATATTAACTTTTTTCGTGAATTACATTTTCCTGGTTTTGTTGTATTTCTGAGAAAAATTTAGATTTAATATTTTTTTATGTATTTCTATGCCATCAGTAAACTAGATTTTTGGGAACTGTTGGTGACCATTAGACCATTAGCTGACCATGATTCCTAGAAATCAGTCTTGATACTGTTTAAAATAAAAATTTGGCAGCCGAATTCTGTATTTAAAGGCCCACCGAAACGCCGCTTTCACAATCACTCGACGTCATCTCTCCGGAAATGAAGAGCCTTCTGCTTTCACTTGCTCTGCTCGAGCTGCTGTTCTGGCACAAAGGATCGGCACTGTTACTGGACAATAACTGCGCCTGGACCGACGACGAAGACCTAATAACCAATACTCCTTGGATGGCAGTAGTAAGAAGCGAAAAAGGCTTTATATGCAGCGGCGCGCTGATTACCAAAAGTGAGTAAATTTTATTTTTACATAGAGAACATTTTGAAATAACTTGTGCCCCCTTCAGACTATGTGCTCACAGCCGCGCAATGCTTATATAATCATTTTTAACATTTTCCATTAAGGTTTGTCCAACTGGGAGAAAGGCACTTCAATGTGAGCCGCGGCATAATGCATCGTGGTTATCGAGCGCAGCCCGGTCCAAATGATATTGGATTGCTAGAACTCGACGGTGAAGTGAACTACACCACCGGTAAGCATTATATTTAGATAAATAAATATATAAATTATATTTATGTCATTTAAATGTATAAATATCGCCTTGCTTTTAGATGACATTCGACCCATCTGCATCTTAATGGATGCCGCCTCTGTGTTGTGGAACAAGAACAGATTTTCTGCCTTTAGCTGGGGTAAAACGGAGACTGGAATCGGGAGCCGTCTGCCTTCGGATGATTGCCAGCATTACAACATGCCCCAGTTGACTAACGCGCAATTTTGCGTATACAGCTATACGGGCGATAGACCCTGCAACGACGTAGCTGGAGGACCCCTAGCCGTTATCATCAATAATCGCCCAGTCCAGGTCGGCATCACAAGCTATTACCCTTCGAGTTGCAATGGTCCTGCGGTGTACACAGACGTGACGAGCTACACCCGCTGGATAGCTTCCATTGTATTAAATAATAATCACAAGCATCAAGCGTTAAGAATCTAATAATTTGTGATATTTTTCGCATAATAAAGGAATTTATCAATCAGAGCTAAGTCATTTGATCTAGCATCTGAATATACGTTGCATATATATCAGTGAACTAGATTTTCCAGAACTCTTGGAGCTTATCGATTCCGAGAATTATAAATGACCTTTAGCTGACCATAATTCCTAGAAATCAGTCTTGTCTTGATATTTCTTAAAATAAAAATTTGGCAGTCGAATTCTGTATTTAAATGCCCACCGAAACGCCGCTTTCACAATCATTCGACGTCTTCTCTCCGGAAATGAAGAGCCTTCTGCTTTCACTTGCTCTGCTCGAGCTGCTGCTCTGGCAGAAAGGATCGGCACTGTTACTGGACAAGAACTGCGCCTGGACAGACGACGAAGACGTACTAACCAATACTCCTTGGATGGCAGTAGTAAGAAACGAAAATGGCCTTAAATGCGGTGGCGCGCTGATAACCAAGAGTGAGTAAGGCATTTTAGATTGAAGGACATTTTGAAATAACTTGTGCCCTCTTCAGACTATGTGCTCACTGCCGCGCATTGCTTATATAATCAGAAGGCGCCCATGTAAGTATCACACATTTTATGATTGAGATCAAAGTATTAACATTTTTGATTAAGGTTTGTCCAACTGGGGGAATGGCCCTTCAATGTGGACCAAGTCATAATCCATCGTGGTTATCCAGGGCCGGTAGGTCCGAATGATATTGCACTGCTGAAACTCCACGGTGAAGTAAACTACACCGGTAAGCATCATATTTAGATAAAGAAATGTATAAATTATATTTAGATATATAAATATTTTATAAAAATCGCCTTGCTTTCAGATCAAATTCGACCCATCTGCATATTAACTGATGCCGCGTCTGTGCTGCAGAAAATCAACAAAGTTTTAGCCTTTGGCTGGGGTAAAACAATGGCCAGAGACCTCAGCCCAGTACTGACGACCTACCAGTTGAGGCGTCTGCCTTCGGAGAAGTGCCCGGACTACATGCCCCAGTTAACTAACGCGCAATTCTGCGCCGACAGCGAGGTGGGCGGTGGACCCGGCAAAGGCGATGGTGGAGGACCCCTAGCCGTCATAATCAAGAATCGCCCAGTCCAGGTGGGCATCACCAGCTATGGTCCTTTGGATCGCAGTCTTCCTGCTGTTTACACAGACGTGACGAGCTACACCCGCTGGATAGTTTCCATTGTACGATTTTAAATAATAGCCACAAGCATCAAGAGTTTATAATCTAATAAGATTTGATATTTTTCACATAATAAAGGAATTTATCAATCAGAGCTTAGTCATTTGATCTAGCATCTGAATATACGTTGCATATGTATCAGTGAACTAGATTTTCCAGAACTCTTGGAGCTTATCGATTCCGAGAATTATAAATGACCTTTAGCTGACCATAATTCCTAGAAATCAGTCTTGTCTTGATATTGCTTAAAATAAAAATTTGGCAGTCGAATTCTGTATTTAAAGGCCCACCGAAACGCCGCTTTCACAATCATTCGACGTCTTCTCTCCGGAAATGAAGAGCCTTCTGCTTTCACTTGCTCTGCTCGAGCTGCTGCTCCGGCACAAAGGATCGGCACTGTTACTGGACAAGAACTGCGCCTGGACCGACGAAGACGGCCCACTCCATACTCCTTGGTTAGCCAAAGTAAACAACGAAAAAGGCTTTATATGCGGTGGCGCGCTGATTACCAAAAGTGAGTAAATTTTATTTTTACATTGACAACATTTTGAAATAACTTGTGCCCCCTTCAGACTATGTGCTCACAGCCGCGCAATGCTTATATAATCAAAAGCCGCCCATGTAAGTATCACACATTTTAGGATTGAGATGAAAGTTTTAACCTTTTCGATTAAGGTTTGTCCAACTGGAGGAAAGGCTCTTCAATGTGAGCCGCGGCATAAAGCATCGTGATTATCGAGTGCAGCCCGGCCCGAATGATATTGGATTGCTAAAACTCGACGGTGAAGTGAACTACACCACCGGTAAGCATAATATTTAGATAAATAAATATATAAATTATATTTATGTCATTTAAATGTATAAATATCGCCTTGCTTTTAGATGACATTCGACCCATCTGCATCTTAATGGATGCCGCCTCTGTGTTGCGGAACAAGAACAGATTTTATGGCTTTGGCTGGGAAAGAATAGAGACTGGAAAAGTCAGCCAATTTGAGATGACCACCGAGGTGAGGCGTCTGCCTTCGGAAGAGTGCCAGCATGACAACATGCCCCAGTTGACTAATCATAGCACGCAAATCTGCGCCGAGGCGCACTATGGACCCTGCAACGGCGATGCGGGAGGACCCCTAGTCGTTATCATCAATAATCGCTCAGTTCAGGTCGGCATCACAAGCAATGGCCCTGCGAGTTGCAATGGTCCTGCGGTGTACACAGACGTGACGAGCTACACCCGCTGGATAGCTTCCATTGTACGATCAAGAATATTATAATCTAATAATTTTTAATATTTTTCGCATAATAAAGGAATTTATTAATCAGAGCTTAGTCACTTGATCTAGCATCTGAATATACGTTCATATGTATATGAATATATATATGTACATATGCCATCAGTGAACTTAATTTTCGAGAGCAATTTGAGCTTATCGATTCCGAGAATTATAAATGACCTTTAGCTGACCTTGATTCCTAAAAATCAGGCTTAATAAATGCAATATAATATGAAATTCTCTGTAATCAAGAAAATAGATAATGCTGCAAATTTATTATTTAAAGGCCCACCGATACGCTGCATTCACAATCACTAGACGTCTTCTCAGTCGAAATGAAGTGCCTTCTGCTTTCACTTGCTCTGCTCGAGCTGCTGCTCTGGCACAAAGGATCGGCACTGTTTCTGAATGAGGACTGCGAGAGGATTGATGAGGAAGACGGAGCAACCACTGCTCCTTGGATGGCCGCAGTAAGCAACGAACAAGGGTTTCTATGCGGCGGCTCGCTGATTACCAAAAGTGAGTAAAGGTTTTTATTCACCCACAAAAAGCACTTGGAAATAACTTGCGCAACTTACAGAATTTGTGCTGACAGCCGCGCATTGCATAAAAGATCAGGAGAAATTGTAAGTACCCCACAGACTAAGATTAAGATTAAAATGTTAACAATTTCGATTAAGGTTCGTAAAACTGGGAGTGTTGGACAGAAGCGATGCCTATGGCATGGACTTCAATGTAAGCCGCATCATAATGCATGGTGATTATCAAACGAATCCAGGTGTAAATGATATAGGACTGCTTAAACTCGCCTCTGAAGTGGACTACACAGGTAAAATATATATTTCTATATTTATATATCGAGTGGGAAAGTTATAAAACTTCTCTTTCAGATCGCATTCGACCCATCTGCATCTTAATGGATGCCGCCTCTGTGTTGCAAAACATCAACCGATTTTCTGCCTTTGGCTGGGGAAAAACGGAGACCGGAAACCTCAGCCAAAATCTGAAGACCATCCAGCTGAGGCGTCTGCCTTCGGATAAGTGCCAGCATGACAACATGCCCCAGTTGACTAACACGCAATTCTGCGCCGACAGCGAGACGGGCGATGGACCCTGCATTGGCGATGGTGGAGGACCGCTGACGTCAATCGTCAGGAATCGCACGGTCCAGGTGGGCATCGTAAGCTATGGCCCCAGGGATTGCAATTTATCTGCGGTTTACACGGACGTGGCTAGTTACACCGGCTGGATAGCTTCCAATGTACATAAAGCTTAAATAATAATCACAATAATCAAGCCTTGATAATAATAACGATTTCTCTGACATGTTTTTGTATTAAATAAATTTATCAATCCGAATTTAAACACCTGATCTAGCACTTGAACATAAGTCGCATATTCTTATTACTTTAGAATGAATTTTACACTAGCGAAAGAAGGATAAGGGGTTAGACCACTGTACTTCATAGAAGGCCATTTTTAAAAACTTTTATCAAGATATTTTTAAAACTTATGTTGAAGAGCAAGTAAATTATTAGTTGAGCTTGAAAAAAAATGCAAGAAGGCGTCTTTCAAGAGAAATAAATTAAAAACTCTTTGAGTTCTGTTGCCTTCCGAGAAACAGAAAAAAAAATATATACCTATACAAAAAATAAAATAAAAATAAAAATAAATTTGGGAATCTTTCTTTTATAATTAATGAATATATAAACAATACAATTAAAATATATGCTAGCGGAATCTTTGAATTTTATTACTATTTTATTCTTTTATAACGTCCAGCACAATGACCCTCCGATAAGCTTTTTACCATGGAAGCGCAAATATAGCCTATAAGGTGGGTTTATTTTTATATTTGTTTATAAAAAATATTGTACTTGAACCCAGAACTCACTTTATGCATGGCTTACTTCCCAGAACAAAGAAACGATCATCTGAGACCCAAGTTAATATATAATTTGTGGGTTTAACATTACCTTTTTATTTTATAAATGGACATAAGATTTCAAGTAATTTTAAGAAATCCTAATCTCTCAGTGGACATAATAAAAATATTCTTGGAATAATGATTTCAAAGTACTGATAAGCTAAAGGCGGCTTAAGTTCGCGAATAGCTTTTTGGACTATTTTCAGTTGACTTGCATCTCTTTAATCGGAATGACGACTGTCTCCGTACTTCTTGTTGCTTTTTTGGGGTTGCTTTTGCAAGACCAGGGTTCATCTGAGTTTCTGGAGGAGTATTGCGGGGTCGGCGCTGATGGAGATGACTCTAATATGGTCCAAAGAATAATGAATGGCGAAAATGCCATTGAGGGTTCCAATCCCTGGATGGCCATACTTTTAAAGCCGGCCAAAGATGGACAGCCCCCAGAATTCTTTTGTGCTGGAACACTGATAGACGAATGTAAGCATTTCAGAGGGAATTTCTGTGACTCACAACTAATCAGCGAATCTTTCCTAGGCTTCGTTCTGACGGCTGCTCACTGTGTTTTTGACAAACAACAAATGTAAGTGGCATATCTCCCGTGCTGAAGACGACATTGATACTTATCACCTTGATCGCTCTTTTCCAACAGCATCGTTCGCCTGGGGGACTACGATCGATCATCAGAGAACAATGCAACCAAAGAAGACATATATGTGATCGAGGCCCACGTCCACCACGAATTCGTACAAATGACCAACTTGAATGACATAGCTCTGCTCAGACTATCCCGATGCGTGTCCTATAAAGCTCATGTTCAACCGATATGCATTCAGATGGATCCGCTGAGGAAATCACAATTGGATAGCATGATGCAATTGACGGCCGTTGGCTGGGGAAACACGAGGACCGGAAAAAAAAGTGATGTGCTCCAGACCGTCACCCTTAAAAGGCTTTTAAATGGAGAATGTAAAGAAACCTTCTGGAAAAATGACACGACCACACAGTTCTGTGCTGGCGACTTAAACGATAGAAAAGTGGACAGCTGCGAGGGCGACTCGGGGGGTCCTTTGTATACCACAGGCTTGCTCGATGGTGTGATCCGAAAAACCCAAGTGGGAATCATTAGCTACGGTACCACAACGTGCCATGGAGTGGGCGTGTACACGGATGTTATGAGCTACGTAGATTGGATAGAGAAAATCGTATTCGAATCCGACAGTGTGCTCGTAGTACCAAAGATAAACTTCCTGGATGACAATTGCATCAGCAACTCCACCACGCTGAGCGGCAGAAAATCACAGACTTCCGCCTTTCCATGGTTGGCTCATGTTTACATCGACTCCTTTCCCTTGGCTTTGGGAACCCTCATCTCCGACAGTTGGTATTTGTAACTATATTTTTATAAGATCCTCCTCAACGTACTTTTTATCTTTCAGGTTTTGTCATCTCAACCGCTCAGTTTTATCCCGCAGGCGTTCCACTGTAAGTACTTTTAAACCAATTACTAATTTTATGAATTAATTTTATTTTATTAAATCCACAGAAAGGTGGGCTTGGGCAGGAACAGTGGACACTCTGAGATGATCTACAATGTGGAGTCCGTGATCAGGCGTCCGGATTTCGCGAGTCTGTCCAAGAATGACATTGCCCTGCTTAAGTTGGCAGTTAAAGTGCAGTTTTCCGGTAAGTTTAAACTTAGTTAATTTTGTTTTAAAAAAATCCTAAGCAACACTGTCTTACAGATAACATTAGACCGATCTGCATGCCTGGTGATTCAAATGAGACGACCACGTTTCAGGAAAAGGCTCTCCAAATGGAGCACCTTGAGGCCATTGGTTCCAGGCAGGAATCTTCGGCGATTGTCCAGCGGCTGAACTCCACCATTTGCTACAAAGGAAACTACCAAAAACTTGATGAAAATCAAATCTGCTTCCGGCATCCCCAATTAATCAGCTTGGCCAGCGGCAGTCCCTTGGTTAGGAAGTTCGCTCACGGGGACGCCTTTGTATACACTCTCGTTGGTATGGCCAGCTTCGGGCATAGCGATCTCCGAGGTCCGGATGTTTATACCGATGTCTTAAGCTATTCAAAGTGGATCGAGGGTTTGATAAGGTGATGGATTTTTGACATTTCTTAGAATATATTGATTGGTATTTCCACGAATCGAAATTGATGATGATCATTTTTAATAAATTTTAATGTATAATGTTATATGAGTTTTTTTTTGAATAATTTCAATGTTTAATGTATTAAAACCCTTCAAAATAAAGTATAAGGTGTTCTAAATTATAACAAAACTAGCTTCTTGATTTTCGATAGCTAAAAAAATCTTTGACGATCCGGTTGTAACATTTTCGAATAAAAAGACGAGGAAAAGACAGACCTAAACCTAACAAGGCGATTAAATATGTTATTTAAATATTTATGATATATTTTCTTTCCTAAATAATCGTAGTACAGAAATTCTCCTAATCTAAATTTTTAGAATTGAGATTTTAGTTATTTATTTTTTATGTTGTATTTAAAAGACACGGCTTTAATATAGGAAGAATTTAAGCTTATCAGTTTTAAAAATTATAAATGACCTTTGGCAAAATTTCTGATTTAGTATTAACCTTAGCATACACTTAAAAAAGTCGTGAGTATGATTCTTAAAACTGTCAAAACCTTTGGTAAGCACAAATAATTTTTTTATTAATATATTTTGTGCTTTTTGTTTTATTTAGAAGTAGGACTTTAATTTTTAAAGCAAGACACATATTTGGATGTTTAAAATTTATTAGCTTTTTTTGATTTTGCATAGATTTTGTTTATGTGTGGTTTTAAGTTGAAGGAAGATAATCAAACGTGAATGAAGCAGAGATAATGCTGATGAATTTATTCAGTCCCTCGGTTTATTCCCTCTGGAAATGAAGTGCCTTTTGGTTTTACTGATTTGGCTAGTTTGGCACAAGGGATCGGCCAGCTTTCTGGATGAGGATTGTGCATTAATAAGGTCCTCTGATGTTGACTTTAGAGTATCCCGTGGCCATCGAGCTAAATTAGGCGACACTCCCTGGATGGCCGTAGTAAGCAATCAAAACGATTTCCTATGCGGTGGCACGCTGATTACCGAAAGTGATTATTAATTTTTTTAGCTTTATCAAAAATATATTCATAAATAACTTGCGCCACTTTCAGAATTTGTGCTGACAGCCGCGCATTGCCTAGATGGTCAGAGTCAATTGTAAGTAATCTCTATTATGTCGACTAGAAACTCAAATCTAAGCTAAAGGTATCTCTATTAAGGTTTGTGAAACTGGGAGTATACGACAGATCGTGCGCCACACAAAGCTGCAGAGGTGTGGAAAATTATAATATAACCCGCGTCATTATTCATCCTGATTTTAACCCAAATCAAAATACGAATGATATTGGCCTGCTGGAACTTGACTCTAAAGTGCAATACAAAGGTAAGTTTAATTAATTAGTAATCTATGATTAATTAATTATATTATTTTATTGATAGACGATATCCGGCCGATCTGTATCGTCACGGATGACACGATAAATGTGAAGAATATCAGTGTATTTTCTGCCTTTGGCTGGGGTCAAACGCAGACCGGACAAGCTAGCCAAGTACTGATGGCCGTCACGCTGTTCCGGCGTGTCTCTGCGGAGTGCCATTATGGCTTTTTGCTTCCGATCAATGAAAATCAAATCTGCGCCGGCAGCACAATGGGTGACACTTGTCGAGGTGACTCCGGAGGACCGCTGGCCACCGTTGTTGGGGAACGCTACATTCAGGTGGGCATAGTCAGTTATGGTACTAGAATGTGCAATGCTTCTGGAATTTACACGGACGTGTCGAGCTTCAAGGACTGGATTGTGTCCAGTACAGGGAAGGATACCTGGGCAAATGTGATAAAGACGAGCATGTACTCATTTGTTTCTTCTGTTCTGTACAATGCAACGTGCTATTGGAATTATTGTTAAAATCTATAAATACTTTTTATCCGGCATTCTCATTTTCTCAAAAAAAAAAAAAAAAAAAATTGTCAGTACCACCGTACCATCAAGAGATTCACAATACTATTTCCAAAAGAATTGGCTACATAACATTTAAGCAATAAAAATGTTAACAATACAATAGGAATATATTCTGTTAAATTATAGGAGAGTGGAGCCTTTTGCCCACCCAGAATCGTGGTGTTGTGTTGTCAACGCGGACGCGTTGGTTTACACTCTCATTGGGATGGCCACAGCTATCTCCGAGGTCAAGATGTTTATACCGATGTCTTAATTTATTCGAAATGGATCGAGAGTTTGATAAGGTAATGGGATTTTTGAAATTTCTTAGAAGTTCTAAGAACTCGAAATATATACCATATATGTATAGATATTTCCAAGAATCAAGATTAATGAGATTTTTTTAATAAATTGTAAGCAATGTGTGTTGGAATAATTTTAAGAATAAATATACACTGCTGGACGAAATAATAGGTGCATGTCTCATACGTTTGTTTCAAGTCCTATAAAATGTTTTTAATAATCTTAAAGAAAAAACCCACTTTATTACCACTTATTCCAGATAATAAGAATAACTGTCAAAAGGACATTTCAAATTTAGATACAGGGATCAATTTTATCCAAAAAGAATGAAAATGGGTTGACCAAAATAATAGGTACACACATTCTTCTAAGCCTAAAACTCGGAACGTATTAGATATTTTGTACTTTTTTCTTCTTATAAGTAAACTTAGATAAGTATCTAATAAAACTACACTAGTTTTAGATAACTTTCGCTATTATTTTTGGTATTCTAACTAGAAGTCTTTGGCAAGTCAGTACTACAAACTGAGACCAGGTTTCTTCAGCAAATCTTCACAAATTTTCAAATATTTTTTATTTTTTTATCTTTTTGTGACCTTTTTTTACAAAGAATTTAAATTTACTTAAAATAGATTTTTAAAACAGTTCACCTCTGTTATTATATTCATTTATTTATTTTTTTTTTTTCTTTATTTAAATGGTCTTTAATATACCAAGAATTTGTGCTTAGCAGTTTTAATAATTATACATGATCTTTGGCATAATTTGTGAATTTACCTTAGCACACACTTGGAAAAAAGTATTTTATTATGCCTAAAACGGACAAAAGCTTTGGTAAACACTATATTTATTTTGATTAATTATTTTGTGGCCATATTTTACATTTGTTTAATTGAAAGTGGGATTTAAATTTTTAAATGAGCAAAACACATATTTAAATGTTTAACTTTACATAGATTTTGTTTATGTGTGGTTTTAAATATAGGAAAGATAATTTAAAAAGCATGGAGGAAAGATAATGCTGATGATTTTATTCAGTCACTCGGTGTCTTCTCTCTGAAAATGAAGTGCCTTCTGGTTTTACTAGCTCTGATCGATCTGCTGTTTTTGCACAAGGGATCGGCCAGCTTTCTGGATGAAGACTGTGCATTAATAAGTTCCTCTAATGTTGACTTTAGAGAATCCCGTCGTCATCCGGCTAAGCCTGGCATTACTCCCTGGATGGCCATGTTAATCAATCAACTCGGTTTCACATGCGGTGGCACGTTGATTACAAAAAGTGATTATTCGTTTTTTTAGCTTTATCAAAAATTATTCTTAAATAACTTGTGCCACTTTCAGAATTTGTGCTGACAGCCGCGCACTGTATATACTATAATCAGGATCAATTGTAAGTATCTCTACAATGTCAACTAGAAACTCAGATCGAAGCTAACGGTATCTCTATTAAGGTCTGTGAAACTGGGAGTATACCACAGTTCGTGCGCCACACGAAGGTGCAGAGGTGTGAAACACTATAACATAGTTCGCGCCATTAAACATATTGATTATAATCCAGAAGACAGTACGAATGATATTGGCCTGCTGGAACTTGACTCTGAAGTGCGGTACAACAGTAAGTTACCATATATTAATTATAATTATATAATTAATTAATTATATTTATATTCATAAAATTTCGTTTTGCCTGTAGACCACATCCGGCCGATCTGTATCGTCACTGATGACGCGATAAATATGAACAATATCAATGCATTTACTGCCTTTGGCTGGGGTAAAACGGAGACCGGACAAGCTAGCGAGGTACTGATGGCCGTCAGGCTGTTCCGCCGTGCCTCAGAGGAGTGCCATTTTGAGCTTATGCATCAAGTCAGGGAACATCAAATCTGCGCCGGCAGCGCAACGGGTGACACCTGCGAAGGTGATTCCGGAGGACCGTTGGCCTTCCATGACGGGGAACGATACATCCAGGTGGGCATAGTCAGTTATGGTTTGAAATTGTGCAATGCTTCTGGGATTTACACGGACGTAACGAGATACAAGGACTGGATTGTGACCAACACAAGGAAAAATCGAAGGGGAAATATTAAAAGATATTGAATGGATTCAGAATATTATTTCCTAAAGAATTGGATAAATAATATTTAATCAATAAAATGCGAGCAATACAATAAAAATTTATTTTACTGGTGGGCTTCATGTTTTGAGAGCTTAAGGGGGTCTTCTCATTCAAAAGCCGTTTTTTGGACCCTTTTTAAAAAAATTCTTATTTGAAAACGCAAAGAAGAATTGAAAACTTTTTGTATTTATTGTATTCAAAAATTTTCAAAGTAACTAAAAAAGTTGTTTTTGCCTCGATACGAGGGTTGTTCAAAGAGTAATGAGACTTCAAACTTGGTGGTCGAAAAAAAAGGTATCGTCCTGGCGGCCACGATTCAGGGTCTCCAGAGCGTCCGAAATGAAAAATAAAAACGGGGTTATAATCAGAATTGATGTCATTTTCGGGTGACGGAACAGATTTTTTTTTAATTTTTTTAAACAAAATGGCGGCCATTCAAAAAAAAAAATTCGATTTCGGGCTTTTTTTTTGTAGTTTAGTGTAAAAAAAAAAATAAAAAAAAAAATTTTTTTTTAATTCTGTTCCGTCGCCCGAAAATGGTGACAATTCTGCGTCGATTCCACTTTGTTTCATGAAAATCGGTTCAGTTGAACTGGAGATATCATGGCCGCCAGTTCGAAAAACGTGGTTCCGAGATAAACGCGTTTGAAGTTTGAAAAAATCTCATTTTGCGAAGAACTTGCTTCACAAAAAAGGCTGTATCTTCTAAAGTATTTCGAATTTCTAAAAATCCTTTTGGGAACTTATACACAACATCCCAAGCTATAAATAAATGCAAAAAAAAAAATCGAAAAAAAAAGTTGCCCACTGCTATATATGTCGGAACGGGCCGGATCGGATCGAAAAAAAAGGTATCGTCCTGGCGGCCACGATTCAGGGTCTCCAGAGCGTCCGAAATGAAAAATAAAAACGGGGTTATAATCAGAATAGATGTCATTTTCGGGTGACGGAACAGATTTTTTTTTTAATTTTTTTAAACAAAATGGCGGCCATTCAAAAAAAAAATTTCGATTTCGGGCTTTTTTTTTGTAGTTTAGTGTAAAAAAAAAATATAAAAAAAATTTTTTTAAAAATTCTGTTCCGTCACCCGAAAATGGTGACAATTCTGCGTCGATTCCACTTTGTTTCATGAAAATCGGTTCAGTTGAACTGGAGATATCATGGCCGCCAGTTCGAAAAACGTGGTTCCGAGATAAACGCGTTTGAAGTTTGAAAAAATCTCATTTTGCGAAGAACTTGCTTCACAAAAAAGGCTGTATCTTCTAAAGTATTTCGAATTTCTAAAAATCCTTTTGGGAACTTATACACAACATCCCAAGCTATAAATAAATGCAAAAAAAAAAAAAAAAAAAAAAAAAAAGTTGCCCAATGAAAAGACCCCCCTAATTATAGCTTATAGGGGATATGATGTCCACCGCAAGTCAACATCGAAAAAAGACGATCTTGGAATTCGGCCATAACATTTTTAATATTTAATATTTTTTTATGAAAAAATTTTATAAAGTACCCAGAAAAATGTACTTAACAACGTCCGCAAAACTTTTTAAATAAATATTTTTTATGATGTCAAAAAAAAATCGACAAAACTGCATTTTTTTTGCGCGGTACAACTGTATATAACCCCTTAAATAAAATATTATTGTTTATTTGTCACATCCCTTTTATTCGTTTTAGCAGTTTTTTTAATGATTTGCGGGAATTTTCTCTGTTTGCTCGCTCATTTACCCGTTAATCCAAGAGGACTTGGTGTTGCGACAGTAAATATGTGCATTGGGTATTGACTTCAAAGGTGCAAATAATATAAATATATAAATAAAATATATAATAACTATTTAGTAGAACTTTTACTCTTATTAATTTAAGTTGTTTTAATGTGCGAGCAAATTCTCTTCATATGCGTCGTCTAACACACACAATGTGCTTTTGCAATCTGAAAAGAGCGACTTCGAGCAATTTTTGTTGGCTATTTGAAAGCGGCGCGTGAAGCCTTTTGCCTAGCCAGAATCGGCGTGTTGTGTTGTCTTTTGGTTAGAAAGTTCACTAACGGGGACGTCATTGGGATGGCCATCTGAGGGCATAGCTATCTCCGAGGTCCGTATGCTTATACCGATGTCTTACGCTATTCGAAATGGGTCAAGAGTTTGATAAGGTAATGGGATTTTTGAAATTTCTTAGAAGTTCTAAGAATCAAGATTACTGAGATTTTTTTAATAAATTATAATGCAATGTGTGATAAGTGTGTGTTGGAATAATTTTAAGAACAATTGTATTAATTAACCCTCTCAGTTTAAAAAAAAGTGTAAAATGTTCCAAATTGTAATACAAATGTTGAGAATAATGCATGACCTTTAGCACAATTTCTGATTTAGTCTTCACCTTAGCATGCAATTGGAAAAAAAGTCGTTTCGAAATTTTTAAAACTGGCAAAACTTTTGGTAAAACACTTTATTTATCTATTTTTTTGTGCTCTTTTTTTTTTTTTTTAAAGAAATGTAAATTTATGTTAAATATATTTTTAGAACAGTTTACCTCTGTTATTATATTTATTTTATTTTTTGTTGTTTTTTATTTAAAAGACACGTCTTTAATATAATATATGAAGAAATTGAGCTTATCAGTTTTTATAATTATAAATAAACTTTAGCATAATTTTTAAACTAACATTAGCATACACTTGGAAAAAAGTAGTTTATTATACCCTTGCAGGGTATTATAATTTCAGTCAGAAGTTTGCAACGCAGTGAAGGAGACGTTTCCGACCCTATAAAGTATATATATTCTTGATCAGCATCAACAGCCGAGTCGATCTAGCCATGTCCGTCTGTCCGTCTGTCCGTCCGTCTGTCCGTCTGTCCGTCTGTCCGTTTCTACGCAAACTAGTCCCTCAGTTTTAAAGCTATCTGAATGAAACTTTGCATATAGTCTTCTATATGCTCTCACTGCTATACATATATGTCGGAACGGGCCGGATCGGACGACTATATCATATAGCTGCCATACAAATGTTCGATAAATTTTTAGAAAAAAATTATAACTTGGCTGTTTTTCAATATTTTTGCATCATTTTTGAGATATAGCCATTTTATAATATTCCAGAATTTTGGTAAAAATTTTATGAAAATCGGACGACTATATGATATAGCTGCCATAGGAACGATCGGGAAATTAATAGAAATAAAATTATAGCTTCGTTGTTTTTCAACGCATTTTTATTTACTCTGAGATATAAGTTTTTTTTATTATTCTAGAATTTTGGTATAAATTTCATAAAAATCGAACAACTATATCTTATAGCTGCCATAGAAGCGATCGGTAAATGTAAAAATATATAAAGCTGGGAATGTAAAACTGTAACTGTCAAACTGAAAACATAATAAGTATAGGTAAAATGTAATGAAACTTTGTTTTGTGAGTGTTTTCAGCATTTAAATCTATAATATAAACATCGAAACCAATCTGCAAGGGTATACAAACTTCGGCGTGCCGAAGTTAGCTTCCTTTCTTGTTATGCTTAATTTTAATTTTTAAATGACCAAAAGACATATTTGGGATGTTTAAAATTTTATTAGCAGTTTGATTTTGCATAGATTTTGTTTATGTGTGGCTTTAAATTTAGGAAAGATAATCTAAAAAGCATGAAGGAGAGATAATGCTGATGATTTTATTCAGTCACTCGGTGTCTTCTCTCTGGAAATGAAGTGCCTTCTGCTTTTAGTAGCTCTGATCGATTTGCTGTTTTGGCACAAGGGATCGGCCAGCTTTCTGGATGAGGACTGTGCATTAATTAAATCCTCTGATGCTGAGGCTAGAGAATCCTATCGACATCGGGCTGAACCGGGCACCACTCCCTGGATGGCCGTAGTAAGCAATCAACACGGTTTTCTATGCGGCGGCACGTTGATTACCAAAAGTGATTATTATTTTTATTTAGTTTTATCAAAAATATATTCTAAAATAACGTGCCACTTCCAGAATTTGTGCTGACAGCCGCGCACTGCATAGATGGTCAGGATCAATTGTAAGTATCTCTACAATGTCAACTAGAAACTCAGATCGAGGCTAAAGGTATCTCTATTAAGGTTTGTGAAACTGGGAGTTTATGAATTATCGTGCGCCACACGAAGGTGCAGAGGTGTGGAAATCTATAAAGTAACCCGGGCTAGTGTACATCTTGACTATAATCCAAGTCAAGGTACGAATGATATTGGCCTGCTGGAACTTGAGTCTGAAGTGCAATACAAAAGTAAGTTAAATTTGGGGAACTGTTGAATTCATACATTAATTATATTATTATTTATTTTTCGTTTTGCCTGTAGACCACATCCAGCCAATCTGTGTCGTCACTGATGACGCTATAAATGTAAACAATATCAATGTATTTACTGCCTTTGGCTGGGGTCAAACGCAGACTGGACGAGCTAGCCAGTTACTGATGGCCGTCAGGCTGTTCCGGCGTGACTCCGAGGAGTGCCATTTTGAGTTTAGGCATCAAGTCAGGGATAATCAAATCTGTGCCGGCAGCGCAAGGGGTGACACCTGTCACGGTGATTCCGGAGGACCGCTGACCACCGTTGTCGGGGAACGCTACATTCAGGTGGGCATAGTCAGTTATGGTACTGGAATGTGCAATGCTTCTGCGATTTACACGGACGTGTGGAGCTACATTGACTGGATTGTGTCCAATACATGGTAAAATACCTAGGCGGATATTTACAGATATTGAATAAATGAATGAATACTATTTCCAAAAGAATTGGATACATAATATTTAATCAATAAAAATGCGAAATATACAATAAGAATATATTTTTTTCACGGGCTTCTCGATATGCGAGCTCAATTATAGCTTATAAGGTGGCTTTAGTTCAATCTCTCTGCAATCCAATGTATACTTAGACTGAAATATATTCTGTCGGCGATTAATCGAAAGTTGAGGCGCCACTCTGGTGTTGTAATTTTAATAAAATATTATTGTTTATGATTTTGTTAAGATAAAGCTCATTGATCCAATTCTTCTCTACTTGTCACATCTCTTTTATTCGTTTCAGCCGTTTTTTAATGATTTGTGGGAAGTTTTTCTTTATTTACTCGCTCATTAACCCGTAATCCCAAGTGTATACGCATTGAATAACTTAGGATGTGGCGTTGCGACCGAAAGGATGTGCAAGGGGTATGTTTATTTGATTTCAAAGGTGCAAATAATATAAATATACTAACTACTTTCTAGAATTTTTACTGTTATTAATTTTAGTGGTTGTTAATATACGAGCAAAGTCTCTTCATCAGCGTCGTCTAACAGACACAATGTGCTTTTGCAACCGCGAAATAGCTGCTTTGCTATTTTGTCTTTATGACGTTATCTTTTTGACTGCGGAGAGTGGAGCCTTTTGCCCACCCAGAATCGTGGTGTTGTGTTGTCAACGCGGACGCGTTGGTTTACACTCTCATTGGGATGGCCACAGCTATCTCCGAGGTCAAGATGTTTATACCGATGTCTTAATTTATTCGAAATGGATCGAGAGTTTGATAGGGTAATGGGATTTTTGAAATTTCTTAGAAGTTCTAAGAACTCGAAATATATACCATATATGTATAGATATTTCCAAGAATCAAGATTAATGAGATTTTTTTAATAAATTATAATGCAATGTGTGATAAGTGTGTGTTGGAATAATTTTAAGAATAAATATATTAATTAACTCTCACAGTTTTAATAATGTGTTAGATGTTCAAAATTATAATTAAAATTGAAACACCACATTTATTTTATTTTTTTATCACTGTGTTCCTTTTACAAAGAATTTTAAATTTACCTTAAATAGATTTTTAAAACAGTTCACCTCTGTTATTATATTCATTTAATTTTTTGTTTTATTTAAATGACACGTATTTAATATACCAAGAATTTGAGCTTATCAGTTTTAATAATTATACATGATCTTTGGCATTATTTGTGAATTTACCTTAGCACACACTTGGAAAAAGTATTTTATTATGCCTAAAACGGACAAAACCTTTGGTAAACACTATATTTATTTTGTTTAATTATTTTGAGCCCTTTTTATTTTAAATTTGCTTAATTAAAAGTGGGATTTAAATTTTTAAATGAGGAAAACACATATTTAGATGTTTAAAATTGATTAGCGTTCAAGTTAAATTTTGCAATGATTTTCTTTATGTGTGGTTTTAAATTTAGGAAAGATAATCTAAAAAGCATGAAGGAGAGATAATGCTGATGATTTTATTCAGTCACTCGGTGTCTTCTCTCTGAAAATGAAGTGCCTTCTGGTTTTACTAGCTGTGATCGATCTGCTGTTTTGGCACAAGGGATCGGCCAGCTTTCTGGATGAGGATTGTGCATTGATAAATTCCTCTGATGTTGACTTTGGAAAATCCCGTCGTCATCCGGCTAAACGTGGCACTACTCCCTGGATGGCCATGTTAATCATTCACCACGGTTTCGGATGCGGCGGCACGTTGATTACGAAAAGTGATTATTTTTTGTAGCTTTATCACAAATATATTTGACGGAGACGTGAATGTTTCATCCATGTTGACATCCTCGCGCGGTAGCACAGCGAGTTCCGTTGCCGATCGTTACCAAACTGAACTGAACTCCCTTCTCTCCATCTACTTATATGTTCTGTCCAAGTTCTTATTTCCGTTGAAGTCCATCTATCTCCCTCTCTTTCTCTCCTATGACTCGGTAGCGCGACAACGGACCTCGCTCGCCAGCAGAGACCGCTGCTGCTATGCCTCGCGCTGCGCTTCTTGGGAGAAGCGTACTTCCCCGAACTCATCTCCGACATATTCTTAAATAACTTGCATTACTTTTAGACTTTGTGCTGACAGCCGCACACTGCATAGATGGTCAGGATCAATTGTAAGTATCTCTACAATGTCAACTAGAAACTCAGATCGGCTAACGGTATCTCTATTAAGGTCTGTGAAACTGGGAGTTTACCACAGTTCGTGCGCCACACGAAGCTGCAGAGGTGTGGAAAGCTATAACGTAATTAACGCCATTATACATATTGATTATAATCCAGTAGACGGTACGAATGATATTGGCCTGCTGGAACTTCACTCTGAAGTGCGGTACAACAGTAAGTTATATTAATTATAATTATATAATTAATTTATATTGATAAAATTTCGTTTTGCCTGTAGACCACATCCGACCGATTTGTATCGTCACTGATGACGCGATAAATATCGACAATATCAATGTATTTACTGCCTTTGGCTGGGGTAAAACGGAGACCAGACAAGCTAGCGAGGTACTGATGGCCGTCAGGCTGTTCCGGCGTTCCTCCGAGGAGTGCAATTTTGAGTTTAAGCATCAAGTCAGGGAAAATCAAATCTGCGCCGGCAGCGCAATAGGTGACACCTGCGAAGGTGATTCCGGAGGACCGTTGGCCTTCTATGACGGGGAACGATACATCCAGGTGGGCATAGTCAGTTATGGTACTAAAATGTGCAATGCTTCTGCGATTTACACGGACGTGTCGAAATACAAGGACTGGATTGTGACCAACACAAGGAAAAATCGCCGGGGAAATATTAACAGATATTGAATGGATTCAGAATACTATTTCCTAAAGAATTGGATACATAATATTTAATCAATAAAAAGCGATACAACAAAAGCAATACAATAAAAATATATTTTACTGGTGGGCTTCATGTTCTGGAAGCTTAATTATAGCTTATAGAGTGCTTAAGTTTAATATACCATTAGATTGAAAAAAAATTGTTTAAAAAATATGCATCTAATTAGGCCCCCAGATCTTGTTAAAATTTTTTGTTGTTATATGATAAAACCTTTTGTAGCATCTTTTAGTATCCGATTAAATAGGTAATAAAACCAGCTACTTTTGTGGCAAAAATGTAGAAAATAGTTTTGTTACATATTTTACATACATTACGGACAATCGATAACAATTTGAAAGTTCCAACCGCTGACGTCGATTAATCGAAAGTTGTGGCGCCAGTGTGTTTTAGTAATTCAAATAAAATATTTTTGATGATTTTGTTAAGAACAAAACAATTCTTATCTACTTTTAACATTTCTTTTGTTCGTTCCAGCTTTTTTTTTATGATTTGTGGGAAATTTCTCTATTTTCAGGCTCATTAAACCGTTAAGCCAAGTGTGTCTGCACTGGATTACTTAGTGGCACATCCTTTCGGCCGCCGCGGTACATCCTCAACGCAATTACGCGCATGCCGACAACGCATGCGTGACATTTTCCAGATGCCTGGCTTCTGTTCTCGGACCTGGGACTCAGGCACCAGCTACCATTGGGGACTGGGGAAAACAAAACAGAATAGTTGCTAAATGATTTACTGCCGCTTTCGCGCGCATTAGCCAAATTCATGGGGTTGGCACTTTTGGTTTCTGTTTGTTCTTCTCGCCTCGCTCTGCCTCGGCTGTTGTTGGCCCGCATCGCGTCGCGCTCTTGGTCAATATCACTGCAAAGGGCCCGCAGCAGGCGATCTGCAAGTAGGCAACCGGTTTTGGCCAACTGCGCAGTTTGATCGCTTTGGGTTTTTGATTTTTTTTTTTTGGGTGGAACTGCACTCAGTTTTTGGTTACCCTTTCAAAAGGGTTATGGGTGTTTGCAAGTATGTATTTATTAATATAATTTAATATTTAACTATTTTCTTAATTAATCTTATGTTAATGTTAATGGCTGCTCTCAATAAAAATTAAGAATGATTAGAGTAATTTTCCAAAATTTATATGTGTGTTGAAACAATTTATATATTGTTTCATAAGATTAAATATAATATAAAGTCTAATTGAAGAACATTTACTACTTTACACTTTCGTTATGAAGAATCCTATAAATAATCGTATTAAATTCCTTAAAAAATATTTGTATTATATATTTAAAATATTGTTCAAACAAAAAGAGTCTTCAAAAGTTCGACTTAAAAAATCATGCGAATTTTTATTTTGGCGCTAAAAGGGAAAATCGCAGGCGGCCAGTGGAGCCTTTTGCCCAGCCAGAATCGGGGTGATGTGTTGTTTTGGGTTGTGTAGCCGTCACCCAGATTATCAGGAAACTGGAGGAACCAGTTTCGCAGCGCTGTGGCAGTGGCATGCAACCTAAATATAGATTTTGCACAACAGAAAAACAGCTCGATTTGCGGCAAATTAGCCGGACAGCAGTGGTTGCGGCCAAATTATTGATCCACTATGACCTCTATGTGGTCATTATCACACGACCAGGGGAAAATCGTAGGAGTTTCCGCCGCCTGGTGTTTGTTTATGTTTGCGTAGCGCTTTTCGGCTTCTCTGTTTCGTGCTTATCTTATCAGCACATGCTGCTCGGGCACTGGCAGATTCGCAGATACAGATACATGTGCACACCTTTCGGCAGTTGGCTTACCTGTTGCTTTCCCATTGCTGCACGAGAGAGAGAGAGAGAGAGAGAGAGAGAGACGGAGAAAGAGTGAGAGCAAGTGGCGCAAGTGTGTGGGTGTGTATCTGTGTGCGACGTCCGAGTGCGACTCCATCCAACAAGTCGTCGCCGATCGCAGCCCTCATTCGCTCGAACGCAACGATCGCGCGCGGTTGTCTCAGCAGAAAGATACAAGATACAAAGAACTCAAAACGAAGAATTCGAACCGAAGAATTCAGAACCAAGAACTAAAAAATAATCGGAATACAACAAAATAAAGCCCCCCAGCAAGTGCCAGTGAAGTGTAAGTGTTGTCTTGGCCAGGTTGTGGCAAAAATAAAAGAAATAAATAAAAAGAAATATACAAATGTTTTGAAAACGGCCAAGAGCCGGTTTCGAGCCCTGTGTGATTCATGGTTCGCAAATGGACCAAATGTTGACTCAGCATCCCCGAAAATCGAAGAGAGATATATGAGCAATTAGCCCCTTAATAAAACCACATTCGCACCGAAAAGCAAAAGTGTTAACCGCAAAGTCGGTTGTATAACTAACCGTTGTTGTCATCATCGTAAGATCACCGTAATGCGGTCTTTAAAGTTAATTACTCCCATATCGCGGTTGTTCGGGACCTTTATCGGCTTAACAGCCCGACGACCGTGAGCGTTTGTGCCCGTTCTTGTTTTTTTTCCTTCTCGGTTTTTAGTGATTTGATTGAATTGCGCACAGCGCGAGATTCTTTAATATTATTTTTTACCACTCAACATGATTTAATTAAAAAGCCGAAATTGTTTTTCTCGCAACGAGGGAGATGAGTTTATTATTATTTGTTTACTTGTTTGCCATTCTTGTTTAACTCGCCTGAGCTTTTTATGCCCGCCTGTATAAAACATCCAAATATTATATTATATTATACATATTTATCCGCATAGTCAGCCATGTTTTCCGTGCATTATTTTTTTGTGAACTGTTTGCCTCGATTCGATTCGTTTCATCTCGCTGCTTGATTGAGCACATCAGCCGCAAAAAAAAAAAAAAATATATTTATTTGTGTATATTTTTGTAAGCGCAGCGTGCCATGGCAACATTTTAACATATTCATGTTTTATGGCTCACTTTTCGGGCAGCCGAAATTTAATTTGTTGAAATTTCATTCGGGCCCCAAGAGTCCTACAGCGACCTTCGATCTCTAAAAATGCCCAGCGGAAGCTGAAACATCTTCTTAAAGGGTATGCGGTGTACGGAATGATTAATCGATTATTGGGAAATCTATAATGGAACCAATAGATCATCGCTCCGATGGAGTCACCCCGCTGATTCACGCACTCAGGATCTTCTGTGACCCGAATTCCGCAACAGAACAGACACATCCCCGGGGTAGTTGTTCCCATTTTGGAATACACTGCTTTGTTGTTGTTGTTGTGGAAAATCAGATCACGGGAAATAGTCCAACGGCCGAAACTGAGTAGCAAGAACAGCCGAAAGCACCTGCAGTTGTTCTCAACTTCAAAGAGACATGCGGAAAGTGCGTTTCATGGGCATAAGTAAAGGAATTAATAGTTTTAAAAATTGTGCTGGATATAAATAATTTTAGTCAGGAGCGAATTGCAAGCAAGTTTTGCCTTCTTGAAGTTAGCTACCTATTTTATTTTTTTAAGATATTTTATAAACCTTTTTTCTAAGAATCTAACTTTAATATTAATTTCTCTATCAGAGTTTATATAATATATAAAATAAATAAAGTTATCTCTATTGTATTTCCTTTTATCTTCTGTGCCAAAAACATTTAATTTATTATTTTTCTGGAGACACACTATCTTATCTAATTTTGTCAAAAAAGATAGATGATAGATGTTCAAAAATATTAGCTGTTTGAAAAGCTAATGTACATTTTAATTATTTATGTCAGAAATTAGAGATATACTTTACAAATATATTTAATATTTCAAGAAAATCCTAATATTATAATATTCAAAAGAAACATTTTATTTCTTTTCCCTTATTAAATAAATTTCATAAGAATTAAGGCCACAAGTTATCAAATTACGTTCAATTACAGTACCGAAACGCACTTTTCTTTTGCCTGCACATCAACATTTAGCTGTGCCGTTTAAAAGCTTGCGGATGAAAACAAAATACAAACAATTAGCCAAATAACAAAATATATATCCCGAACCAAAACCGAACTGGGAACAACAAAAAGAAAAGCGGCAGCAACAAAAGCCAGACAGACATTGGCAGCCGCCGTCGTCGTCGTCGTCATTCTCACCATCGTCTGGCAGTTGTAGCTTTGCAGCTTTTCGGAATTGAGAACCGACAATGTCTATATAGCCGCCATATAGTAGCCTCCTCTCGCACGGGCCCAAAAGCAGCGACGCCGGCAGCGACGGCGATGTGGTTGAAAAGATTTTTGTATTCGAAAACGGCACAAAATGCACATAAAATTTTTGTGTTTCGGTTTTTGCTTTAGTTGAGAGAAAATCGTCGCTTAGTTAACGTCGCCCAAGAACTGATCATCTGGCCAGTGCAGCGCAAACGCCCCGAATATACGAGACCAAGTCCAGACCCAAAATCCAAATCTAAATCCGAGTCGGAATCGAATCGAAACCAAGTTAAAGCCACCCGATCGGAAGAAATCGGTCAGTACCCCAGTTACCAACAAGTGTGCATTTATCTTATATATTATCAGGGTTATACAATAGCCAAAGGATTGCTGATGAATCAGAGATCCCCCGACCCAGTCCCTTTCTGCCTCCCCTATATATTTGCCCATATATATCGTGTGAATTCCGTGAAGGATAACAACAAGCAAAGTTCCCTTACGAAACCGAAAACGAACAAATATTCAATTGCAAAATAATTTTCTTGGCACGCCGTGGCGAGTGAACAACGATCCAGGGAATTCAGTTGACGCATATATCAGTTTTGGCCAGAGATATACACAGAGAAAAGATATACGTCGTAGATCTTCGGCTCGTTGAAATTGAATAAAATTATATAGTCAAAAAGCGAAAGAAAATTTTTAGAAACTTTTCAAGGTGAGTTTATTTATAGCGCCACGAAATGGCTGCGCGGATTGGATTTGTTTCCGAATATTCTCGCTCAGTCAGTCAGTCAGCGGCAGAAGCCAGTCGCCAGTCGGCAGATACAATATCTGCAAGATACAGATACACAGAATTGCGAAAGTGTTGCGGATGTTGGCCGCCACAGAGCTCCCTGCAGCCTCCTTCCAAATGCTCGAATTGCCGCGGTTTTGGCGCCACGGTTTCTGAGACATTTTGAAACAATTTGATTTGAGCGATATATAGTAGTCGCCGACTCTGACATATCGCAGATATTAATGAAGCCAGCTCTCTAGGTCGGAAAAGTGCCTTTCTGGCTGCTGTTTGCTGATGCTGATGTCTTGGCAATTGCGATTTTCGTGGCTGCTCTTCGGTTTTCCTTTTCGCTTGATCTATTTTCAGCCAGCGTGTGTACTCTCGCTCTCTCTCTGGCATTGCGTATACGCAGTGGTTGCTCTCCACTTCCATGTCCATTTGCCATTTCCAATTCACCAGACCGACCACCAGCAGTCCGGCGGCTGTGATGTAATTTAGCCATGGCCAAAAACTTGTTGATACCCGCCGCTCCCGTTCTTCCCCGATAATCCGTCCATTCATCCGGGGCTTCTATTTTAGTTGGGAGTGAGGTCGCTGAACCCCCTGATCATTAATCATTCACCGTCCTTATCTTCTGGTCAAGTTACGGCTGGTCACCTCCCAATAATAGCTGTAAAGCAATCGAAACTTCAAGCGAATCAATCTCTATGGGGTACACACAACACCCATGAATCAGGCCGCGATAAGATTATGGTTCTATAAACTTGGCTGAGCTAATGGCCAGTTTGCCAATGAATGAAATGTCTTTGTTTACACTGCGGCGAAATTAATTACCCAACGAAGGGGAGCCAACACTTGGGAAAATATAATAATATTTGCTATAAGACGTCATCTTTATGATTGTCATACACTTAAAGTGGATTAAAGTTTAAATGAATAAACAAACAAGGTTCTTCATTGAGGCAATAAATATTCTCTTTAGCGAAGGAAAACTATTACTTTGATTTTTGAATATTAAATTTCTTCAATAGAGTAACATTTTTAAGACTTTAAACTTTAGTTTTCTTAGCAATTATCTCCCATTTCCTGGCTTTTTTTCTCTCTGTGCACCTGAAATACTTGCAGTTTCTTCCTCAACCGGGGATCGTAAATTAAGGCCGTCGAGGAAATGTTGCAGAGCTCATTAGAATGGCACTTCTCGTTCACATCCTATTCCTATTCCGTTCCTGGGGTGCGTGACAATATTTCATGGCTTTGACTTCACTTGACTCGGATTCGTGCAACAATCCGGGGGCCTAAGGAGAACCAGAACAGGGGAGACATGCTCTAAAAATTTCAAACAGCTTTGCGTATATTTTAATTAGTGCGCTCTTGCATTCGCATTGCTTTTTTCCCTTTCTTTATTTTTTTTTTTTATTTTTCTGCAGTTTGCAGTTCTCTCTCTCTCTGAAAATCATTTCTCAAGAATTTAACCTTCGTGAACTGTCATGGTAGATTGCATTCTCTTTCGCCTCGCCTTGCTGAGGCGTGCATTTTTTCGTATCTCTTTGTATCACTCTTGAGGGTTCGTATGTCGCGAAAGACAATAATTGGAGAACATTTTCACAGACTTTGATGGGGAAGTGGTGATGTTGGGGGCATGAACTGTATAGACTGGCAGTTAAGAGGTATGACCTCATTTCACTTGATCTTGAATTGGATTCGCGTCCATGTGTTAGGGATGCTTGGTTAACTTTAATTACTGGGGGAAGTTATGGGAATATTTGAAGAAGTAATTGAAGATTTATATAATAATTTTGTAGTATTTTTAGAATGAATATACTATCCATTCATGGAGGAGTTATGGAAATATTTGAAGAACTGATTGAAGATTTGATATATAAAAATGTTGTAGTATTTTTAGAATGAATATTATAATATTTTTCTCTGAACTTCTCATATAAAAAACTTATATCCCTTATTTAAAAGCCCAATTTATAACTATTAAGTAACACCATTTGTAAAACCTTTACATTAAACGGTTATTTTATGTTCTTACAGTTAATTTCCCATAGTAAACTTTAATAGCTTCCACTTAAAATCCCATTCGATTCGCAACCCTGACCTTAACTTCTGCCCATATCACAGCCGATGGATCTCAACGAGTTTATGACTTTCGCCTGGCCAACAATTTATTTATTTTTTTAGTGGCACACTTTCGCAGCGATTCGAAATCGCAAGTGTTGCCGGGTACTGAGAGGGAGAGACAAGGGAATTACACAATATTCAAGATTCGAGCGGCGGCAATTTGACTAAAAGTAATCACGTATCTGACGCCTCGCAATTACATAACCAGCGCCGCAGTGCGTTCAAAATAAACGCCCACAGACACCAGACGCGAAATCTTCCACGGAGAAGTGCAGAGACTTGACTCCAGTTGCCCGTCAGTGCCATTGCTAGAGCCACAGCCACAGCCAGCCACTGCCACTGCTCTTTTTTCTGCACCACAAACGTGACTGGCAAACAATTTTCGGTTTCATCGCCTCTTGGCCAAAGCCACAAAAACCCATCGCCGTATCGCATCGCATTGAAAGATTGCGATTGAGTCGGCACTATGGGGATAGGGTTAAAGGTGGGGAAGCCCGCATCATCCCGGTCCAGCTTGGTCTTGCCTCTCCTCTCCTCGCTCTCTGGAGCTTTGTTTATGAATTTAACGAACGGAAAATATTTATTTTGGCCATGCACGTTACGTTGAACAAATTATAAAATTTCATGCGGCGCGCGCTCATAAATCACAACAGCATTACGTGCATCTCTTTTTTCTTCTTTCTTTTTTTTTTTTGAGAATTAATTGCCCGACATTTGCCAGCATTTAAACGGGCGATTGGGAATTTAAAAGACATTCCGATCCGAGAGCATTTCCTTGGAAAACAGACAACAAAAATGGCCCAAAATGCTGGCCTTCCGCCCACCGAGAGATATTTATGCGAACGGTATTTATGCGGCCAAGTCTATTTCGATCGACAGCCCCTGCAGACGTCAATGCCAAAGTCACACAAATATCAAAAATGTGATTGGCGAAAGCGAAACTGAGGGCGGCATCTCAATGAGAATTACTTAGCCTTAACCTCCGCTGGCCAATGCAGCTCCAATTACTTGGGACACTGAAAGAAAATTGAATTTTAGGGTAAGGTTAAAATGGTCATGGTTAAGGATAGAGTTTCCTTGTATCTATTACTATAAATATATGTGATATTTTAGTCAATTCTGAGTTGTTTCTAGGTTATATCCATTATATTGCATTGATATTATTTTCTGTGCAGGAAAATGAGGCATAAAGAAATTCAGAACTGGCGTCCGTCACCGAAATAGTTTTCCCGGCGCTCGGTCGTGCGGGGGAAATATGTATTTTTAACAGACATCCGAATGTGACACTTGCCTCTGTCCATTACGAAGGCTGACAAATTGTTTGTTGAAACGGCCTGAAATGCAAATGCCTGGCATTTAACTTAGTCTTTGATTAATTCGTATCCAACAGATACAAAATACAAGATACAAGGGGAGCAAAATGTCTTAACAAATTCATTCGAGTGTTCTCACAATGTTCTCTCTTTTGGCGCACAGGAGCCGGGCACTTTGTCAGCCTTAATTGCAGCACTTTGTAAACTGTCACAGGACAGGGGACATGGCAGGAGCAGGCAACAAGTGGAGCAACGCTCCTGGAGGCTCTACATTTTTGATGGAGAATTATGGAGCAAGCCGCCCTACCGATTTTATCTGCCGCCTGTCATTAACCCCAGAAAGACTGGCTGACTAGGAGGGGGGGATAATAACCAACCCATCCGTGTGACAAATTTGCATTTCGCAATTGCATTTTGGTTAATCGCATTTTGTTAACCCATTAAAGCCTACCAATTATGCACAAAAGGTAATTACAAACAAGAAAAAACAGAGCAGAGACAGCATGAAAATAGTTTTCAATTAATTGCATTTTGTTCATTACTGTTAAATCAAATGGCAAATCCATTCGCAGTCCGTCTGTCTCCGGCCGATAATCTCGTTGACTGCATAATGAGTTCGGTCGATTGAATATATATATATACCATAGTACATATGTGTAAGCAGCATGGGAGCCCTAGACAGCAATCCTTAAAATATATACTTTACGACCACTGCTGCTGCCCCAACTTAAAGCCTTTTGGAGTTTCCACTTAGACAGGCCCGTATTTTAGGAGGGGATTAAATTAAATTAGCGCACAAACAGCAGCTGCAGATTGACGGGCCTATTAAATTGTCATTATAAATGCCACACAATTTGTAGAAATGTATCGAAGGGAAGTGGGATAGATAGGACAGGGCGCCACTGATTGAGGGCTTTGTTTTGCGCACTTTGTGCGGCTAATTAAATAAATGCGTTGATAATTACGCTTTATTAGCTCAGAACAACTAATATGGCATTAACTATTGCAGTGACAGATTTAAAATTGTATTATTTCCCAAACACTTTTTTTTTAGCGCTACAAAACACAACACTATTTTTTTGTTGCTATTTGTTTAATCGC